GCCCCCCCCCGCTTTCACACACACAGATACATATGAAACAGTGGATAAGATCAGAAAAGCAAGTGCCTACCTAAGACTTCCTAGTGCAAACGGAGTGCCATTCTAAGCTTCGACTGGCAAAGCTAAACTGTGAGAAGGATATATTCTGGGGCTTGCGGTTAAGCATGGGAGCCCCACCATCCCCTCTGGAAGGAGGCGAAGGGTTCAACTGCAGTTGCTCTGCAGTGGGTGCACACGGGTGATCAGATATGCCTTTGTTCCATAATATTTCTTCAGATCTTTTCTTTAAAGTAAGGACCAGCAATGTATGAAGACGCATCACATGAGCATGGCCGAAGGAAGAGAAGGAGATGCCAAGCCAAGGTCAACAAGGCATGTGGATCCAAAGGCAGGATTCTCATTCTGGGTGTAAGAGAGGTTGGGTTCACTTCTAGACAAGCCCATGCAATGGGGGAAAGCTGCAGCTTTGGAAGGAACATGTTTGCTCAGTTGCTGGAGCACTCACTTTATATGCAGCTGGTCTCATGTCTGATGCCCAGAATCTCCAGTGTAAAATACCTCTGGTATCAGGTAGCGAGAAGATGGCTTCTTAAAACCTGGAGACGAAATCCCAGTCAAAATACAGACAAGGCCAGATGGACTCACAGTCTATAAGGCTGTGAGTACTTGCAAAAGCATTACTACAACTACTCACACCACGCACAAATTATTTGCACATGAGCAAGTGGCCATACACACTTAGTTGGGGCCTGTGTGTGCTGCTAAGAACTCTTCCATTTGTTTGGGTTAGCAAAGACATGCGAGTCACATTTCCCAAAGACAAATGGCTTAGCTTTAGCCAAAATTTGGTGGGAATCCAATTTAACACTCTCCTGGCTTTTGACTGCTCCCCACTGCAGTGACTCGGTGGCCGTCACAAAACCATTTGTATCTCACGTTCTAATATAAAACTCCCCATCTGTGCGTTCTGCAGAGTGTGGAAAATGGGGGAGGCATTTACCACCTCCATTTTGTAACTCCCGGGCCCTCTCACACAGTCGAGCCATTCTTGGATCTTGGATCAAGTCCTTCTCCTTCTCAAGTCCTCCCATTTGTGCCCTTAAGTTAGGGGATGATTCTGTTCTCAATTGTCCCTTCTGTTCTCAGCTGAAAAGAAGATCAATGGCTTATAGAGAGCAGGAAAGTGAAGAAAGTGCACTGTGAGGGGCCCCTTTAACTTTAAAGATGCCTGGCCCCTTGTGACCAGCCTCATTTAGGGCCTTCCTGAGTGTAGGGAATTATTAACTAGGCAAAAACAGATTGTGGGGTGGGGGGGGGCTTGTCCTTTCAGAGCTCCTTTTGGTCACAGCCCTGTTCTTTGTACACATGGGATTGCTTAGGGCTTAGTTGCACCCTCCGAAATTAGCTGGAGGTGATGTTTTGGGAAGGAGGAATAGGAAGCTGAAGGTTGAAGGCCCCTGCAGCTCATGTTGCAACTAGATGATGATGATTCATGCAGGCCTCTGTGGCATGGTACAGCCTGCGTGTCCCACCTTAAGACCCACATGGTCACCTCAGTGAGTGTCCAGCAAGCTGCAGGGAGGAAGAGGAGTCCCAAGGTTGTGGGTCATTGCCACTGGGTCCTTGTGGGGTATGCGCCGCACTGCCTTTGACATTGGCCCTGCTCAAGACCTGCAGGCTGCCAGAGGCGGGCCAGTGTGGCAGCACAGTAGGCAGAGCAGAAGGACACTCTGCGACAAGACGGAGCCGGAAAGACCACCCACTGCTGCTCAGGGAAGGCCCCTCCTCAAAACAGGATGCCTTTTTATAGCACTTCCTGTCCCAGAGGGCCAAACCAGCAGCCATGCTGGGTGGATCCAAACCAGATCCTCGGAAGTTCTCACTGCCGGGAAGAGTTAGCAGATTGTGGATCTGCTAGTTCACCACACAGGGCAGCCACCGCAGAAGCAAGGCCCAGTTCAAGGCCCAGTGGTCCGTTCCATTCTGTGTTGCTGACTGAGCCTCCAGTAACAGGACTGGGACTTCAGATCCCTTCAACTCCAAGTTCCTCCAGGTTCAGGTTGTGGGAATGCTGGATTCTGCCAGATCGTTTCTCAGGCCCCAGGAGGGACCTGCCGTATTTCTTCCCTGCCCTCTAGACCCAATGGATCCCTCCCTGAGATCAGAAACTGTCCATCGTCTCCAAAAGCATCCCCCAAGTTTCTTGGCTGTCCTTTATGAGAGGGAAGCCAACCATGTGGTTCAGCCCATGCAAAGAACAACAACATCTTCAAGAGGTTTTGTGATTTATTCCAAGCCACACGGAAGGGAAGGAGAGTGCAGGACACCCCCGGTGCTTTTTCCAGCCTCCTGCGGCCGTCTCCTTCCTCCCGCACCAGGCCGGCTTTCCCTGGCATTGCTTCTCTCTCGCAGCTGACTGCCTGGAGGGTGCAGTGCTGCTCTCCCGTTGCAGATCGAATTTGCTTTGTTCTGGAGATGGCTGGATACATAAAGATAAGCTGACTGGCTCCTCTATTTTTTCCTGCTTGGCTTCCTCTTGGAACCTCAGCAGTGCAAAAATGAGAGTCCATCTGACAATATGCCCAGCAGTGTTTCCTTTGCTGGTGCAATTGTTCCCACTTCAGGCGCTGCTGTCTGGAGTCTGCCTTCTTGGCCCTCGCCTGCATCCTGGGGCAGGCATACCAGCCTGATTTCAAATGCCGGCTCTTTCTGTGTTGAAGGACTAAAATTAATTTATCTTCCCTGCTGGCCACTTCCAAGTCTTTGACAGGATCTAGGTGACCATATGACCAAGAGAACATTGGGTGCTTTTGGCATGGAATGGCTTGGGGAGCTGGTCACAGGATCATGGAGGTGGAAGGGTACCCCAGAGGTCTTCTAGTCTAGCCCCTGCCACAGTAGTGGACCCATGGCTGCAGCAGCCTTGATAAGTGGCTATCCAGCTGCTGCTTAAAACCTCCAGGCAAGGCAGTCTGCCACCTCACACCCCCACCCCAGGCCTCTGCTCTGCCCTCAAATATATTGCACTATCAGGAAGTTCATCCCAATGTTTAGCCTAAATCTGTTTCCTTGCCATTTCTTGACTGTGGTTTGGGCCTCTGGAGCAATGCTGAAAAATGTGCACCGCCACCCATTTACCAGCCTTCCAAATATCTGAAGCTGGCTATGGTTTGGGGTCCTACTAGTCTTTTGCACAGGCTAAATGCATCCAGCTCCTTCACACTGGGACTCCACAATCTGCATTGAAAGCCAGTGTGGTGTGGTGGTCAGACTGGGAGCTGGGAGATCTGGGTTCTAATTCCCTCTTGGCCATGAAGCTCAGTGTAGGACTTTGGGCCAGTCACTCTTTCTCAGCCCAGCTTACCTCACAGGGTTCTTGTTGTGAGGATAAAAGGGAGCTTGGCAAGCTGCCTTGAGTCCCTCAGAAGAGGAGAAAAAGTAGGAGAGAAATGCAGTGTAATAGCAAAAATGTAATCCTGTTGTTCTTCCAAAGGGTGATAAGATGCTTGCATAACCACTTTTAATGTTAAAAATAAAAATAGACATGCCATTTTAGATGTGGGGAGAAGTTTCGGGTCAAGTGCAATTAACTGAAATTCAGGTTGACTGTGTAGTCTCACCTTTTGCCCTCATCAGCTGGCCGTTTTGGGCTATTAATCAGCAATCTGCCTGAAAAAGATACAATTCCTCAGTTGCCATAACACCATGCCCCCTGCATTTCATCAGATGTGTTTGAACCTGACCCTTTCTGCTTGGCACTCATTAATCTGGATCCAGACAACCAGGAAAATGTGGCACCTGGGATGTGGAAAACAGAAACCAGGAGGGAGGACATCTCAAGGGCTAAAAACCTTTTGTCTTAAGTGGCTTGGACAACATTTTTTCCTTTGTTGCAGATGGCAATGAAAATTAAAGCACACGTCCCTGTCAATATTTAGTGTTGCTCCAAACCATCTTAACACAAATAAAATGCTCTGGAGATACTCAGATTCTGCCCCAATGCCAACCATTACAAGATCAAAGGCTTATAAGATCATATGACCAGCAAGATAACACATATATTTACATTCTACTTGAATTAAGATCTTTTGCATTAATAAAACCAAGGCAGGAATAAAAGAATGACAATGACAGTATAAATATCCATACAGTTTATTTATTTTATTAATAAAATAATAGAAAACAAAATGCCTCCACTAATTTAATCACATTACATTCCACTTTTAAGATGAAGGTTAAGGCACCCTTCCTTGGCTGTAATGACAAAAGCATTTCATAAAGAAAAAGAAGAAAAACATTCTTGTCCTGTGGAAAAAATATCGCAGACTGAAATTTGGCTGGTGCATACTTTGTAGACAATGCTTACAGCAAATGATGTGAATTGTGTTGAACTACAACTGTATTAGCACAGACTATATGGACAGTATTTACCCTGTGAAGTACTACATTGAAAAGCACACCCTAAATGTAGCAGCCCCAAGACATGGGGGTGTGGCATCTGGTGTGTGGAAGCCATGACAAAGCTATCTTCTCCCCGCTTTTTAGGGGGGGCAGGAAGCACTGGAGTTGTGGGAGTGTTTTTTCAGGCAGGGGGAAAAATGGAGTTGGCACCAAACATGAATGAGGAAGAAAAAGAAGAAAGAGGACGGCCCCAGATTAGGACTGAAAAATGTAGAGAACTTCAGTAAGAGTAAAGTTCCCAAAGTCTTTGGATACAAGTTGAATTCTTGTACCCCTGAGGAACAGTTCTACTGAAACGTGTCTGGGGCAATTTCCTCTTTTATGGAAGTTCCCTCTACTTTTCATTTAGAGGCTTGCAGCTTTCTAATTTTTTAAATTTTTTTTTGCTCTGGTGCTCCTCCAAGCCAGTTCTTTTAATTAGAGCTATGAAGTGCTGAATCCGGGACCATGTGCAAGGAAGACGTGTGCACTGCCTTGCACAGCGGGCTTGGGAAAAGGGGAGCGGTAGTGCACATCACACTGAGCTAACAGAGGTGTACTGCATGATCCCAAGCAGGTGCAATAGCAGGAACCAAGCAGGGTTGCCTTCCTTCCAAGGAATGGCTTGCCAGCTTGGCATGGCACGGCTCATGCAAGTGAGTCAGACCACGGCAATTTCCTGGCCCAGTCATCTGTCTGTAGTGTGTCAAAGCATTTGGGAGCTCAGATCATTAAAAAGAGGAAAAGACACACGGCTCAGCACTGCTGGCATTATTACTGCTTGTCTGAATTCGCCAACCGTTCCTGAGAGTCATTTCCTACCATAGATATCCTTCTGGGTTTGTATTATTTTATTAATCAACCACCTTTTTTGTTTCCAGGGCTACCACTCAACTCTTGGCAACCAACTGCTTCTCTGCTCATAAAAAAAGAATTTTTGCTTGTCTTTCCAGGGGCTGAACTTTGACAGGAAGCTATAAGTAATTTTTCCAGCACTGCAAAACCAGACTTCTACAGTGAATTTTGAAGGGGAAGTCACAACCTCGCATGGCAAAACCGTAACATCTTTCCTTAGTGCCTACTTTGGACAAAACTCTGCCATCCATCCATCTCTATCTACTGGTAACGCCTTTACCCTCACATCTTTACCCCTTTGCCAGAAGCGTCCCTCCAAAGGAGGTTTTGGCAGTTGCATGACATCCTGCTGGTGAACTCTGGAAGGTGTGGCAGATGAGGCCTCTTTCTCCAGGAGATGGAGCTTCCCAACTCGGGTTGCTCCTCCGAGGACCAGACTACCTGCGTAAGCAGCTGGAGGTGAGCAGCGGGGGACGGACCTTGAGTGCCGTGGAAAGGCTGGAAGCAGACAAAGCCAAATACGTCAAATCCCAGCAGGTGATCAACAGCCGTCAAGAGCCGGTGTTGCTCAGCCCCAGCCTCCAGGCTTCTCCTTGCTGCCGGAGGCCGCTGACTCTGCACCAACACAGTGAGTTCTCACAAGGCTTGGTGGTAGGCCAAGACAGCCTCGGGCCCAAGAAGCTGCCTCCTCCTTCTCCTCCTCCTCAGTCGCCCATAGCGCGGAGGGCGGGCAGCCGGCGCATGCTGCGGCCCGACTCGCTGGTCATCTACCGGCAAAAGAAGGACTGCTCGGCTGTCAACAAGGAGAACGGCAAAGGCTACGGGCTTGTCCGGCGCCTCTTTCAGGGCCCGCTGAGGGAGGGCCTTAGCAGCCACCCTTCCCCGAGGGGCGTGTTGGGAGATGGTCAGCTGCAAGGGGAACAGCGGGAGGCCTCCATGGTCTGGGCTCCAGCAGAAAGGGAGAAGACACGAGTCATGCGTTCTGTAGGCATCCTGGCCAACTCCAGCTGTGGGCCAAGCCGGACACCCCTGCCCACCGCCCAGCTGGAAACGGACGCTGTTTCTCCCTCCTCCGGCCCTGGCCTGAAAGACTCCAAGAGGGAGCTGGGGCTGAGCTATTCCCTTCCTCTCTCGGAGAAGGAGCGGTTCTTTAACTACTGCGGCCTGGACCGGAACCTGGTGGAGGTGCTGGGAGAGGAGCGGTTCAAGCCCGGCAGCTGGGAAGCCGGCTCGTCCTGCCTGCTCGTAGGGAGCGTGGGGTCGGCCACTTCCGAGCATGCAGGCCCCTCGCACAATGGAGAGGACCTGTCCACTGAAGAGCTGAGCGAGAAGCTGCCCGCCCTGGTCTCCGTTGTCGAGAGAAACGCCCGGGTCATTAAATGGCTGTACAGCTGCCAGCAGGCCCGGACTGTGGCCAAGGAGTCCACAGTATGAGCACAGCCCATGGCCACAAGTGGCTCCTGTCATAAGGAGGCGGAGAGCCGGGCAGTTGGGTTCCCAGAAGCTTGTCAGGGCCCGGTGGGCCTCCTTGGGGCCCCGGTTCTGTCTGAAGGTGTTGGAGCATCCCTGCTTGGCAGGAGGAGATGGTGCGGCTTCAGCAGGCACTCCTCTCAGCATGGAAGCGGACAGACCGTTGGAGCCCGTGTGCTGCCATCCAAAATAGCCCTGCCTGGGCCCACACAGGCCGTCAGCCAGAGTGGCGGGAGGGCTGCGGGTGAGGATGTGCTGAGGCCTATGCCTGAAGGCACGTGCGGTTTGTGACAAGAGCTCTGGCGCCTCGCTGTCCTCCATGGTGGCATGAGACAGAGGCCACCAAATGGTGGGCACTTGATCCTTCTGCGCTTGCTGGAAAGTCAGGGCAGTGTGCCAGGTTGTGTTGGAAACTTGGGTCCAAATGCCCGCGGGGTTGTGAAGGTCTCTGAGTCATGTGCTACTGTGCAGGGCCGTTGTGGAAATAAAACCTGATTCGCTCCATCGGCTAACGCCTGGGTCCCCTAGTGGAAGGCTATGAATGTGAGAAGGATAATTAGCACTACTAAGCCCTTGTCGGGCTCAGCCCATCTGTGCTAACCCCGAGGGAGCGATGAACAACACTGGGGAACCCCCTGCCCTGTCAGCAGTTCCCTTAAGCTTGTCTTACTGGGCCTGAAACAGAATGATCCAATTTCCCCTTTGAGAAATTCCTGTCATGATTCAGTCCAGCGGGGAAAGCTCTGGTTTTGTTCCATCTTCTCTGCCTGTTTATTGATGCATGTGGAAGTCTGCATCAGCTGCTCTGCTTTGCTACTGCAAGGTTATGTTTCCATGTGTTAATACTAAAAAGGAACATGTTTGTAACCTTATCCTGTGTCTGTGGACTGTGACCAGGGAGGGGAATCTCTGGGGCATGGGCAGTAGCGGGTCTCCCAGGACTGTGCTTGTCCTGGCCCTTCTCCTCCCCTTCTCCCAGCAGAACAGGGCAAAGGCTTTCTAAGGAAAGGCTTCATTTTGTTAAAGCTGACCAGGAATGCTGGCTTTGTATGCCCAAGAAAGTCCATATCGAAAGACAGAAGCTTAAATGGGGCTTGGTGACGGGAAGCGGATTCCACACAGAATACCCTCCTTCCTTATAAAACTGAAAAGAGCAGACCATGCCTTCGAGATGGGGCTCCTTGTTTTAATGGGCAGTTGCCTGGAGCATCTGATGCTCTCAACTGAGCTGGCTCGATTAATGGTGCAAGGCCTGCCCCCTTCCACACTAGTGTGCTCACTAGACTTTCCCACAGAATTGAGGACTGACTCTCAGCAGCCACCTGGCTTATTCTTGACTTGTCTCTAGCCTTGCTGTTTCAGCTGCAAAGTCTTGTGCGTTTCATCAGAGTCAGAATCCGTATCCACAACCTTTGAAGGCTCTTGGACAGGAGAAATAGTTCCAATCCTTGCAGCAGGACTGTTGCTTCCTTTTTCTTAGCAAGGGCGCTGATGGAATCTGGCACCCTCATGAGGTTTCCCTTTTCTCTCTGAGCTTCTGGTAGCTGAAGGGAAATGACCAGCAAAAATCAATTGTTCTCTGTCTGAGGGCTTCACCAGAAGAGGATTTCCTCTGATGCTAGCATTGTTGGCTGCAGAGGACGCCTGTAAATCCGCAATTCTGCTCTGCACCACAGCACCACCTTTGTGTTATTTAATGGAACATATGGAAAAGGAGAGGGGGAAACTCCCATGGAAGAAAATCCCTTGTGTGAAGCTTGTTAGAACATGAAAACATGCTGAATCAGTGGTCCATCCAGTCCAGCGCTTCATTCACATGGTGGCAAACCACCATGGATCCTTCAAGCAGAATGAGTACAAGACCTCCATCTGCCCAAGTTCCTCAGCTGATAATAGTGTTGAATGTCACCCAGTAGCCTTTATATAGCCTCCTCCTCCTCCTCCTCCTCCTCCTCCTCCTCCTCCTCCTCCTCCTCCTCCTCCTCCTCCAGGAATTCATCCAATGCCCCTTTTAAGCCATCCAAATTGGTGGCCATTTCTATTTCCCGTGGTAGTGAATACTGTATGAGTAGTTCTTCTCTAAATCTTTTCTTAATCGCTTGTGTTCTGATGCTTTCACAAGGAAGGTACTCAGGAAAGCACTGGGTTAAATGCCTCCTTTAGCGAAGCGCACCATGCAGTGTCCATGTGTCCTCTTTTACAAGGGACAATTCTCTATTTGAAGCACCGCCAAGGGACTGCCATCTGTTTTGAAGGAGACTTCTGTTTGGAGAACTGTCCAGCCCAAACCCAGCTGAAGTTAAACACCACCCAAAGGAAGAGCTGCACCTGGGCATTGCCCATCAACAGCACCTGGATAGTAGACTGAGCAAGGCATCCCAGTCACCTGGTCACACCTACTACATGGAGAGATATATTCTGATTTAAAATACAGCATTTCTGAATTCGCATTTATACGTATACATTGGCATATGCAAACTTATGCCAATAAGTGATTCACAAGTGGCCACTGTACCTGCTGGCAGAGTTAGATCCACCTTCTGTTTGCTCCTAATATGGAAGGTTCAAAAGAAAGGGTTCAGGAGCCCTTTATTTCCTAAGCCAGTACATACACTGCCCCCTTGTGGTAGCAGGAACACAAGACAGTCCCCTTAGGTCAAGACTGCATCTGCTTTCTTGTATACAGTACCTGTTTTCCAGATGTTTTTGCCTACCACTCACCACCCCAAGCTAACAGCACCAATGTGAGGAATGACTAAAGTGGTAGGCCAAAAAGTTGCCCTGCCTTGGCAGAGAGAGAGTATTCTAGGCCAACTTCCTGAGAATAAGTTTTCATTTTTAAGTAGGTAAATTACTACCCCGTGATTGCAAAGACACACTTGACTCTGTGTGTATGTGTGTGCACACACATGCAAATATTAAGTGTACATCCTAAAAAAAAGGAAAAGGGATTGTTGAATTGCAATTCCAGGGGGCTTTCAGGCCCAACTTCAATCCATCCCCAGCAAAGGCAGAATAAATTAAGTAGAATACTGAAAATGGCACAATTAGGAAAGCTGCTTGTGGGCAGAATTTAAGACTTCTGTTGGCTTTCCTTACTGGAGTGGAATTTGGGTTAACCACAGAGTTGTAACTGCAGCCTTGGCTGTGCACTTTGCCTGTTTTGAAGATATTCCATGCACTCTACATTCCGGATAAATCTCCCTGAGCAGAGTGGGACATGCTTCTGAATAGATGTGCACAAGACCACACTGTAAATGCATCTGCTAGGAGCAGAAATTCCCTCACATGTAAAAGTCAATAATGAGTCTGAAGCTATTTGTGGATGTAAAAATAAGTTTTTAATGCTCAACACATCTCTTAGCTACAACTGTAGTCGTGGCTGAATATTGGGGGAGGAGGGAGGCAGGGTGGGAGAACAAACTAGTCACGGCGCACTGAACTCTTCTCAAGCAATGAAGAAATGGGTTCGGCATGGAATGGATCAGGATGGTCCGTGGTTTTCTGTTTTTGTTTAATTATCGTTGTCAACAAAGATCCCAAGAAATGCACTGCAAATAAGGTCGAGGTAGGTATGCCCGTGTCCACCATCACGAGTGGAAAGTTCCGGGGAAGTTTGCCAAACCTTTTGTGCTGATGCAGTCTTAAGCGGGTCGTAAAGCCCCTCCTCTCCAGAGGCACCTCCTTGCTGGAAAGCAGTGCCAGGACTGCCAGAAATGCTTCAGGAATCAGACCTGTGTTGGGCTGCTGTGGAGCTTCTCCAGCAGCAGTCTCAGTAATGGGACAGCAATAGCCTTTCTGTTGGTGAATTTCTGTTCCTGGGGAAGGAAAATCTTCCCTGCCAGTATGACTAAACCCCAGGTACAAGTAAGCCTTGATTCCAAGGTGGGGGTGGGGGTGGAACTCCGGTGTCCATAGACGATGGAATAACAGGGTACCATCCACCGCAGGAAGCTCCGCATCCTTAATCCACTCTCATTTTAAAGGGCAAGAGTGTGCCTGATATAAGGCAGTTCTGGAGTAGGAGTCTCACCCCTATTGCCACCCGCTGGGGCTCCGATGGCTGGTCTCCAGTCAGTCTGCTCAGACTCCTTGTGAACCACAGTGGTGCTTCTGGCTTGCGTGGGCCAACAGATACCACAAATTAAGTGCACAGGAAGCTGGTGGAGATGCAGCCAGGCCATCAGTCAATCTAAGATCAGAGGAGGCCTGCTGGACCAGCCCAAGGTCCATTCCACACAGTGGCCAGCCAGCTTCCCACAGAAACCCACAGGTGGGGCTTGCATGCCACAGCACCCTCCCACCCATGTTCCCCAGCAACTGGTGTAGCTAGTCATAGTGCTTCTGATCCTGGAGGGAGCACAGAGCCACCAGAACAAGCAACCATGACTACATCTGGAATGTCAGGACCTGGGCTGCTCCAGGACTCCATCTGCTGGTCAAGCACCAGAACAGCCACTCTGGTAGTTGCAGGATTGGTCCATGCCCTGCTGGAGCTCTCAGGGCCTGGATGAGCCCCAGCTGGAAGAATGAACTATACAATAGCAAGCTCTTGCCTCTGTAAGCTCTCAGCATCCCAGGTCTCGATTGCTGTTACGGGGCTCCAGTGCCTGCAGCCTGCCTGAATTCCTGCCCTACTCACCAAGTCTTGCTGCTCCTGAATTCTCTCCAGTGATCCTGCCCCAAGGTACCTGCTCTGTTTTACCCATGGTTGACTTTGGGCTTCTTTGTGGCCACGCCCTTGCCTGTCTGCACCAGACACTCCTGGTTCTTGGCCCAGGATTGTTCTGTAATCTTACTGGGCTGTGAATTGTGTCTGGACCTGGCTTTGCCTTAGGTCCTGTTGCCTGGTCTTGGAGCTTTTGCCTTGACTCTTGCTGCCCATGCTCTGGACCTCGACACAAGCGCCCTTGAAAGCCATCCTGGTGAGTGGCCATCACGACATCTTGTGCAGGCAAATGCCACAGCTTAATTATGTTAAAGTCCTTCCTTTTACCTGTCTTGAATCTTCCATCAATCAGCTTCCTGGGATGACCCCTGTGGGTTCCAGAGAGAGGAAAAAAGCGTGTCCCTCTCACTTTCTCTGCTTCATGCATAATTTTGTACACTCCTGATTTGCCCCCCCCCCACAACTTTGCTAAGCTAAACAATTCCAGCTGTTGTAACTTTCCTCACGGAGACCTGCTGCAGCCCCTTAAATGTTTTAGCTGTCCCTTTCTGCACTTTTTCCACTTCCAGAGTTTATTTTCTTGGTTGTGGGAACTAGAGCTGTACAGAGTATGAGCGCTGTGCTTGCCCAAAGATTTGTACAAAGCCAGCATTATCTTGGGAGTTTTATTTTCAGTGCCTGTCCTAATTAGGCTTTGCACGGAGTTTGCCCTTTTCACAGCAGCTGCATGCTGGCCTGGCATTCTATCTAGCTGTCCACCATAATGAGAAGATCCCTTCCCTGGTCAGTCAGTGCCAGCTCAGATCCCATCACCACATCCTTGAAGTTGGACTTCTTTGCTCCAATGTGCATGGCTTTGCCCTTGTTTACACTGAAGCATATTTACCATTTGGATGACAGTCCTCCCAGCTAGGAGAAATCCTTTTGGAACTCCTCACACTCCTTTTCATTTTGACCACCCTTACCAATTTGACTTTAGCTCATTATTGCTGGCCCTGAATTGCAGGAACCTCTGCAGCGTCGAGTAGGAATCTTTTTGCAGCCACACCTAGAGATGCTGGTGATTGAACCTTGGACCTTGTGCATATAATTCTCTTCTGCTAAGCAACAGCCCAAGAGAAGGTGGTCCCAGTCCTACAGCCTGCACTGCAAATGCGGCGAGTAATTCTCTAGCCATGGGGTCCACTTGACAGTGTCAGAGTGCCATTCCTGCCCCATTGAGGTGGTTCTCCATGCAAAGTTGCCTCTATTTCCACCAGTAGCCTGTGCATTCTACGCTTTCTCCAAGGAGCTTGGGGATTTATTCTTATGATGACCCTATGAGGTAGGCTAGGCTGAGAATTGGTCATTTCCTAAGACCCATCCAATGGGCTTCAAGGCAGAGCCAGGATTTGCAGCCACATCTTCTCAGTCCAAATCTACCTACTACAGCACATGGGTGAAGGATCAGCCTGCAGCCTCTTCTTCCTTCTCCACCCGTGGAGTGAATGCATGGATGGACCACCACTGAGAAGGTGGCTTCCTTAGAAAATGCACAGAACATGAGTAATAACCCCAGGCAGGGGAGGGGTTGCAGACTGTCTCCTCTTTCAAGAAGGAAAGGAGGGATGGGGAGAGATGGGATGCATTCAGTTAAGACACAGATCGCAGGGCAGCGTGGGGCATCCTAACATCGTGATGGTTCATGACACCCACCTCCTCATGCCTGACTTTTCTGCCTGAGAGTTGCTGGGAAAAAGTGAAAGCGCTTGTTCCCCCGTGGAAAGTGGCCCTACCAGCACAGAGCCGCTGTCCATCCCTTCCCTGCCCGTGCTAATTGCTCTTGGAGGTGCTTTTGTTCTTCATCTCAGCCAGTTTGTTGGTCAGGAAGCTCCACTTGAAGGCCACCCCTTCGGCCTCTCGAAGGTCATTGTCATGACCGGTGCTGCTGGCATCCTCGTCCGCCATTTCCCCGGGGGGGCCGCTGCTCTCGGCTACTTGCTCTCTGGAGTCGGCCGTCGAGGCCATCTTTTCTAAGGCTGAGGTCTGCTGCCACTTGGTGGCAAAGACATCCCAGAGCCCCGCCACCTTCTTCTCAGAGTGGGGCTCCTCCGCTGGCGTAGCTGCTAACGGGCTGAAAGTGAGAGAAGAGGAGACTTCAGGGAAGGGTTGGGGGGCACAGGGCTGCAGTCGCCACAAGTTCCAAGAAGGCTTAGGATCATATTAGGAACTTAGACTGCTGCCTTGGGTGGGGTTCAATCCCAGAGCCTGCGGAAGCCACCTTGGGTCCCTTCCAAATGGAAAAAGCAGGAATGAATATAATTATAACCATCATAAACCAGAATTAAACTCATTAGCAACGTTGCTGGATTTTATTCTGGTCTAGTTCTGTTTTATTAACATTTTCTCATGCTGCATTGTATGTTTTAATTTTTATTGGTAGAGAACGGAAATCAACACGTAAGTACAATGCACCCGGCCTGTCCTTATCAACTGGGCAGCCAATTTCTTCCTTTCTCACAAGCGAGCATTTGAGGGCAACCATTCTCACGTGCACAATCAACAGTCCCGTGAGTCTGCCGGTCTTGTGGCAGAGCAACAGTGAGGGAGAAGGGAAGTGGGGAAGCTTTCTCTTACTGGTCAGCAGACGGCTCGGAGGGCAGCAGCTGATGCTCGTCTTCCCGGCTGAACAAAGACGACATTGTCCTCCAGCCTTTGGCTCCGGCGCCCTGGACCTGCAGCACAAGAGGGAGAATTGAGAGGAAGGCAGGTCAGAAATAGTCAGCTTTTCACTGGGAAACAAAAGGCACGTCTCTGCACTGTTGGCGGGGCGGCACCCGTCGGGCCCCTGGAGAAGCACCTCTGCTCCTCTTCAGCGTCACGAGCGGCTTGCTCAGCCCCTGCAGCAGCTCTGGGATGGAGCAGGAGCTGGGGGTGCCCCGGCCGCCATGCTCCCTGCCGCTACCCATGCCTCCTGCACCCATCTGTCAAGCAGCATGTGCTTGTGAAGGCAGCTTTGTGAAGACCCGGGACCAACAGGACAATGAGCAAGCAGGTCCTGGATCAAGTCGAGAGAGAAAGACAAAATGGAGGCTGTACTACTTGGGGCACGTCAGGAGGAGAGGCACGTTGGAGCAGACCATCACGCTTGGAAAGCCGAAGTCAGAAGAAGGAAAGGGAGACCAACGGTGCCCAGCTATTCCCCTCCCTTCCTGGGCCTGCACATCTCTAGGAAACCTAGGGCATCTTTGAAAGCAATCCACATCGAAAGCTTTGCGGGGCATCTCTCTCTCATGCCTTTTTTCCTTAGGTGGAAATTAGGAGCCGTCCATCATGCCTCATGGAGGGGAACCTAGTTGGACGACGGAGTTCTGCACCACACACAGCTTCAGTAAAGCTCAGGATAAAAGCTGCAATGGATAAGGAGTCCCGCTGACACGAGAGTGACCACGCTCTTCCGCCATGGGGCATCGTGCCTTGTCAGGACGCAGCGCATGATGTGGCTGCATTCCGGGCTTAAAAGAAAAGGTGGCTGCCCTCGAAGATTTTGTTTCAAAATTAAAGGAAAGCGTGATGCTCTGAGTCACTTTGTACTGAATACAGGAATTCTGCCAGCCTGAAAAAACATGGGAAGTTTCTCCAAATCCTCCACCCTCACAAAAATCATGAGGGGAGGGCCCCCTTGCCCCCTCCCCGCTTCATTCTTGGCTCCTCTCCAGCACTGCAGTCCCTCCATTGATTAGATTGATGCCCCACCTTGTTTTCCTTTGAGGGACTCAAAACAACTTACGTAACCCTCCTTCACTCTGTTTTATCCTCACCACACAACCCTGTGAGGTAGGCTAGGCGGAGGGCCTGTGGCTGGCCCAAGCCACCCAGTGAGTGTTGTGCCAAGCGGGGACTGGAACCGGGATCTCTCGGATCCCAGTCCAGTGCTCCCCGTGATGCCATGCTGGCTGTCACACGCTTGGGGGCTCAGACGATCCGTCAGCCAGCCACCCACCTCTGCAGGCTCCCGTGCGGACTTCCGCTGCAGCTCCAGCCTCCCTCCTCTGTCCGCGAGATGCGCTGGGCTACAACCCACATCATCCTCACCCATGGTGGCAGGGGATGCTGCAGACTGCAGCCCAGCATGCCTGGAGGGCCCTAGGCTGGGAAGGGCAGCTCTGAAGGCTTGAATGGGAAAAACATCTCGTCCTTACCCGCCGTGCCAGCTGCGAAACAGGGTTCGAGCCCTCTTCTGCCAGCAGGGTGGAGCCTGTGGCTTCCATCAGCTCGGGATTCTCTCTCTGAAACAAGAAACAGCTTCAGCAGTAGTGAGGAGGTGCTTGGACTGGTGGCCGCAGGAATGGGTGCCCTGTGGCCCTCTTGGAGTCATCGGGCTCCGGCGTGTGTCCTCCTGGAACATAAGCTAGGCGGACAGACAGTATCGGACTAGCCAGAGAAATCATCCGGCCTGGTGTAGGAGCTCGTTCTGTTCCGAACAGCAGAGTTATCTCAGGGCAGAACTTTGAGGCACACGGTCAGGGCTCCTTGAAGCAGGACACCAGGAGGGCTCCCAGGTGAAGCGTGGCCTGCAAAGGTGGGGTCCCAACCCCTTTTGGGGCCTTCAGGCACATCTGGGGATTTGAGACACTACCGTGGCCGCCACCTCTGCAAAGTGGCTCCCACAAAGGACGTGGCTAGTAACGTAATGACTGTCGTGGGTCAAATCCCCAGATGTGCCTGCACCCCAGATGTGCCTGGCTGGTCACACATGAGCTACCGAGCAGTTGGGTGGCAGGTGGGCAGGCAGGAAGGGGGAATTACAAGGCAAAGGGGCAGAGGGGAGAGAAAGGGCAAGCTTAGAGCTAGAAAGGGAGAGAAAGAAGACTGCCTACCATTTGCAAGATTATAGTTGAACTATTTTTTGAAGGAGCAGGGCGGGGAGTGCTTCATGGGCACCATGGAGGTACCTAATCTGAAGGGGGAAAGGCCATGATGACAATGTGTCCTCTTTTGCAGAGAACAGTCCTCTCTTTGAAGGCACCCTCTGTTTGAACCTGGGGCAAAGACCTAGAAGGGTGGAGAGTGCATGGGACCCCTGAAGTTGCCCCCAGCACTCAGTCAGTAGCCAGATCACTCACAGCCAGATATATTGCACTTCCATTTAAATGATGGATTTTTGAGCTAAACTTGTGGCTGGACATATGTACTAACATAAGCAAGTTGGGTTTTGTTTTGTCCTTTTTTGGAGTGCGTGAGGTACATTCCTTCTTGTTTGATAACATAGGTAACACTTAAATAAGTCCAGATTCCAGAAGTATGGATTGCACACTGGTTCCTGCAGAAAGAGGGAGGGTTTGAAGCCAAAGACGGATTAGCTCCGGTTTTTCCCACCCTGCCCTCTTTCTTGAACTCACTCCATTCATTCATAATATTTACAACCCTCAGACCCTCATGTTCTTCCCTCAGTCTTCCTTCTACATGCAGCTGTGCACTGATCAATCTTCTAAAATATTTTGACCAGCCTCCCTCCCTAACCCCCTTGCTAAATGCTGGCACATGGTTTTTTAAAGTTTGTTTTTAATACAATCACTTATAAGAAGTATAGATGGCAGTCCCTTATGTGAAAGAGAAAGCAGTCCTCTGAGAAGGGAACGCCTCTTTGAAGGCTATCTTTGCTACAACACACACACACACGTGCAACACCTCAAAACAATGCATATGTTCTAATTTTTCAGACTTACTTTTTCTCTCACATGCAAGTTTATTCAGATTTAAATAGCTTAATGGATCAATCTGTTAATTTTTTTTAACTAGGAGGCAGGCTTGGCCCTGGGCTATAGTTTAGGGCTCACAAATGGGCAAAAGAGATCTCTGCATGCTTGAGACTTTAATTCCCAGCATTTTTCACCCCTGGCCATGCCAGCAGGAGCTTCTGGAAGTTGAAGCCATAAACATCTGGAAATCGACCTTCTGCCCTCGTCTGGACTATGATAAAAAGCTTCTTCCCTATGGGAGGGAGAGTGAAAGAAACCCATCTTCCACCATTGCCCTTTGCTCACTGACCAAGAGAGGAAACTGGGCCCAGTTGAGAATGGCTCTACCTCATCCTGGAGATCATCTTCCTGTGCTTCTCCACCAAGGGTCTGCAGTACTTTGGCCTTATAAATCTTCCAGAATCCCTGAGTCATCCTGGCAAAAGCTCGCACGGCTCCCCAGCTCTCAAGTCCTTCTCCTGGAAGCAGGAGGGTCCCACCACAGCTGGGGGGCTTGAAGCCTCAGCAATCACCTCCACAGGTTCTCTGTGCCCAATTCCAGGTGGGCTTGTTCCAGCTGCCACTGGGCCTCTGCTCCCAGCTGCTTCAGAGACTCTGCAAGGAGCCCGGCACAGCTCAGGCAAATGCTTGCTCGTCCTGCAAATTCACACCTGTCGCTGGCGGCCTTCTTCTCGGATCTGATGTCTTCATTAAAATTTAAGGAGCTTCCAATGGACATCTCAAAGAACAAAGAGGAATTGGATCCATGGCTGGCCCAGAATACCAATGGATTCCACCAACAAAGGACGCTGGATCCAATGGGAACTCTCCAGGCCTCCTTGGCCTCTTTGAGCATCCCTATCTCCAGAGAGTCACACAAACAGCCTTTTTCTCCCCACCTTGCAGGATGCCAGCTAGTCAGTCGCCCATTCAGGTCCACTGTGCCCGCTGTGCCCACCTTCTGGGGAGAAGCCCCTCATCTTCAGGGAAGAGCTGTCCACACACCGTCCCAGCCTGGGCTTCGTCTCCCACTCTGGAGTCCTGAGGAAAGCTTCATGTTGTCCCTGCTAAGGTCTTGCATTACGCTCCATTGTCTGCACCCTGTAACTGATCTCTCCTAAGAACATGGTAGCTCGGCAACAGGCTCAAAATAGCGCCTGGCAGCTAAATTATTTCGCAGGACTGATGGCCTCAGAGACCCGGGTCTTCTGCTTGATGGATTTGGTTTCTGTGCTAGACAGAGCGCGCTGCACCTCTCCCTTCCTCACACGAAGGCAAGCCTTCTTCCAGCACATTTCAGGCAGAGTGAAGGGGCTCTCCTGCTTGCTGTGCCTCTGCACCATGCCCCGGTTGTTGCAGAGGAGGCAGGCAGGCGTCTTTCCATAGGCCAGCCTGCCTCGGCACAGCCCCCCTCCCCTTGGCTAATGACAGATGCCTGTCTGTAAATGTATTATTGATTTTTCCCAGCCTAGTGCAGTAACGCGATCATGAGTACTTCACTGAGCAGCGGCTATTTCTTTGTCCCACCCTGACAGCCACGACCTAGATGCAGGAATCCATATCTGCTTCCTGAAACCACCTAACCACGCTGGCATCTCCCACAAGGGCTGGATTGCGCCGGGAACGGCAGTGTTCAGGGTGCTGTGGTGAGCCAAAGCGTTCTTGTTCTTCCGTCCTTGTGGAATGGATTCGTAGTCCAAGGCATCTGAAGGGAGTGGGTTGGGTGAAGGCTGTGTGGCATGCACCCACATTTCCAAATTTTCTCCCACATCTGAAGTTGTTAGATCACAACGTTTTTCCATTTCATATATGGTGAAATCACATACAAAAAGAACCCAAATAAAATTCTAACACATCTACAGCAGCCAAATTTAATAGGTACAGCTATTTGCAACATGGAAATGGACCCTGCTGTTTCAGCCTGCCATGCAGCTGTCAGAAAAACAGTGGTGGAACTCTAATTCTGCACTTCAAACATGGATAAACCCAGATGGATGCAAATCGTTGAAGAGCTAAGCACACCAAGCTGTCAGGTTTGCTTTCTCAGTTTTTTAAAATCTGTTTTTTAAAAAACCCCTCAGATTTTTAACATCTCAAGTTCCTTTTGGCCATTGATGAAGAATGCGTACATTTTTGTAGGTTCTTATCAAACAGCCCAAACCAAAGTTTTCACCCATCCCCAGCATGTGTGACCTTTAGCTTATGCTGCCTTTCTTTCCATGTCAGAAGTTAATCAATCAGGATGCGCTTCACTTGACTGCTGCTTCTCAGAGTTCCCCATATTGGTTTAGAGGGACCAACAGAATGATGCCCCTGCCTCCTGGAATTATTGCTTTCCTTATATGCAGAGACATTAATCAGTGAGAACATCTTCAAAAAACCAACACTGTATTATATCTGCAGTTGGCACAGCCCCTGGGGCAAGGACCTCTTTTCATTGCTGCTTTTGCTGATGTAAAACACCATGTGCATTGATTGATGAAGCAGAAAGAAAAACAAAGCAAAACAAAAAACAGTAACTGCAAATCTCATCCAGCCACACATGTTCGGCTGGAGGGAAAGGAAATTTCTGCAAGCTGGAGGCAACAGAAATCGGTAAATGTTACAGTTCATGTTCTGTGAGTTTCATGGCTTGCACAGACAAAACAGTTCCATCCATGCAGGCTTGTGGGAGTGCTGTTCACACAACTACAAGTATTCTTTGGGATGGGGAGAGGAAGAGAAAGTCTCCATCCCAAACAGCCCAGTGAGGACTCTGTGCGGACAATGTTCAATGGCTATGGAATGCTGTCTGAATGCTGGGGAGGGATGGACAGATGCTGGGAAGGGCAGGGAACACAACAGGGTGTCTGGAATCCAGAGTGTGTTATTTACATATTTTATATTGTCTCTGACACTTTTTGTGGAAAGGCAATCCGGACACAGCTATAACAACAAAAGGGTGTCTGACGGACTGGCCATCAGCTCCATTGTGCCAAGACAGTGGAACCTAGACACCCGACTCTTGGCACACACATGGCGAAGTCAGGGGAGGTCAGTAAGTCACAAGGTGGAGATACACGTCTGTCCACCGCCATGGAGCAGTTTCCTTACTCTGGGGACTGTAGTCAGGGACCATGCCAACATGTGCCTGCCAGTAGAAAATAAAAGGTTTTGAAAAGTGTGAAATCTAATACTCAGGTGAAACATGGCATTTATCTTTCTCTTCTAATACTCAGTTCCTTGTGGCCTATACCAGAGAGAAGGAAAGAAATCTGAGATTGTCAAACTCTACTGACTTGCAAACCAGTAAGCAAGCAAACCAGTAAATAGCATGTGTGTGTCAAATTCAGTGCAGCACAAGTCCAAAGAAAGGATGGGAAAAGTGGGGGTTTTCTGTGGACTGGGCTCAAGATTAAGTCTGTATTCCATCATCCTACAGCACTTTAAAATGCATTCTGTTCAAATGTGGAATGCTGCCCATGATCTAGCGCACTTGTATCAGCTTGCATGTGACTGCCATTTGGAAACTCTTGATAAAAGAAACCATAAATCTACTATGTGAATTAAGCAATTATATATGGGGTGGAAGGGACAGTTGTATAACAGGAAACAAAGCCTACCATATCCAATTCAAACAGCAGGAGAAATTTAGGTCATCAGAATCAAATGACCTTGGACAGGATGCTGGGTTATCACCCTTTGCTTGCAAGGAGCTACAAGATCTTTTGATGCTCTGGCCTCAGATCCCTCCATGGAGGATTAGCCAAACACCATGACAACAGTAACACAGGTCAAAGAGCCATCCTTTGCAGGGACTGGACATTAATCAGTGGTGAGCTGCAACACAATCTCCAGATAGAATTACATTCCACTTGCTTTCATCTCAGAGGCTTAACACAGAATTCCAAGAAAGGATAAAGGGAAGAATGTTTCCGTTGTCAAAGGACTGTGGTCTACCAAGAAGCATAGTCAGATCAGGAAATCCAGAGGTCAGGGGAAAATGTGTATCTATTTTTTAAATGGTGTATCCCACTTTAATTACTTTGAATGATTTATAAGACAGCCAATGTGGAGTAGTGGTTAGGAATGTGGGCCTGGGTCTCAGGCGATCTGGGTTCTAGCCATGCAGCCAAGTGGATGACTTTGGGGCACTCACAGAATCTCAGCCCAATTTACTTCACAGGGTTTTTGTTGAGGGGATGAGAATGAGAGCAGCAGGAGGAGTTAGACTACTTGAAGTTCTTTGGAAGAAAGAAAGAGATACCCTCAAGGTACCCAGGACCCAAGCCTTCCAGCTCTCAACATCAAAGGGAAAAAATGACACATGGTCATCCTATAAAGTGTGCTCTCCTTTACAAAGGACTGTCTACTGTTAAAATGTTTCTTCTGTTTGAAGAACTGCCCTCCTGAATTCTGGTTTAAGGAGAAATGAACTGTTGACCACCCATACTGAGCCATCTGGTTAACAGACAAGCACACAGGTTACCTGGACACAGTCTTCCCCGTTATGGTGAGTTGCACTCTTATTACTTTTTAATTTATTTTCCCTCTAAATTTAGAAATTTAATTTCTAAAACTAAAATTTAAATAAAAGTGCAATACATCTCACCCCAGTGAGACCGTCCAGGTAACCTTTGTGCCTAAATGTAACCACTACTATCTTTTTACCTTACATTGTCAGTTTTCTTCACATAATATATATTGCGAAGTAGCGAGGTATATACATAGTTTAAGTAAATATTATGCCTCAAGGAACTGCAGAAGGGAAGTACCAATGCGAGGCCCTGCTACTTTATTAATAACTTCGATTTCAACAGCACGGAAATCTTTCACTTATCATTACTGTTTGTCTCCAATGCGAGACCTACTGAAATGCACACGACCTAAGTAAGCCTCGCAGGGAATCCAGCCCACCGTTCCACCAATTCCCCACAGTTATTTGCATAGGCCCGCCCACGTCAGGACGCCGTGTGATGACGTCACGGACACATCAGGGAGCGCGCCATGTGATGGCGTCACGCGGAACTGCCGGAAACGGAGGTGCGTTTCTTTTTCCTCCGGCGTGTTGTTTAGGCTAAGTATGGCTCCCAGGAGCTGCCGCCGGACGGGCTCTCATAAGGCGCATTCCTTGGCCCGCCAGTGGAAAGCGAAGCGGCGGCGCCGGGATCTCGATCAGATCCACCAGGATATGTTGCCCGAGAACTCGTCGAAGCTCCTACGACAGGAGCCAGACCCCGACATGCCCGGAAGCGCCCAGCACTACTGCCTGCATTGCGCGTGCGTAAAGGGGGGAAAGCTGCGGGGTGGGGGGAGTTAAGGGCTTTGCTTTGCCTGGACGGCTTCGGGCCTACTTACTGCGCTTGCGCGGCAACGGGACGAATTGTAGCGTGCGTCTGCTTCGTGTTATAGAGATAAGAAATGCTTTAGAGTAGCTCTCTCGCTTATCTGGAAGTGCAAATTTTTGGTTTCTTCATGTGTTGTTCCTCTCTCTTTGCCCTGGGGCTGAGGCGAGAACTCCCATAGAAGCCAACACAGAAGTACAGGGTACCTGTAGCTGGATAAAAATAAAAATAGCAAAATCCGCACAAATATGTCAAGTGTCAGCAAGCTTTCTTTGGAATGGTGCCTGGATAGTGTCAGCCAGGATGCACCCATGCAGATTTCTAGAAAAGAGAGTTTTTCCTCTGGCCTAGCTATGTGTCAATGATTGCATGGTTATACCTGTGTAAGTTATACTTATTGATCTGTGTATCAAACTAAAGGGCGCCATCCTATGCTAGTGGAGACAGCAGAGCTGGCTGGGGCATGCTGCCAGTTGTAATTCACTTCTCTGTCTAAACATGGGTAGGAGAGTGCCTTAAAGAAACATGGGTTGCTTGATGGCCTGTTATTTGGAGACTTGGGCCTGCCTTGCCTAGTTATTATGCTGCTCTCCAGCCAAAAAAAGTTCCCCTGTAATGGGTTAAAGTCAACCAGTAACAAAACAGTCCCCACCTACAGGCAAAAAAAAAAAAAAAAAAAAAAATCTAAAAAAAAGACATGACACACAAGAAAAAGGAGTTGAGGAGGGAAGAGGAAAAGCAAAGAAGGGCTTTAGTAGCAGTGGTGGCCCAGCCCTCTTTCTTCCCTCATTCTGAGGAGGATGACAATCCAGCTGTTGCGGGCCCTGGTATTCTCTATATCTGTTCCTGTCTCCCTCACTCCTAAGCTATGAGTATAAACTGCCTCAATGAGCCTGGGCCATTATTTTGCTCCTGTTTTCTTAGTTGTGGCCAGGAGCTTGTAATGCAAGCCACATGATCACACTTGTTGCTTTCAGTTTGTGTGCACAGATGTGATAATGCATGCAGACACACTCACAGCTCTATCCATACTTGAGAGATGTGTCAGCACCGTCCTGACCATCAGTGATGCTCTGCAAGGTCCTGATTAACTAGGGTTGCAGCTAGGATTTGAAACTGAGGTCAAATTGGAACCAAATCAGTTGAGGAATCTGGTTAATAGCAGCTGCCTGTGCTGTTGCTTAATAGTGGTTGACGTAGAGGGAGCAGTGTATTCATTCATGTTCCTAGGAGTGTATTCATTTGTGTCTGCATCCCATTCTCTGAACTGGAACTAGGAGGTTGGTGTCATTATCTGTACGCTAGCAAAGCTGGGTTCAGTCACTAAGGTAGTGTAAGTGGCATGAAAGCTCAGTCTGCAGCTATGCAGACAGTTTTTGTGTGATAAGGTCTTGGCTAAAGATTTGCACATTTTCCTCTGTGGTTACTGAAACAGAGCTAGTGGTTAAGAGTACAGGACTGGGACTCAGGCAGTCTGGTTCCAATCCACACTGAGCCAGCCATGGAGCCAAGTGGGTTACTTTGGGCCGGTCTCAAACTCTCAGCCCAACCTACCTCACAGGGTTGTTATCCTGAGAATAAGATTGAGAGCAGCAGAAAGAGAATGATGTAAGCCACTTTAAGTTGAAAAGAAAGAAAGAAGCAGGATATAAATCTAATAAAGTAGGAAAGTAGAAATAAACTGACTTTTAGGAATAAATGCCATATTTTCCAGTAAGAATTACTCAACTGTAATTTGGGTTTTTAAAAATCTGCTTCCTCAACAGGCGATACTTCATTGATTTAAAAAGCATGAAGGATCACTTCAGATCTAAAGTTCACAAAAAGAGGTAAGGTGAATTCTGTAGCCTAGTCTTTTCCTCTGGGGAAGGATTCATCACAAAAAGGTTGGCTTCCCTTTGCAAGGTGCTGGCACACATGCCGTTCCCTGCCACCTCAAGACTTGACCCTCCTACTTCAGGAAAGTATTATGCCAGTACTGAGGTTGAACCAACCACAGTGAACTTGTAGTTCTAAAAAAGACAAAGATTTGGAGCTAGAATTGTTCATGCAAGGAGAGAGAGGTTTAAATGTGCCTGTTATATTTTACTGTGCTTTATTTTATGGTTTTATTTGTGGCAAACCTCTCAGAGCTTTGACTGCTGGTTGGAATAGAAATGCAGTAAATTTTTGCCCACCACTCTATCTCTGTCTACCCCATGCACACATCTGCATTCCCAAAGTGTTCTCCGAGTCCATAGAAGAGTTTGGGGACTGCAGAGGGACGTGGGAGAGCACTGGTGCATTTTGAATGCCCTTCCTTTTACAGTCTAGGTAACAAAGTGAAACCAGGAATGGCTACAAAACCCTAGAAAAAGCTGTGGCCTGTTAAGGTGGTTTAAGCCCAGAAACTGGGCTTATAAGCCACCTCAAATAAGCCATGGTGGGGTCAGGCAGTTTGCCCTTCCCTGAGGTTGCTCTCACAACCTCTGGTAGTTGGCACAGGAAGAATAATTCCAAATATTCTCTGAGGTCAGGAAAGTGACCTCTGAGGGCATAAAAGGAAGTTTCTGTAGGCAGCGATATGAGGAAACTGGAGAGGCAAGAGTACGAATTATCCTGACACCTCCCCAGCTGCCTCCTCTCCTGCTCCAAAATGCTCCAGCTGAGTGGGCAGAACTGCCTGTGTAGTGAAGTTGGCAGGGCAGGGAGGCAAAAATTGCCGCTGCCGCCACTGCTTCTCCTCTGCCTTGCATCGCTGTAAGTCTCTGGGTTCAAGGGCTCGTGACCATCGCAATCGGATTATGGCCCGACTTGCCCAGTTTAGCCGACCCAAAGAACCGGGTGCATAGCTGTATGCACTTCCTGGGTAAAGTCACCTGAAAAAATGCATTATAACTTAGACTATAACTGAATCAATTCCTGTTGCCCAGTTAGAAGTGAGTTGTTTTTGTTATGTTTCTAATCAATTCTATGCAACAAATGCATTTTTAGAGATGGGCAATCTTTCTCGAGGAAATAGAGTGGAAAAATTTCCACCCAGTATCAGTGGATTCCCCTTAGCCCAAGCGGTCACTTCTAAATGCCACTGACAGCTCCTCTCTCTGTAATGAGTAGACGCAGCAGCTGAGATGGATTCCTGTTGGCCCTTAAACAGGACCTTATTAAATCCAGAGACAGCCAGGAGTGGGGAGTGCAGCATCTCTTCCAGGCATCCTTTTGCCAAACTGCAGGCCTTGGTGCTGTTCAACAAGGAGAAGGGAAAAATCGTGCTGGGGAGATGACATGAGTGGGGCAGTAGGCACCAGTGAGCCCTGTGGGGCAATTCCTCCCCCTACTCCCCTGATTATGGCTCTGCAACTTTGATTTAAAGTATCACTCTTGAAGAGAAGCATTGGGGCTTGCAAGCTTTATTATTTTGTTCCTTTCGTTTGGTTGTTTAGACTGAAACAGCTGAGCGAGGAACCCTATACCCAGGAAGAGGCTGAGAGAGCAGCCGGGATGGGCTCCTACATTCCTCCCCAGAAGATTGAAGTCCACACACAGCCCCTTGAGGAGATGGAGGAATCCAGCTGAGACGAGCAGAGCTTTTCTGTGGCCCGTCTGACTGTGGAGATTTGGACATAACTGGCCAGGGATGCACATGATCACACGTCCCTCTTGCACAGTTGCAGAACTGAGACAGAGAAGGCCAGCCAGCGGGTCTCGCAAATTGGAGGGGAGTGTCTTTCACAATGAAAAACACGCTTTGCCCTGTTCTCTTCAGCAGCGGCTGGAGTTCAGCGGGAGGTCAGGGAAAGGCTCAGCAGATGCTCCCCTGTCATATTGACCCAGTTTATGTAACTAATTGCTTCTCCTGCTCAAAGCTGTGGCTGTGGATTTTCAGCATTTTGCTCTTAATATGACCTCTGCATCTCCCGAGTGAGCCCTCATAATAAATAAGCTCATAAGCTGTTAACTTGACCCCCGGCTCTTCTGTGTTGCTGCTTTGGTTCAAAGTGGTGGGCAGACATCAGGCTTCTAGGATCTACTCCAGGTTTTATTTTAGAACCAAGTGGGTTTGGTGCAAAAAGGCAGGCATTCCAGATTAGAGTCCTGAGCCCAGGATGCCGTGCACCAGAACTGAATTTGTAGGTGGTGATGGTGACAAGTGAGTATGCCGATGCTTGGCTGAAGCAGTTGGGAGCCAGAAGTTCTTGGTGATCTACTGGAAATTATCCAGACATCTAACAGAAGAACCTGATCTACCATCTGCCCAGCCCTGCCTTAAGCAACGTTTTCTTGGTCCTTTGAGAAAAGCAGTAGCTGCTGCCACACAAGGTCATGGCCCATTCATTTCGCTTGAATTGCTTTAAGAATAACCGCCTTGGTTCTGTGCTCAGAATAGTGAGCCTGAACTTGCATTTCCCCTTTCACCCGCAGTGTGATGTGGCTGCAAAAAGGTAAGGGCAGGTTTGGGTTGCAACAACAGAAGTACAGTTTCCAAATCATGGCTGGTAATAGTTCCTCTCTACTCTGTGCTGGTCAGACCTTACATTAAAGCCGTAAGACAAATCTTGCTTTCCATACTTGCTTTCCATTCTTATTGTAAGTATATGGCTAGGCGGTTAAAATAGTAAAAGGTTAATAATCTGACTTATTCTCATCACGTGTGGCAAAATACTCAGCTAATTTGGTAACCTCAGTGGAAGAGGAATTTTGGCCAGGTTCCAATGTAACTAGTTTATTAATTCAAAAACAAGCTCCTACATTCTGTCCTCGCCCTTCCCTCTTCTTGTATGCCCCACTTTAGTGCTTCTGTCTTTGGTTGGTTTAAACTGTAGGTCTCTTTTACATCCAAGCTGGAAAACAATTGCTTACTCACTGCTTACTTATAAATCTGGATAGGGATCCAGGAAGAAACAAAGCTAATGAGAATGAGTCTGTGTTTGATTAAATCAAATCCTTGGTTTGGGTGCAACCAGAAACATTAGAGCAGTTCTTTCAGGCTGGAGTGCGTACACAAACAAATAACTCATTCTCATACTGACAAAGTATGGTTTATTGGTCTTAAGATCTTGCACCTGAACCTGGTGTCCAGTCTCCAATCTAACCCAATCCAGTAAGTTGAGCTAATTTATTGGAAGAACAGCAGAATTTCAATCATTTCCTGCCCTTTTTGTTTCTGTGTATTTTGCCAAGAAAGGCAGCTGTTTAAATTCTTGGGTAACATTCTTAGCTGGTATATACAAACATCCCAGTAACTCAACATCAGCAACTACCAGGGTCTCAGTTTTTCATCTAGACATCTTTTTCAATAGTTGGATAGTTGGATGAGAGGAGAAGGGTAAAAGACGTATACATTTGGTGTATTCCTGTGAGAACCTGGAACTGTGAGCTCTGAATTCTGTTTTCCAGATGGTGAAGTAACCATTTTGGTGCAGTATGAGGACAAGCGGAAGAGAGGTGTAGATCTTCTGGTGGATCCCTGAACAAATTGTTGCAGGTTTCTGGGTATATTTGGTTAGGCTGTTTAGACCCTCTAGATGAATAGCATACTAGCAACAAAATTAATCCTTTGCTACGGCTGGTTGTACATATCCCTGCAACACATTTAGCTGTTGAAGCTGCTGAACCAAGCACATCTTTTGCTATGAATCAGCAGAGATTAAGGCCCTTTACAAAGGCTTTTGGAAGAAGATATGGGAATGCTTTGGGTTCACTACTGTCTCCCTTAGCTGTTTCAGAGGAACAAAGAGTCCACTGAAGTTTTAGGCCTGGATTATACCTCTAAACATGGGATTTTTTGCATGCCTCTAAAAATCTGCTTTTTATTTTTGATTTCCTAGTCCTCATGGTTATGGTGGACAATCTTTCCGAATTGAAGTGAGATGCTGCCAATATATGGCTTGGTGATAACACTTGTGAAAAGGATCTTGGACTTAAAAGTTTACGCAGGCTGAGCGTGCATCGTAGTGTGGTGGGCTCTCTCAGATGAGAGTGATTATCTGGGTTTGTTTCAGTCAGGACTTAGGCTGAGTTTTATCATGGAAACTGGCTTCGTCACCTGTATGATGACCTCAGTGGGGAGAGAGACTGGAGGAATGTGACCCTACCTCTCACATCAACCACGGTATCCTTCTGAGGCAGATGTGTGAACAGGAAGTTGTGGCACTGCAGTGCAGTGGTTCTGTTCCTACTTGGATAGTTGTTACGTGCCATCAGGTTTTCTTGGTCTCATGGCAACCCTATGCACGAAAGCCCTTCAGCACTGGATGGTTGACTGGGTAATATGTAGTTCAGCCCTGTGGATTCTCTGGCATGTGATTTCTTGGGGTTTGTTTTCTGCCTGGCTGTGACAATGAACTGGGTGAGAGCTAATGAACTGAAGCACAGTCCAGGCGAGACTCTTGATGACTGGTTCTTCTGTCTGGATTGAGAATCCCTTGAATATAAGGTGCTACTTCGTGCAGTATTCAAAACAATTGGCTTTGTTTTCATGATAAACCTTGACTTACGGTGTCAAGGTTTATGCACCTTGGTGTCAAGGTGTCAAGGTTTATGCAGAAATGTGTGTGTGCATATGGGGGATGGGTTTTCTTACCATCCTATGTGTAGGCTTTGATGTAAAATTTACCCACCAAAATATTTCACTTCCCACCAGAAGAATCCAAATTCTGCACTCTGTATAATTCATGCCAACTTTTTCTTTTCCTATTTCACTCATGCCAACTTTTTCTTTTCATATTTCATTCTGTTTTATGAGTTGTGGGTTGAGGAAGGATATGGAAGAGGAAGGAACTATGGACTTGGTGACATTCTTGATCCTGAACACTCCTGGTTTCCAAGATCTTTCCTGGCATGCTGCAGACATTCAAGCATATTTCTGTAGTCATATGGGCTAGTAACTTAGAAATCTCAGTATATTTTTTAAAAAAGTAGCCAAATGCAGTACCAACTTGCATCCAGTGCTTCAGAAGAATGTACATACAACTGCATCTCTCTCTTTTTGTTAGGCGTGTGCTTCAGGCTCAGGAATTCTCATCTAGGACCAGGGATGAGTAAAGCAAATAAGTTGTATTTTCTAAGTACATCATTTCAGCCCTTGTTGGGGCAGTTTGGCCCCTTCTAATGCAGGATTGGGGAACTTGGGGCTCTCTAAATATTTCTGGAGCACAACTCATCTCATTCCTGATCAATGGCCATGTTGGCTGGGGCTGATGGGAGCTGTAGTCCAACACCAGTAGTCCACAGGTCCCCCCACCCCTGTGAAGACAGACGTGGGACTTTGTCTTGTAGCAAACGAATCTCCCTCGATAGTAATAATGACCCAGGCACGGTTTTTTTTAGAACAGAAATTTACTGTTAAAGTGCAACGCATCGTACCCCACCCTTGCTGGTGACGGGTGGATCTGTGCTTGTACATTCTTCCAGATCTGGCTCTCCTACTCAGGAGGAGCCTAACCCAGAGGGGTGCTAGAGTAGAGTCTACTTGGAAGCTTGAGGAGCAGCCATCAGTCTGGAGCGGAGTGTCTAGCTGTGCATGCAGGCGCTCCTTGGCTCACTTCTGGGCATTTCCAGTGAAAGGAAGAGCAAGGAGCATTTGATGGCAAAGACCTCTGGCTGGGGAGCTGGTGCCAGCCGGAATAACAGAGCAGCCTTCCCAAGCTTGGGAGATGCCGCTTCGGATACTTCAGGCAACGCGTCCCAGTATTCCTGTCAATAGGCAGTGCTGGCTGGGTCTGCTAGAAGGGCACCAGGTTGGAGAATGTGATACAGGGTGAGCAGAACAGTTTGGTGGATTCTTATAATTACATTATGATTATAGCCCCCTTTTCCTCCTCCAACAAGGAATTCAGGACAGCTTCCATGGTCTTCCTGCTCTCCATGTTATCCTCACAACAACCCTGTAAGGTAGGTTAGGCTGCGTGCCCCTGACTTGCCCAAAGTGGGGACTGAGTGATCGCTGGAGACCCAGTCCAGCACTCTAGTATGCACTATATTGGCTTTCCGGGATAAATGTTCTTCAAGCTGATCACTCTAAAATTCCCTTGAGAACTTAAATCGCTCCCTGTAAGAACAGGACAGTGCAGCCTTTTCAGCTTTGCCATATATTCTGCACAACTGAAGGGGACTGGATGCCTCATCTTTTAAAATCCCGCCTCCCTCCTCTTTTTACCGGCTGGTCCAAATGCGCGAGTGAGGCCACAGCTGTCTGGCCACGTGTTCTGTTATGCAAGCAGGCACTCTGCCGTGCCTTCCAGGTTCCCGCGATGCGCTACTTCTGGCCAAGCTGGTGCGGAGCTGCTATTGGCAAACGGTTTGCACAGCCCTCCGCAAGAAGATCCACTGCTTTACATTCAGTGCGGCTCGTTTTCCACATCCCCCTCCCTCCCGCCACCGCTGCAAACCCTCCCCATCGTCTCACATCAGATAATCCACCCCAGATCCCAGATGTGCTTTCAAGCCAGTGCTGGCTCCAGTTCTGCGGGCCCCTGGGAAGGATGCTCTCCATGGGCCCCTCCCCAGGCCCATCTTCTCACCCCATTATTGCCAGCTCCCCAGGCCCATCTTCTCACCATTCTTCCCCCTTTTTCTCATGGGTCCTTGCCCCTTTGGCTGCATGACAGGCAGGCAAGCTGGCCAGGGCATCCCCTGCCCCTCTCCCTCGGCTCTCCCGTCCTCTGGGCCAGAACAAGAGGCAGGTGAGTGGCACCTGGGGCTCTTGTCCGTGGGCCCCTGCCAAGGTGTGGCAGGAGAGCAACATGCGGCCCACAGGCGCCTCTGCATCACACCCCCACTGCGGCGGCTGCCACCCTTTGCTGCTGCCAAAGAGCAGCTCCCTGGAGCAGCAGGCTGCTGCCAGCCTGCTTTGCACACCAAAGCCCCCCCCCCCCCCCGCAAGCCCTGGCATCTCCTGGCAGGGCCAGAAAAACTCCTGCCTGAAGCAGCGGAGGGCTTCTGCCCGCCAGTGTTGGCAATGCAGGACTACCTGGATTGGGGTCTCGCGCAGTATAAGGGGGCTTCCTGAGTTCCTAAAGGGCCAGATTCGGTCCTCAACCTCTGCGCAGAGTGGCAGGAGGCCCCTGGTGGGCTGCCACCACCCACCACCAGACAATCCAAATGAGATGGACCAATCCCAGTATAAGGCAGCTTCCTAGGAATAATGCCCCTCTGCCCTTTTCTCCCCAAAGAGTCCGGGGAGCTGCATCCAGTGCAGGGCAGGGGTAGCCTTGCCACTGCCTCTGCAGGAGACTTGGTACTACTCTGCCCATCTGCTGACGTGACTCCTGCTCTGTGTCCCATCAGTCCCTGCAAAGAAAAGGCCCAACTCTGCTCCAGAAAAATGGGGAAAAGGGTTTCTTGGAGGAACTCCCAACAGGCTGCAGCAAACAGACTCTGCACAAGCCAAGGCAGTCCCGCAGGCCCAGTGAGCTTACCCTCTGAAGCCCCTTTCGCCGTGCAACCCGGGTCTTCAGGGGAGGGTCAGGGCCAGTGGGGAGTGGCCCCATAGAGCTAGAACACGGCCTGAAGGGCACGCCTGGCCTTTGCTTTCTGCTTCTTTAGTGATGATCCAGGAGGACAAAAGGGCACTGCTGGAAAGGGAGCCACCAGCAAACCACCCAGTCTGAAACTGGAAAGGGGTGTGTGTTTGGGTGGATGCCAGAGACCTGGCCTTCCTCGCTTCAGTCTGCATGGCTGGAATCCTCTTTTCCAGTGTGTCTCACAGGTCTGGACGTGGCTTGGTCTCTTCGCTCATTTGCCGAGCGCTGTAGTAGGAAAGACTCAGTCCCACCATCGCCAGCAGCAATGCCAGGTGATTCACCAGCCGGTCTTGAGGTTCTGACTCGGGTCTGCTGGCCAGCTGCATCTGTGTGAATGTGAAGAAAGGGCAAACCTTTAGGAAGTTGGAAGCATGCTCACGGGCTGAAATGGAAGGGGCTACATTTCCCTTATCTTATCAATTAGGAGTGGCTGTAGATGCCATTCATGCCTGTGGAGGCATGCAGCCACGACAGATGGTAAAGTCTGGCTTAGTTCAGCTTAACTGGGTTGATTTGCACAATTTGCATAACTTTTGATTTTTTAAAAGAAGTTTCTAGTCCTCATGGGGGTACGCAATGAACACTGTCATGGCTTGTGATAGACACTGCTCTGGCTGGATAGCAAGAGGTTACGGAATGGAGGATTCTGTGGTGTGTGCACACATTTATTTATCTTCACAGCAACCTGTGAGGAAAGTTAGGCCAGGAAATGATGTCTGGGCCCAGGTCATCCAGTAAGCTGAGTGCAGATCTGAACCCAGCCAGCCTTAACCCTTTCCCAATGAATTGTCATGTTCATGACACCAGTAACCAAGGGGAGCCAACGGGATGACAGGAGCACAGAATAAATACACACCCTGGAATGGACAGGTGCTGGAATGCGAGCGGGGAAATCTACATTCAAATGCTGCCTTTGGCCCTGAAGTTTGTTAGGTAGCAGAATCTACCTCACAGGGATGTTGTGATAAAATGGGGCAGCCCAATATACATTGCATTGAGGATCCAAACATGAGAAGCAGAAAATATCTGCATAATGCAAACTGGGAAACATTCATACAGTGATTTTATCTGTCCCTCTACCAAACACGGAATATGCATCTTGCAAACTGTAGTTATCGGCAGAGCAGGAGCACAGAATAAATACACACCCTTCCTTTCCCTTACAGCGAGGACGAAATCCTTCACTAAGAATTACCTTCATGGCCTGAATGACTAAGAGAAATGGAAATGATCCCTTTGGAGGACGGAGCCTCCCTGAATTCTGCTTTATTTCATGGGTAAACAAACAGCTTCACACCTTTAGCATTTGAGGACATCCTGTATTAAACATTATCCTCTCAAGGCCAGAGAGCACAGCTGCAGGCTCTTACCCACCCTCCAGCTAAGCTTGCCACACCTGCTCTCTGCATCCCAGCCAATGGGAAATCTGGGTTCTTCTGGGTTTGCCCCTGGACAGTCATCCTGCTTAGCTGTACAAGCACTTTGGCTCTGCAGCTGTTGATCATGTACAGCCTTCTGAAGCAGTTTTAGCAGTAAATGAAGCGGAGTCTGCAGCCTCCTTAAGGTGAAATGTGCTGGAATGTTTAATCTCACTGAGCATTTCACCTGCAGATCAACTCAGCAGAACAGATGTATGAATCAGCAAAACTGAAGCTTGTCAACGTTCTCCAAATTTCAGCCTGTATCAATTTGCAAACTATTGTTTTTTTTCTCCATATGAAAATACACGCATCTTTTTGCATGCCCAATGCCCATGTCAACTGCACATTTTAGAAGTGTGTGCTCTTAAATTGGGTTTGTATGCATTTTTCAAAAGTGTGCACTTTTTTGAAGTATACATTTTCCAAATGTATGCTTCTTTTGAACACTTTTTGTGGGAGGTCTGCAAATCGCATTGCAATGTGCAGACTTCAACTGCAGCTTGGAGTCTGGGCCATGTTCACTTCTGGGAGGTGTGCATTGGGTACATTCCAAGAAAGCTGAACTGAAATGAGTTCTTTGTACATCCTGAGCTGCACTTACTAACTAGGTACAGTGGGAAAAAAAACCTGGTGGTGAAGTCCCCACTGGTATTATGTATCTCTATGCATGCATTCAGATGCATGTACACTCAGGTTAAGAGCAGAAGCCTCTAGCTCACCCCTGCACCTGAAATGCATAGCACGGTTCTGTACATACCTTCTCAAAAGTAGGTCCTGTATCAGTTGGGACTTACAGGCTTGCAAGTCTTAATTTTTGCAAGTCACTAGCCCTCATGGCTCTAATGATAACTCCGTGACCAATGTATGCTGAAACCTCAGAATCCTGGCAGCAACCTGAAGGGCCCTGCTCTACTCATCTTCTATTTTTTTAATCCTTAAGTCAGACTTGAATTGGACAGCCCTTCATATGAAGGGCAGCTTTAATAATAGGACACCTTCAACTATTTATTTGCTTATTTTATTTCTGTATTACCCAATAAACAATGCTGTCTGGCTAGCATACGGCAGGATACCAAGAAATATGGTACAGAGATAGCCTTAAAGTATTCTAAATGGTTCTGCAACAAATTGTTACAGTATGGGATGTACCCTGTCCAGGATCTGAGCCATGGCATTCCCTCTCCTCAAAATTCTCTTCCCCCCAAGCTCAGTCCTCCAAGGGCTCTTTTTGGGATTCCCCTGTAAGGTTTCTTTCCCAGCTGCTGTTTTTCTGCAAATCTCTTTAGTTGCCCAAACCTCCTGCTAGTTTCCTCTTCTCTGTGGGTGCTGCCAATTGGATACAGGACAAGTGCAAAAGCGTAAGAAATGGCAGGATTTGACTATAGCTCTGTGCTGATCCTTTTACTAGTTTCCTAAAAACTTTGCAGAAATAAAATTCCCCACTTTGAAGCTGGTTTCCAGAAGCAGTCAGTGGGTAGTGTCTAGCAGTAGGTAAAATGTTGGACTGGGATTCAAGAGATCTAGCTTCTAGCCTTGGGCCATTCGTGGACTCTCAGCTCAACCTACACCACAGATCTGCATGCTGCTCCTGGGTTTCTCAGTCGAGGAAAGGGGTTGGGAGATATATTAAATAGTGGAAGATTCCAAATCTATGAATCGTTCTTTTTCAGGAGGATCTGCACAGTCACTTGGATGCCCAACAGGATAGGATGTAGACAGCTTACCTGTAGCAGGCGGAAGTACCCTGGGGTTAAATGCCGGAGGCGGAAGATCATAACACAGAGGGAGGGAGGCTGGCGAGGTCGGTTCGTTCCCGATCACTTTCCTTGTGGCTTTATTTAGGCTGATGAAAGCTGTGAGACGAAGCGTGATAGAATTGGTTAGAACATGGTGGGAGAGAAGTCGCAGAAGAAAAGAGATGACTAGCAAACACTATCTCGTTTTTGAAATTGTCTGGAGATCCCGTCTGTGGATTACCCCAAAATTATCTTCATGGAACGCCGGGCACTGACTTGCACGGGTTGTACTTTGGGTATTAATGCAGACGCGTTGCCGGCTCATGAGAAGAGACAGGGCAATTGCCCAGAACATCCCGTCCCCTGGAATGCGGGATGAAGCACGACTTTCCTGCTGCAGGAGCGTCTTCCTAAATTTCCCCATTGCTCTTGGACAGCTCCAGCCTGCCACACTCGCCCTCCTGTTCGGCTCCTCCTGGGCCACTAAGGCAAGGGGATGTCATGGCGACTCACAAGTTTCTGGGTCCCAGTCGGTATATGCCACGCTCCAGTGGTACTGCCGAGCGCCTGTGTTATGGTGCTTTTAAATGTTGCCCTCCCCTCCCTGCCCGATGACGATGCCGCTGCAGCGGCCTCAGGAACAGCTGTCACAAGAGATCAGCGCTTGATGCTCTGCCGACCGCGTACGAGCCGTGTGTCAGGAGGAAGTGGCTCTGGCTGGGCAACAGAAAACTTGCGCCGTGTTCAGCATCTCCGGAGGACCGACTTGCACTGTGACGCAGCAGAAATCGTGAAGCATGTGGCCATGGGTCCAGTTTGCTTGGACAAAGCGGAGGACAGTCCTTTGCTTGAAGGGGCCCTCAAGACGGCTAAAGGTTTTGGAGCAAGGTACCCTTAGTAGGTCCCTCCTGTGGGGGGGGGGGTCTTCCTTCTGTCACCAGCTGCCCCTGCTCCTCCACCTCTTCCTCATCTTTGCATCCTCAACAGGTGAAGAGCCAGGCAAAGTGCGCCATGGCGTCTCCTGCCCCTCGCCACTGCTGCCTGGGCCAGAGAAAGACAGGTGGACATGCAAGCTCCAATGGCAAAGAGGGTCCTTTGTAAGAAAGGGCACTTCTGGCCAGGGCCCAGTTCAAATATGTCAGTTCCCTCTCTCCCTCTCTTTGCCATCTCCATGCAGGTGGGGATGCATGGACATCTTCACTATCCCATAACTCAGCTCCTCTCAGTCATGGACTTGCAGTACGATCCAGTACCCGCGTGCTCTTGAATTGGTCTTACCAGGTCGAAGAATGCAACCTTAATTGTAGAGTCACACACAACTTTGGGTGCCACTGGAGCACAAGAGAGAGCTGCCCATCTAGCAGTAGCATGTGGTCAGGTCCTCCTTGCCACCCCCAACAAAAATGGGGTTTCTGGGTGCTGGGGTGCAACAGGAGTCCTGAATTTCCCTCTCCAAGTGATGAGATGAGTTCCTTTACAATTTTTTAATATCTGTGTCTGCAATGCTCTGTAGGTCCTGGAAGTTCTGTCTTGAGGTTTTCTAAATGTTATCTTTCTTTTTATGCATTCACTGCTTCTGTTCTGTGTTCCTGGGAAATATGTTGAAACAATTATCCTATTTTGGGTGGCCCTGCTCAGCTTCCCAACTGATTGGCATGCAGTCTCTTGAATTTGAGGGAATTAGAGGGAACCAGTCATTCCGATCTTGTCACAGAAATGCCAGCACGGGTCCCATTACATAACAACTACCCAGTTAGTTATGAATGTCTGGGTCTATTCAGGGACAGACAGGTCTGGCATTCTGTCACTGCCATTCTAGCTCCCTCTAGTGGTGGCTAAAGCACATGCGCTCAGCCCATAAGAGGCACCAAGGGACCAAAATTCGTACCAGCGTTATGTCAATCTTGTGCATGATTAAACAGAAAAAAGGCCTACAGCTCCCAGCATTCTCCAGCTAGCATGGGAATTGTGGGGCGTTTTTCCTGCCTAAACGTGCATGGGATTGCACCCTTAATAAGGCCAAGAAAAGGGATGGAAGAAGCATTGGGAAAACACTGTAATGAGTGGAACCTAGAAGTCTGGGGGAGGAAGCAGGGGAGGAATTATTTCTTTTGCAGGCCTTTTAAAGACATGTGAACTGGGTTTTACTGAACTCTAATTTTTGCAGCCATGCTGTGATTTATGTACACTAAAAATGTTGAGAAAGCAGCTTCAACAGTTATGGTTCATGTTACCAGTTAACAAAATGTTTTAAAATATTAATAACCCATTAGTATAAAATCAAAACCAAGCTACAACAGAAATGTTTTTATCATAGCATCATAGAGGAAGCACCTCTCTTGTTGGACAAGGGTTTTGGGGTTTGAAAACAGCCGGTCATTTCTCCCTACCCCTGAATCTCTCTTCTCAAAGTTAAACATTCCCAATTCCTTCTATCTTTCCTCCTTGGACTTAATTTTCCACCCCCCGATCAGTTTTTCTGCCCTTCTCTGAACTTGTTCCAATTTGCCCTTCTCCGTACTTGTTCCAGTACAGAGTAGAGTGAAGCTATTACTGCCCACGATTTTGAAACTTTACATCTTTTGGGGTGACTTAGAATTGTGTTTGATTTTTTGGCAGCCACATCATACTGCTGATGGACAATTGTAACAGACATCGCAATTGAGCTTCTGCTGGACTGCAGTTCCAAGATTCCTTTACATGTATTGGTGCCAAGCCAATGATCTCCCAGCTTGGACCTGTGTGTGTTGTTTCTTTTTCATATATGAAGAATTCTGCATTAGTGACCTTACACTTTCATAGTTGTTTTCTGCCCTGTCTTCTCCTTTATCAAGATCATACTGAATGTTGCTCCTGTCTTCTAATGTTTTTGTTTTGCCACTCTTCTGGGGAGCCTGTATGGATGTTTTGATGGCACTTCATTATCAGCAAATTCACATACATCCTTGGCTGCTTAAAACATATTTTTGAATGCAGTCTCGGTTAGCATTTCTTGCAACCATGTCCCAGCACAGTAAGTAGAAAAGCTATGATGAAGTAAAGATTCTTCTGTTGCAACAATGGTATTAGATATAGCAATATTTTTAGCATAGTTTCAGTAAGAAAGGGGGAAAGAAAGTCAACCAGTCTGATTGAACCATCCAGTGGCTTCAGTTCTTAGATAACATTTTCAGAAGGAAATGATGCCTAGATGAATTTAAGTGCAAAGACAATGAATTCTTCCTCTGAAAGTAGAACTCTAACTGAATCTAAGTGTCCAATTCATTGCTGAACCAATCAGTGTTTTAAAGAACTAAACTGAGCAACATGCCTCTTCTTAAAATAACTACAAGTGTTTGCATGAGTCAAAATATACATTCATCCCAGGTATGCCCACAGTGACCCAGCCCCAAAATGACAGCATCTACATCTTTACGGAGAAAAGCAAAACCTTTCCTGCTGGTTTCCTCAACTTTCCTTTAAAAATCTAGTTATTTGATTGTTGGGGGACAGAACATTTCGTGGTGTTGCCCACCTCTGGCACGCCCGTGCCTTTGGGCCTGCTTCCAGACAAGGCTTTTGCCTTGCATTATTCAGGATTTCACCCTGGCGGGGTGGGGGCTGCCTAACGGCAACGCGCTTCACTTCTAAACCGCCCGTGTGTTCCCCATGGCTTCTTCTGTGTTTTCTCTCTGGCCGCTTGCAGTCCGTTACGACACAAAACGTGCGAGTGCTGTCCGAAGTCTTCGCTTCAGAGGCTCCCGACCTGGATTGGAGCCTGCGAGAGACCCTTCACGGCTCGCTCTCGCAAGGCACGGTTCCTCCCCTTCCGCCAATCTCAGCGAGGTTTGCTCCATCAGCGCGCACAGGTTCGCAGCCCGCATTGGCCCGGCGGATCGGGGCGCGCGGCAGGCTCAGTCCTGTCCCTTTAAGGGAGTTAGGCAGGGCAGAGAAACTGGTTTGTGTAGAATCCACCTTTTTCAGCGCGAGGCTGGCAAAGCAACGGGGGGGGGGGGGGGAGAAGGAGCTGCCTGGTGAGTGGCTGCAAGTTTGTGAACACTTTCATGAAGGGAGCATCTCCGAAGGGGAGCTGAGCGCCCCCGCTCCCCCTCGCGCGCGCGCGCGCGCCCTAGCCCCTGACTCATCCATCCCAGAGGAGAACTGCCTGGGACAAAACCCAGCGCTTGGGGAGAAGGCGGGCTTTCCCGCTGAGTGACGTAAGGCTGGGACCAACCAGAACCCCAGCGGGTAGTTTACCTGTTGGGACCTGCAGGTGTGTCTTGCGTTTCATCCGTGATTTCCCTGGCACGGAAACGGATTCACAGAGCAGCAGTCTTCCGACAGAACCCGGCCAGGGCTCCGATCATGGAGCCCATCTCTACCTGGAATCCCAAGATGGTGGTGGCCTGGATGAGAGGTAAAGGAGGGGGCGGGGAAGGGGAAGGAGAGAGGAGCCTGGAGCGGGGAAGTTGAGCCAACATCGAACAGGTGGTACTGTAGGTGGGAAACTCCCTCTGGTTGCTTGGACTTCAGGCTGTGGGGCAACCTTTGCCAACTTGGTCCCCTCCCAATGGGTTGGACTGCAATGCCCATCATCCCCGAGGTTGGGAAAGGCTGCTGGAGGAAGTGGATGGCTGCCCCAAAGCCCCATGTCAAGGCTTCCTGTCGGAGCTGGAGGGCAGCCCCATCTGGACAACAAAAGCAAAACAGAACCTGGCAGGAGCAAATGATAGGAGAGCGCCCACTTGGTGCCTGCGCGAGTTAAACGCGTTCCCGCACTGGGCAGGTTTGCCCAGGTGCGTGAGCAGGACTGCATTCTGTGTCATGGCTGGGTGGGGGAACGGCTTCCCTAGACACACCTGCCCTTTCCCGGCGATGGTTGTGGGGGCCGCAGCAAAGGATTTGGGAGTATGTAAGGGCCACATGCCTCTTCTCTCTCCCTTCCCCTGTTGCCTGCAGAAAACAATGCTGCCCTTTGTGAATTTGCAAGCAAAGGAATGAAAATGGCAAAGGTGGCCAGGGGGGCGGGGGAGGAAAGGTTGGTCAGGCCCCCAGAGCTGCTGTTTGTTTGCAAGCCTAATTTATATTCTGCTGATGTGAGGGTTAGCAGCACAAACGAGCATCATGCCAGTATCTATGGTGGGCTGAGACTTAATGCTTACTGATTGGATTTCCATCCATGTGGGTGACGGTGTCACCTCAGTGCTCCCTTTGGAAAGCCTCCCCCTTGGACAGTTTTAAGAGTGAAATGAGATTCTCAAGTCCTGCCCTGTTAGGTAGCTGTGCAAAGCTGCTTATTGGCTCTTGGAAATCCAAGTGTTTTTATGGAGTGGGACGCTCGTGGCCTTCCAGATGTTTACTCCTACATCTCCCATCAGCCCTAGCTGCCACAGCTAGTGGTGAAGGATCATGGAAATGAAAGCCGGAACATCTGGAGCACTGTGCATTACCCATTAAGCTTCAAGAGGCTTCTCCAGTGAAAGAAGAATGCTATACACCTCAAACTTTCTTTTACAGTGTTCACTGCATCCGTTTGGCATGTCATATATGCACTGGCTGCCATGCTTAGGCATCCAGAAAGGCCTTGGTAGGCACAGGGTTGGGTGACTTGTAACTCCTTCGGCAGGTAGAAGATGTGGACACACATCCTCATCTGGAAATCCTGTAATGCTTTCAGGGCATATTCCTTCTCCCAGATTTGCAGCCCTTTAGGTTTAGGTATACATTTTTCCCTAGGCCCTTTCTAACATGGGGATTGTTTGTGTCAACATACACCGCTCTCTAGTCCCCAGACACTTTCTGTTTGCTGTTTTTTCTAATATTTCTGTGGCACCCATCAGGGCAAATAGCTTTCCTGCTGTTTATAATTCTGTGGCATCCGTCAGGGCAAATAGCACTCCTAACATGACTGGCATATGTAATTGCACCATAAAATGCAATTAAAAATCAACTGATTTAAGCTTACAATACTAAAGCAGTGATCTAGAACACTTTCCAGCTGAGGACAGGAAATCCACAAGGGCTGCCATCCTGTGCATTATCTAGATAGGAAAAATAGCTGGGAGTTTTGGGACATTTTTCTCTCTGAACATTCATAGGACTCTGCCTTAAAACAAATCAAAAGGAGATGAGGACTGCAGTATAGATGAACTAAAAATCCAGCCCAGTGTCTTTCACTGCAAGCAGAATGAAACAAAGGCTCTGGAGTTCATGGGGAGTCGCACTGCAGATCCCTTGCAAGGGGGTAGCATAAATAAAAGGGTCAACGCTGAACAGGCCTTGTCTCTTACGACCCACGAGATCTTAAGGCCTGGACACGTTCCTGTGGGTCCAGGCAGTGCTTCAAATAGTAATATGTCGCTGTTCTTCTGTGCTGTTGAGCAATGTGCTCTGACTTATGGCAGCCCTCTGAATGGGTGTCCTTCAAGCCGTCATGGCTTTCACGGCCTGAATCAGCTCTTGTAAACTCCAGGCTGTGGCTTCCTGGATGGAAGTTTGCATATATTAAAAGTGCTGCACAGCTGGTCATTGCTGAGCAGTGTCACCAGGTATGTTAGTGGGAGAGAATGTTGTTGGTCTGAAGTCTGTTGTTTGTTGTTAGTCAGATTACTGGACTGTCTAGGCCAACAGCCAGTGGCAGCCTACGGACAGCATAGTAACTCAAGGGGTTCTTGAACTATTGGTTGTTGTTGAAACGTGGGTTATTCTGTTGTTTGAACCCAGCTGCCCTAACAAGCCACTGCTTGTTAACCATAAATAACTCATGAAAAGAACCGATGCTTTATTGATGTGAAATGTTGTTATTCACCATGGTTTGTTAGTTGGCTGAATTTAGACAGTACAAAAATCCATAGTTCACGACAATCTTAGCAAATGTTATCCTGTTTTCTGAACTCAAGGTCAAAGACTGGGTTCAGGTAACATGGCAACCCACACTCCAGTGTGGAAGGAGGGTGGTTGTTGAGCCACGGGTTGTAGCATTGCCTGAACCTAGCGGCACTAACAGACCACAAAGAACCCTTAGCTTGTTGTTTGGTTGTGAGCAGTAGTTTATGGTGCTTAGCCAACCATGGTTCAGGGACACCTCACACCAAGCCCATGCTCAGCTCTTGAATGTGGGTTATTGGGTGGTCGGAACCTCATCATTGTCCTTTCACTGGCAGTGCCCTGTCTATGGTCTCTAGCAGAAGATTATTTCCCACTGCTGGATCCTTTTTTTAAACTAGAGGTTGTATCTGTCACCGTCCGCTTGGAAATCAGGTGCTCTGCCGCTCAGGTATGACTGCCCCAGAGCCGGCAAGCCAATTCCGTGAAAGAAAAGAAGCTGAAGTGTTTCTGTCCCTGTTTAGGACTGGATCCGGCATTGCAAGACTACCCATTTGAGACATGGGGCTTGACGGGAAAGGCACTGCTTCGTTTGTCTTACCGGGATTTGGAGGAACTGGGTGTGAGTCGTGTCGGTCATCAGGAGCTGCTTCTGGAAGCCGTGGAGCATCTCTGTGTATTGGTTAGTGTGGAGATAGCAGTAGCCCCCGAAAGCTCTCTGCAAGGCCCTTTGGCAAGGGTGGCCTAGGATGAGGTATTGTTTCCTTTGCTGAGGCTGCTTTGGCTTGATTCCCTCTTTCTAGAACTATGAGCTGGAAACGTCCAACCTGCGGACGCTCACTGAGAAGCTGCAAGGGGTCATTCAGACACTCCAGGCTTTCATCCTGAGCCGCAGGAAAGTGAGCACCTACAATGGGAATTCTGCTGAGAGGCCATCCTCGGGCCTCCTGGCTTGCGTTGCAGAGCTGATTGGTGCAGCAAAAGGATTCTTCCTGTGGATCAACCGGTACTTACACGTGTCTTCTTAGGGAGGAGCGTCCTCGGTTTGAAGGACTTCCAGAGGACTGTTCTCTGTTGGCTCTTCTGGCCTGTTTCAAAGATGAGGAAGTGCAGAACTGTTCCTCATCAGCCATTAGAACCTGGGCAGGGGGCACCCAGGGCCCTTGACCACAGTCTTCCTCACTCAGGGGAGATTTATGGAAGCTCAATTTAAATTGGAGTCATTATTTCTAAATCAGCCTCTATGCATCTAAAATATTGCATGCAAATTTTACAAAAACCAGCATCTCTTTTGTCCTCTTTGCTGGTGTTTCACAAGTTGACACCTCAGGTGGGCAGAGTGGGCAGGTAGGCAAGCTCGAAACTCACCTAGGCTCATTTGCACATTACTAAACGATTTTTTAGGGCAGAGCTTCTGGGTGCTAAGGCTGCATGCAGCTCCAGGTGGTACTTTGTACTTCGCGTACGTGCAAGCAGGTTCTTCCCTCTCAGAGTGTAGGAGTTGGAAGCTTGAAACATCTGTTCCCTGCCCTCCAAGATTAGGGGCTGGGAAGCTTAGAGTCTCTCATCCCTCCAGTTATCTGGAACCACATCACTCTTTCTTCCTGGAAAAAGGCAATGAGAAAATGGTGACCTTTCCTTGGGATCACTGAGGAGGAGGCATGGAGCTTTACGTAACATGGCTCCTCCCCAGCAGCCTCGTTGAAGAGCACATCCGAACCTGCTCTGTGTTTCGGAGTACGACAACTGAGAGGGGGAAAAACAACCACCAGGGAATTGTCAAAATGCCATGTGCTCTCACTATATATAGCCTCTGTCCTTGAGATACGAAAGTACAACGTGCATAGGAGGGTGAGTGAACGTGGCTGGTCAATGGAAACGTCACAGGAAGTTTGTTCTTGTATACAAGCTTATTGATGAGTGTGTACACTGAGACACACAATGTACACGTTGAGATAGGATCATGGGTTTCCTTGCTTTTTACACTTGATGTATGCAGGGTGTTTGTGGCTGCAAACATTCTTACCAGATCCTGTCATATCTGGCTGTTCTTAGCAGTCTCTGCTAAGATTCAGGCCCAATTTTTCTTAGCTGTCTGTTTCCATTTTGTTTGTTCCACTGTCATGCCGTAGCCTGTTAGCTCAATATCTCTGTGGAGGAATCTGTAGGGGACCTCATGAATCTTTTCTCGCAGGTATCTCTTCTCCCATGTAAATGATTATTCGGCCAGCCAAGATGTCATTCAGCTCTGTGGAGAACTGGCAGAAATTGTGCAGAAGGTAAGACTGGGTGCCCACGCTCCAGCTGTGGAATACTGGAATGCTTTCCCCATAAAGCAGTGCCCCTGAACCTGGAGCCTTCCAGCTGTGTTACATTACAGCTCCCAGCATCCACAGCAGGCCTGGTTGCTCAGAATGATAGGAGAAGTAGTCCAACACAGCTGGAGGGTGCTAGTTTAGGAGTGTGACTACCATCGTCTGGATGTCAGCTCAAAACTCCTGTATTTGCCCAGGAATTTGAATGTAGGTCATCCCCGTTCTAGTTTTGTTCTTTTTAAATGCTTCTGATGGTGATGTTGCTTGTTTTATTATGAATCTAGTTTTATGGGGCTGATTTGGTCATTGTTTGTTAAGCGTTTTTATAGAGGGAATTAATCTTGCCTTTGCACACTTGCCCGGTATTTATAAGGAGAATAGCCAGTGCAGAAATACTTTCATAATAAAATGTAAAATTTCTGAATTTTAGAAGAGGGGTGATAGTTGAGAACCTCTGTGTTTCACTGATGGTTGGCTTTTCACAGAGAGAAAGCATCTGTTCCTTTCAGGATTAGAAAGAGAAGTCACAGAAGTGATGAGCAGTGTTCTTGGCCATGCTAGGAATTCTTGGGGAAAAGCATGGATTTTTTCACATGCTCTTCTTGAGCATCACTGCTCATCTTTCCTACTGGCTGTGAGAAGCACTCGGTCTGCTGTGTGGAACTGTCAGGCATTCATCTCACCCTCGTGCATGAGACTGCCCTGCCGACATTGGCAAGCTGGATGTCTGAATGTGTTTGGACCTTAGCCTGGTGCAAAGTTAAATCAACGGTGCATCTTCAGTCCCATAGGCACAGGATGGGATCAACTGGCTTGTGCCACCTGCTCTGAGTGCCCATCAGGAGCAGGCCAAGTGCACCTGGCACAGAGGTGGAGAATCTCAGGGCTGCGAATATGGCGTTTCCAAGAAGGCCGCACCTCTTCTCCTAGTCCTGTCGTCTTTCCCTCAGCTGATAGTTTGGTGCCTTCCTGGTTTTGTTCAGTTTTCTCCTCCTTCTAAGGAGAGCAATCCTAGTCATGACTGACTGGGGCATGCTGGGAGTTGGCAACCTGCATAAATTTGGCATATTTTTATTTATTTACTTACTTATTTTTCGATTTATATCCTGCCTTTTTCCTACAAAGGGCTCAAGGCAGCTTACATCATTCTCCTCCTCCATCTTATCCCCACAACAACAACCCTGTGAGGTAGGTGGGCTGACAGTCTGTGACTGGCCCACAGTCACCCAGTTGGCTCCATGGCTGAGCGGGGACTTGAACCCAGATCGTCTGAGTCCCAGTCCCAGGCTCTTAACCATTATGCCACACTGGCTCATATATGCCAACCTCTGTGGATGGGGCATGCTGGCTTAGGTTTTCTGGCATGGGATTGTACCTGAAAGGTTGAAATGCTTTTCTTAAGGTTTAGTTACTGGCAGTGAGAGTTTTAAGCTTCAGTCTGCTGATATGTTTTATTTTTGGCCTTGCCCGTATGCCTTCAACCTGGCCCAGCAGTGGAACATGTCCTTCCCTTGCAAGATGTTCTCCAAACGGAATCTGGTCCTTGAATATCGCTACCCCAGAGGCAGCTGCGTGGGCAAATGGCAGATAATGGGTTTGTTTGCAATGTCACGTGTGGCAGCCATCACCCACAGAGGTAGATTTGGAGAGACCTGGGCTAACCCCACCAAGACAAGGTGATGCCTGGAATGAGTGAGACAGAGGTCTCTGTGTTGCCTTAGTCGGGTGACCACATGTCCTGTTTTATAGAGGACCATCCTCTCTTTAAAGGGCTGTCCAGTTCAAGGGTGCTTCCAGATGAGGCTTCTGCTGGGCAGCCCCCGCCCCCCCGCTCATTCACAAAATTTTACCCGCAGATCCAGAGGAGGCGGTCATTCATGTGTAACTCTCCCACCCAAATTTCCCCACCACTGCATCTGTATTATTTTCTTACCCGGAAAATGAACCTATTAAGGAAAAGAAGCTAAAATGGTCACACATGAACTTTGGACTGGGGGTGTCAGAAGCCCTTCTTCTGGAAGTAGACATTTTAAATGGGTGGGGATCAGATGGCCCTCCAGATCTGTTTGGACTGCAATTCCCATCAGCCTTGGGCAGCCAGGCTGAATGTCAGCGAAGACAGAAGCAAAAGTCCAGCAGCATCTGGTGGCTGGGGGCAAAGGTTCTGGATGCCAGCTTTCAAAATAAAGAGCAATAAGAAGGAAGCAGGGCCTATTCAGAGAGGGGGCACAGGGGTCAGCTGCCCCCGGCCTCACAGGCTTGCCACATCAGCATGGGTGGTACGGCGCCGCTATCAGCTTTTTTCCTTCAGAAGCTCACGCACTTGTGCTCCCCAGATCCCCAACACTGGAGACATTCAAGAGGCAGCTGGACAGCCCTCTGTCGGGGATGCTTTAACTTGTGGTCCTGCGCTGAGCAGGGAGTGGGACTCGATGGGCTTACGGGCCCCTTCCAGCTCTGCTAATTTAAGTGTCTAACAGAGGGAGCATTCATAAAGCAAACTCCATTGGTGGGAGGGTTCTATTTTCAGTGGAAGCTGGTGACCCCAGTGTCAGTGGGCAGGGTGTCCACTCCAGTTCGTGTTTTTTGTGTGTAAGGGAACAATCCCTTGTGTGTTTAGACAGGCTGGCTGGCTGGCAGGCACATCCCAGAGCTTTTGTTCAGGCTCCATATGCAAAAGATGGCACCCTTCGCAATCTTATGATGTAAGCCACTTTCACTTTAAGCAGGACATATAATAATAATAATAATAATAATAATAATAATAATAATAATAATAATACCATAAAGCTTCCATAACTATGGCTTCATGGGGTGGCCACATGTCCTCATTTAGTTATTTACTTGATCAACTTAGAGTCTGCATTAATTAGCCCAAAGGACTGTCCTTTTACAGAGAATAGTCCTCTGTTTGAAGGTTTCTCCTGTTGGAAAACATATCCAGTCCAATTCTGGTTTGAAGATCAAGAACCTTCACATCTGCACTTCGACCCTGGAAAGCAGACTGGACAGGCAGGAGTTATTCACATATGCTTTTCTTTGAATCATAATACTGATTTCCAGAAATTAGCACAGGTTAATTTTATGCAGGCTCCTGCCGCCACCATCTTCTGGTGGCGAGTCACAAGTAGCCGCCTTAATCAGCACAGAGCCACAAATTAAGTCAGACTGGCTGTGCCACCGGGACCGCAGGCAGGTCTCTCCGCTGGGCTGGCGGGAAGACAGGTTCCTGCGCTGGCGGAGCGGAGAAGGCTCCTTGGCTGCAGGGAGCCCAGCTTCCTGGGCTCAGTGTTGGCTGACAGCGGATGCCCGAGCAGCCTCTGAACTTGAATGAACTGAGAGGAATGGCAGCTGACCAGAGTGAGTAGGCGGAGAAAGGACAAGAAGAGGGAGGTAAACAAACTGGAAGGGGCGAGTGAGCGAGTTGTCTCTGATAGGAATAATCCCGTGAGTCACGCTTTGGGATCGGGGTCAGGGCTGGATGGATGGGCTTGGGCAATCCCCTGTTCGGTGGGATGTACCCCCACTGACCAAGGCGAAACCAATCTGCTAAAGAGAGAGTCTCTTCAGAATAATACTGACAGGTAGGAGGGTTGAAAAACGCTTCTGCGGGGTGTATGGGGCGGGGGTGTATGTGTGTGAGTGTTTCTCTGTTGGAATCCCTGGAATGAGCAGGAGGGACTTGATGCTAAATGCCCTGTTGGAAAAGCACATCAGTTCCAGGAGAGAGAGAACATGGGAAACGGAATCAGGAATAAGAGCCCTTTAAGGAAAAACTGAGGATCTTTAAGAGAAGAAATGGCTGAAAGTAAGATGGTGTGTGTATAAAAGTGGGACAAGGAAGGGCTAAAGGAATCTGGTTCTTGACCTGCACCAGCTTGCTTCAGTGTCGTGCCCTTCTGATGTCTGGACCTACAGTTGCCCTGCATCTCCCAGGCAGCTCTCTGGACGGGCCTGGGCTGAGCAAGGCTGAGCCGTGCACAGTGCATACAGCTGGGACGGGTGTCCTATGACAAACCAGTTCGCACTTTTAAAACCTGTTAATACTGCTATGAACTGGAGGCATGATGATTAGTTGTCTGGGTGTTCCTTTGTTTTTGTAGTGCATGTCTGCTTGGATAACAATCATTTCTAAATGGGCATCTGTGCATGTAAGTTAGCCGGTGTGATTTTCATATTGTCCCTTTTCCTCACATCTTGTGTTTGTTTGTGAGTTTCCTCTTTTCTGGTAACTCCTAAGTGGCCACCCTTCTCTGCAGTATTGCACAGGGTTGTTTTTCCTTCCCCCGCAATCCCAGATCTTGACTTTGTTTCTTACCTGTGCATTGGAATTCCTGCCAAACTGGATAACTGCTTTTCCTGAAGCTTTCAGCTCAGAGGGAGGGCAGGGACTGCTGGAGCAGGAAAAGACCTGCCAAAATTTGCCTGTCTGTCTGTCTGTCTGTCTGTCTTTTAAAATAAACGAGTTCTCAAGGTTCTCCTTCTATTCTGCCTTTTTCAACCTGATGCTTACCACGTGTGCTGGACAGTATACAGCTTCATCACCCCCAACCAGCACAACTGTGCTGGTTGAGGATGATAGGGCTTGTAGTCAACACAACAGATTGGAGAAGGCTGCTTTCATTGTTCTGCAGTGCTGGACGATTTCATATCCCCAAACTGTCCCAATTTACAGGGAAGGGGGGAGTCTATTCTTGGTACTCATCTCTGATGCTTCAAACATCTGAAGAGCACCATAATGGGAAAGGCTTCCATACATGAAAGAGGCTCTAAGGAGACCGAAAGAAAGATACTAAGCTGGAACAGGCAAATATTAACATGAAAAAGAAGGGTGAGGATGTGCCGTGCTCCTCTTCCTGAGATTAAACCCATCCCTCTTGACTTCAGAAAGGGGGCTAAAACTTTGGAGAAGATCCTAACGTCATGACCTTTCAGCATTCTCAGTTGGGGCATGATTGAAGCGACTTAGGGTGGCAATTTTTAAAATTTGATTTTATTTGAAGGGTTTTTATCCAGCTCTTCAGCTGAAAAGTAGCTTATATAAGCTTGAGGAAAAATAAGGTGTTCCTTGCACAGAGCTATTGTATTTCAATGTATTTTATTGTGTTGTAAGCCGCCCCGAGGCTTCGGCAAGGGGCGGCATAGAAATGTAATCATCATCATCATCATCATCATCATCATCATCATCTAAGAGGCATGTCACAAAAGGAAAACGCAATGAAGAGGGAAGAGGGAAAACAAGCAAACACAGGCATCTGTTTGAATGTTTGTTGCTGGGGGAAAGCAGCTTGCACAGGGCAAAACAGCAAGTTATGCAAAAAGAGAAGGTTAAATTGGCAGAAAATCCATCCTACACAAGTGCAGATGAGCTCCTTGCTCTGGTTGCTGGTGAAGTCAGGAAGGTAACCAGCCGCTTAGCCTGATAAATGATTGCTAAATCATTATAACTCTGTCCCTAACTGTCTCTGGGCCAGTTTGATGGATCCTGCAATGGCCTCACTTGCAATGGCTTTCTCTGTGTTCTTTCTGGCAGGACTGCCCTGCGTTCGAGAGGGAGGATCGGATTTTGTGGATCGTAAGTACTGTGCTCTATGGATCCAGTGCAGGAGGGGAGGCACCCCAGGTGGGATCTTGACTGGGCTGCTGTCTACCTGTCTTTTCTTTTTGTCCAATGTTCCTTTCATCCCAATTTGGGCAATCTGGAGCCCGTAAGCCCTTTTCAGACAGCCACGTGGATCTGTCCCTTTGCTGGCTCCTGGCTGTCAGGAGCCCTTGGGCCACATGACTGCCTTCTCACTGCCCTGGTCCCCAGTGGCTTGCACTGTTCCTCCCCATCCCTCCACTGCAGCCCCTTACCTGGGAAAAGATGGGGCAGACCCATAATGTGCCTCCTGGCCTGTTCAGCAAATACCTACCAATCAGAGGGGAGGGAAGTGACTGGGAGCATCTTGTGCCCCCGTTTGCACTTCTCTCTCCCTGATGGTGCATGGCCCAATTTTAAAGGCAGCGCTTCCCCTCTTGGCATCCCGCAGGGACGACGCATCTCAGGCATCTGTGAGCAGATTCTGACTTCCAGCCCGGCTCATCTCCTCGATCAAACTGCCCTCTTGGAGGCGGTGGAGCTGGTCCCAGCGGGGCCAGAAGACACCCTGGTGAGCCTGTGCTCTCCTTTTTGGCTGGGGCAGAGGGGAATGAACTGGGTTGCCCTTGCTAGCGGCCTGGACGGGCCACCTGCAGAAGGGCACATGACGGTGGGCTGCAGGTTGCTCCCTGTGTACTCACCCTTCCAGGTAAATATTCACCAGGGCTGGCTCTGCACTCGGCATGAGTTACACTGCCTGATTCACTGGCATTTCATGTGGTCCGCACCCAAACTGTCCTCCTCGTGCCCAGTTTTATCATGGCTCAATTGTTTAGAAGCTGGGCTTTCCGTGTGCAGGTGTGCAACAGAGAGTGCTAAACTCGCGGCCCTGTGCTGAGGCCAGCAGGAGTGGCTTCCCTGCTTCGCGGAGAAAGGCAGTGAGAAACTGGGGCCTTGACTAAATAGCAGCAATGCTGCAGAGATCCTTCGCCCGCTTTCCTGGCTCCTGTGCCCCTCCCGCCCCTCCTCTGGCTTCGGAAAGCATAAAGTTGGCAGTGTCTTTGCAAGCTTGCAGATGCATGTTTACTCATCTTCAGGGGCATTTGCTGTTGCGAAAGTCAGCACAGGAATGGGGCCACACTTGCTTTTCGGGATCGCTTTTGAGGGGAATGGGGGTACGAACACCTCTGGCTTCACCCTATGGGAGGTGGGAGGTCTGTGGCAGCACCATAGCCCATCCATCCACCCCCTTTCCTCCTCTATGATTTTTTTGAGGGGGGAGAAGCACTGCCCATGGTTTTCCTTTTTTATTTCTTTAAACATGCACGCACTGATGTTCACTCATTTACACCTGGGGAAAAACCCCCTTTTTTAAAAGAGTCACATTCTCTGCACAGGTCACCTTTCAGACTCCTCCTGCTTCTCCCAAAATCATGATTTCAACACAGTGCTATTGAAAACATTGAAATTATTCACTAGTTTCAATTATTCATTGAAATTATTCACTTGTGTGTGCCCTCAAAATGATAAAAGCCTTTTGCAGAAATACGATGTTCCCAGATTAATGGAAGGGGCTGTAATTTAGATCTGCCCAGGTGGTAACCTTACAGGTCGCTGAACCAGTGGTATGCCAGTACATTGTGAAGTGAGGACACTCATCCTGACAGCCCCTGGAGGAGTCCACAACTGCAGACACCAAGTCATATTGACAAACTGGTTCTAGGAGCAGTTCTTTTGTGGAGCCAGTGCAGCTTAACTGGACAGTGCCCATTCAGCTCCTGTGCAAGACCAGGCTGCCCCCAGTACCCTGCACTGCAACAAGGAACAATGCCTTCTTGGAGAAATCATTTCTCTGGCCCCCGGTTGCTGTGGAGACTGCAGCTGAGCACCGAAGGAACGGGGAAATGTGAGGGAAATGGCCCATGCCAGCAGCATCCCCTGCTAATTAAAAAGTGCTGGTACTGCGTTCCAGCAAGCTCTGGTTCAGCCACAGCGCTGTGCTCAGCATAAAAACAGCACCGAAGTGGTGCATGGCAGAAAACCTGCAATAGTGCAAACACAGAATAAAAGCAACTGCACGATGAACAAAGGCAGGACATGTACCTGGGCCACACTTCAGGGAAAGCTTGAGTGAAGAGGTATGCCACCTGGATTTTGAAATGGTGCCTGCCAAATATTAATGGAGGGAATTTGGCAGGCCAGGAACTCGGACCCAAAACCCTCTGTTGCCACTAGCCATGCGGTGGACCTCTGTGACGTGCTGCGCTGCCTGGAGTCCCTCTCCAAGGTTTGCGGCGACCAGGCGGTGATTTAGGGAGCCAAACGTCCCTTGAGTAACCTCTGGCCTCACCACTTGCTTTGATGACCGTCTCTCCTAAATCTTCTCTCTTCAGGGCATTGAAATTAAGTCCTCGCCCTCTTGTCTTCACTTCATCTCAGGAACAGCTCCAGAAGTGAGTATGTTGAGAGGCAGAGACGACCGTGTGATTGTTTATGGGGGCTGTTTGTGGCTCTGGTCCTTCCCCTCAGACCCATCCCCTAGCAAAGAAGGTATAATTAACTGGGGTTTCAAAATAGGACCCCTCTCTCCTTGATGACTTCATGGCTCTGCAATGAGCCTGCGAAACGTGAGATGGCCCATCTCAGGGGCGAGGGCTCATCTTCCTTCATTAAGCGAGGCTGGAAGGAAGGCGTTGCTCACCCCTGACGCAGCCTGTGCGTCATGCCAAGCTTGGCCAGGGCTCCCCCTGCGCCGCACTCAGCCCGCTAGCTCCTTCGCTCCCTGGCATTCTTCACTGAACTGGAATTACCCAAAAGGTCAGAGCCTTAAGTTAATGCTTAATCCCCTCTGCAGCAACCTTGCAATCTTGACTTTCACTGTCCAGAAAGCTTCTTACTTGGATTTTATGATCAGGGAGTGCGTCCATGTGGCTTCCTTCTCCTCCAAACAAGGGCAATCTTGGCCCTAACCTTGCCTGTGGCTCTTTGCTTTCCTTTTCTGTTCCAGTCCCCGGTTGAACGCTACAGCAAGGTCCTCCCAGGAGACGAGATAGTGCAGGTCAATGACCAAGTGGTGGTAAGTGTGGGCTTCTTCCTTGCTTGACTGGAAGACTGGACTCCATGGGCAGGATTAACCAGGATGCTGAGTTTGCTATAGCAAAGGCCCTGGCTGAGTTTGGCAGATCTCATCTAGTAACTGATTGATTTAGGGCACAGTCCTATGCATGTTTTGACAGGAAAAAGTCCTGAAACAGCCACTTTTCCCCAGCCAACCACCATGGAAAGTTTTTTTTTATTGTTGATAGTATTTTTAGCTATCTTATTTTGTATCGGATACTGCCACTGTGGAGTTTTTAATTGTTTTAACTGTTTTGTTGTTTTAATCTTTGTAAATTATCATGAGATTCTTGGAATAAATGATGGTATAGAAGAGCCATAAATCAATAAATGCTACTGAAGCCACTAGCAGGCAGGTCTTTCATAAATAGTAAAACAACCCACAGGAAGTTGTGTTAAAACAACCTGTGAAATTGTAAAACAAATAATGCCAGTGTTTGTTTGAGCTACTTTTAACAGCAAGGCAATCTGTCGATCGTGCAGGTAGGCTGGACCCGGATGAATCTGGTGAAGAAGCTACTCGAGACGGCAAGTGGAGTGACTCTGGTGTTGAAGAAACTCCCGCTTGTTTTTTCAGGGTCCCCCGGTTCCCCTGGATCATCTCTGCAGCAGGTAAGCAAGTGCAGAACAACCCAGAACATACATCTGGAGGGGTCTTGAGCACTTCATCTTTCCACCCTTGCAAAGACGTTGGGGGGCAAATCTCAGATTCTTTGGCAAGGAGGATGGTTGCGCTTTGAGACGGGGCCACGAGAAGTCAGCTATTCTGTGTGACCACTGCTTGCCAGAGCTGCACGGTCATCAGGAGCTGCTGGGAACGTTGTGCCCAAGGCAGTAGACTCTTGAACAGCAGGTGGGCGCTCCTCTACCTCTGGCCTTGGAGTGGCTCCGCTCACCAGCTTGGCCATTGGATGTTTCTGGGCAGGAAGGGCTTCCTGTTCCAGTTGGGCCTTATTGGCCTTGAGGCCGGCCAGCCATGAGGCAGAGTGTGGCAGTGGCCTCAGGCAGCAATTTTGCAGCAACAGTGTGCCCGCCGTCTGTGTTGTGGCACCACAATGTAGAATTATCTCCCTGCAGTGAATGAGGACAGTTTCCACTCCTGGTTTAAGGCATGTTGTCTGCCTGGACATTTTCCTGCCAGTGGCACTCAATCGTAGAGGCCAAGATATTTTACCTGTTTATTGTATTAATCAGTTGAGTTTTTTAAATTTTACTTTGCCATTTAATGTATTGTGTGCACCTCTTTGGGATCTTTCTGAGATCTGGGTAAAACTGAAAAGCAGTCTACAAATAAATCTTCTTCATGAAATGACATAAATACAAACAGTAGTTGCTCCAGAAACTCCTTAAGCATCCCGCATTTCCAAATAAAGGCTGTGACTAATAGCACTACCTGGAGTTTCATTCTGACTCAACGGAAAGCAGAGGACCTCCCCTCAACGGTGTGCATGAGCACTAGAGAAGCATTGCCTTGTCCCTGTGACGGATGCTGAACTTCCCTGCCTGCTCCACAGGCCCCGGACCAATTTCCGGATGCTTTGGAGTCCCTGAGCCCGAGGAGTGATGAATTTGCAACACATTCTGCATCACCATCTTCCAGGTTAGAACTTTCTCTTTGGCCGTTTTCATTGTTTTCAGGGCCAGGGTTGGGGAGATGTTGGGTTGCTATAGAGGCTTCTACAACCTAGTGCCCTCCAGATGTGCTAGATTACAATCCCCAGATTGATGGCCTTGCTAGCTGGGGATGATGTGAGTTGTAGTCCAACATAGTTGGAGGGTATAGGGCTGGAGAAGCTGTATGATATTATGGGGAATTTTATATTCCTGCTCTCAATATGCTGAGAGGAATGGTTTGCTCTGTGCTAGGGAAAGGTTCCGTCAAGGAATTGGGCTTGATTTGGGTGGGGCTGACCTGGTTCCAGATGCCAAGTTGCCCATCAACACAGTGCTAATGGCACTGTATTCACTGGCGTGTGTTCCAACAATGCCGAATGCTTTTTTGGAATACCATGGCGGTATTCCTAGATTAACGGAAGGGGCTGTAGGAAGACCAGTTGAAGCATAATGTTTTATCAGACACTTTTGTGAAGAAAAAAATCAGCATGTGACTTTGTTTGCGCAAATGTTTGTTGATGCCAGGCCCACTCCATCGTCCCAGTATAAATGCAGGATATTATCCTACCCTGTATAACAACAGTGGGATACATTTAGCCTTGCACCACTTAGTTTCCCACTAGAAACCCCATGATCCACCACTGGATGTTTTTAATTTCTTGAATAAATGACGAGTGCATACTTGACATTTCCAAAGCAGTTAAGGGCTGCGCTCTGGAAAAGACCTTTGCATTTTCCTCTACTGGTTGGGATTTTTTTATTTATTAGTAATCTATTTTTCGATTTATATCCTGCCTTTTTCCTACAAAGGGCTCAAGGCAGCTTACATCATACTCCTCCTCCATCTTATCCCCACAACAACAACCCTGTGAGGTAGGTTGGGCTGAGAGTCTGTGACTGGCCCACAGTCACCCAGTTGGCTCCATGGCCGAGCGGGGACTCGAACCCAGATCACCGGAGTCCCATGCTCTTAACCACTGCACCACACTGGCTCTCATTGCCCTGGTGGCCCCTCCAGAGTCCCCTGCGTGGTGACTCACTGACTGAGACCAGATGCACCAGAGCCCCACTTCCTGGCTGGACGTGTCCAGGCGCTGGCAGGATCCCAGGAAAGGCTGCTGGGAAGGCGCGGCCCCTTTCCTCCCTGCTCTGAAAGTGGAAAGACGTGCACAGGGGACTCACAACACATAGCAGTGTTTCGGAGGAGCAGTGCGGACTTTCCTCAGAAAATAGGATACACAGAGGAGTAAGCTTTAACAGCAGAATGTCCCAGATGCTAATGGCAATGTCCAAGACTGAGTGCAGCAGCCACTGAACCGGGGGCAGGGGGCGGTCTGAGAGAGGTGGCCACTAGCTCGGCATTGGGCTCGGGCCCCAGCTCTCCACTGGCCAGCTTGGCAAGGGTTGGAGTTGCCGCCCTTCAGGTGTTTTGCTCTGCAAGTGGGCCCCTCCTGGCCACTTTGCTCCTCCTGAGCTCCTCTGCATGCTTGCTTGAAGGGCAGGTGGCCACTCCGGGTTAGGGGTGTGTCACCACAAGGAGGGCAGTGATGCCATGACAGCTGCATGTGCAAAGCTGCCCATCTCACCACCAGGTTGGGGATTGTGTCCAGGGCCATGTGCCTGCCTGCTCGGTCTGCTGCCCAGGTGCCAAATGTTGCCCGCCAACTGTGCCGATGGTTCCTTCGAACAGGGAACTGGGCAGGGCAGCCCTTCAAGGAGTGGACAGTGAAACTGGATCAACTGCCCCCATATTGGAGGCCGTAAGAGGCAAGGCGGAAGGCCAGGAGCCTCTGGCCAGCTGAGCCCTCCGTGCAGCGCATGGGCCTGGCAAGCGCCGCCTGGCAGCTGCCATTGCTGGCCCAGGAGGCTTGGCTTGGGAGTTAAGCAAAATGTGCGGTGCGTGTGTGTGTGTGGGGGGGGGGTGATGATGTCACGCTCCACTCAGGCTTCCAGTGAGAGCGAAACTTCAAAGGGCTCTGTTGGAACTTGCCCAGAAAAGGAGATGCTCCCGGACTCAATGAGCGGATGGAGTGTCTCTGCAGAAGTGGGTGACTTTCCCCATTCCGTTGCTCAAGCAGAAGCCTGGCCTGGCTTAAACCCCCGCCCCCAAAGCACATATTTCTACATGTTTCCATCCTCTTGCCAAGTAGCAAGCAAAATCCTAGTACTTGCCAGGATTCACTTACTTTCTGGTAAGGAAATGGGCTCTTTGAGCAGATGCAACAAGCTTCTCCCCCCTCCCTATTTTGTTACCGCTTGCAAGAAGCAAAGTCTGGAGAAAGGGCAAGTGCAGAGCGGCTCTGGTGAGAGAATGCTTCCGGGGAGGCATGGCCGAGTGTGAGCTCAAGCGCGGTGGGTGGGTGGGTGGGTGAGGAAGGGTGCTGGTCCGAGGATGAGCAGGAAGAGAGCCGAGAGCCCCAGTGCTGTCTCTGGGACCCCTGTGTTCAGGTGTTTTGTGGTCTAAGCAGCGTTGGCTGGAAGTGCGCTCGTAGCCCTGGGGTGCTTCTCAACATCTGGCAAGTGTCCTTCTGATAAACATGCAGCAGCTGTGAGAGCCAGCCAGCCAGCCAGCCAGCCAGCCAAAGGTCGTGTTCTGTTCCCCATCCCTGTCCTCCCAGCATGACTTCTGAGCTAACGGGGGGCCAGGATTTGGTGTCCGATTTCCCTGCTGATGAAGAGGAGCAGCGAAGAAGAGATTCACGGCATTCTGCTGGCAGCACCTGTGAGCTTGCAGAGCACCGTTTTGGAGCAGGTAAGACGTTGGAAAGTTGCATGTCTGGTGCAGTGTTGAATTTGGAAGTGCAGTTCCCACAGCCGCACTGCAGGAGGAGAGTCCAAACATTCAGGAGCGGTATTGACCCCTACCCAAAAACCGCTTGTAGCCATCTTCCTCTTCCCCAGCTTTTTGGAAAGCTGGTCCCATTCAGATCAATCCAAATACTTTGTATAAAACAGGAGCAGCGTGTTGTTGCTGGAAAAAGGCCTCTCCCTCTGGCTACAGGAAGGACTGTGGTCAATCTCACAGGAAACGGAAATTTGAGCCGGGCGGCTGCTGATGTCAGCATCGCTGCTCCGTTAAAAGTGCCCTTGTGAGTCCCGGTGCTGCCACACCCCTTGTCAGTTGGAGAGCTTCACAGCTGACGCGACACACTGGGCTTTTAAAAATGTAATTTTGTGTGTGATTTGTTATACCTATATCCTGCCTTTTCCCTTCTTCCGAGAAACTCAAGGCAGCTCACAGTCTTTTTCTTCTCCATTTTATCCTCACAGCAGACTTGTGAGCTGGGTAAGGCTCAGAATCAGCCTCTGGCCCAGAAGCAAGTGCTGCGCATCGGGGCTGAGTGGGGACAGGGGATCTGGATCTCCAGAATCTCAGCCCAGCTCTCTCACCACTACTCTGCCCTGGCTCTCATTTTATTACATGCTTACCTCTTTGCTCCCAAGAGCTTAACATATTTTCCCTCCCCATCTAGCCTCACAACGATCCTGTGAGGTAGGGTTAAGATGAGAGAGAATGACTGGCTCAAGTTTAATCTGTGACCTCTGACACGGAGGGGATATTTGAACCTGGATCTCTGTGGTCCTCAGACCACTCTGCCACATTCTGGCTGTCTCCTTACTCACTCGTTGCTCCAGCTTAGGCAAGACTTGGAGGAATATTGGGCACCTTTTCCCTGAAACTTGTGTAAACCATCCTGTCTCATCTGCTAACTTTCATGTTCATTGGTAGTGCACTCAGAAATGCATAGGTATACAATGCCCCTCTCACTGCTTTCTGGCCCATCCTGAAATCTCGTACATTGCAGAGACTGGCTATGCTTGGATGTCAAGATAAATCATGCTTTCTCATGATGTAAATCAGTCCAGCATCATTCCATGCTCATGTGCACCATTCCCCACAACTACAACCGAAGTTCAGTTTCCAGTTTCAATTAATCACAATTTAGCATTATGCTTCAATCCTAAACCATGGTTAATTGTATCTATGGTTTCTTACACAAGTCAGTTTTATAAACCATGGTTTGAAGTTGGTTTGTTTCTCAGCCAACTTGGCTTTTTTTCGTTCATTGCGAATGGAAGCAAATGCTTTCCCTCCCAGAGCACATGAGCTTGGGTAGAGGGATGGCGAGGCTCATTACCATCATGAGGAGCAGTGATCTAGCAGGGCCTCTGACTATGGCCACATCTCTAAACACATTCACACAGTCTGGGGATCCTGCTAGTGCAAATTACTTACTGAGATTAAATGAGTGGTTACTTTGCTTCTGTCTGATTCTCCTAGGGGCTGAAACTATGCCTGAAGGGCAGGGCCTTGAAGCAGATTCTGAGGAGCACAAGTCCCCAGATGCTGCAACTCCTACCCAACCCAGTATGTTGGAGCTCGGACAACAGGGCTCCTCAAGCCCAGGGAATGGATTTGTCCGGGGAAGCAGGGGTCTGGGTTCTTCAGACTCTTCCAAAGAGGTGAATGTTTGTTTATATGTTTCTTTTTATCAGAAGTGCTGAATTTCTTTCAGTCTAAGGTCAGAATTCAATTTTGGGAGCCACATTCTAATAGTGGGTGGGGACTACAGCAAAAGGGGTGGGGCCAAAATAGCAAAATAGCAGCCTATTTTAGCCTAAATAAGGAAGGCATTTCAAGCTTTTGCAATGGGAGTGGGGGAACTGCACAAAGGACAGGAGACCATCACACCATCCAAGGGTGGGACTTGGGAAGGGGATGTGACATTCTGGGGAACTAGAAGGCTAGATTTGGCCATGGATTTGATGAATCTCCATCCCACTGCCATCCCATTATATCTCCAGTCCTAAAAAAAGGCGCTTGGCACAGTTTCCAAAAGCATCAGGAAAAGCATCCATTGAGCCAACAAGTTAATTTAGCAGGAGCAGTGCCAAATAAGTATCTAAAACTTTTTTAAAAAGTCTTGGAAGGTAGACAGAAATATTGAATCAGGCATACTCTATAAAGGGCTTGCTTGATGGAGAGGGAATGCTGGCTGGGGGCTGTATGTGGGGAGTGAGTGGGGGGAAAGGAAAACTGCAGGGGAGGGTTTGCAGGGGGCCTCCTGGGAGAGCATGGCTGACTCACCACAGTGCAATAGTCATTGTAGGCCCTGCTCGTACATTTATGGCAATTTGTTTTTCTCCCTTTTTTTATCCTTTCAGGGTAGCGTTGACTATCGGCGAAAGCAAAAAGGTGAGTGGAGTCCGTTCATACCTGGCAAGGAGGTAAGTCTGAAGATTTTGCATGCAATCCTGTGCATTTTTAGAGAAAGACAGGTCCCACAATTCCCAGCATTCCCCAGCCAGCACTGCTGGGAATTGTGGGACTTTTCCCTCTCTAAACATGCATCGTATTACAACTTTTGTCTCTGTTAAAGCCGTATACAGTAGAGAAGCTGCTTACACATCATAAAAAAGAACAAAAAGAAAAAAAATATTGTTAAAAGTACAATTGATTAATTTCAATTGTATGTTTAATATTGTATATTTGTATTTTAAATTTTAAAAGGACATGGATTTCTGCAACACTTGCAAACACAAAATGGGTGAGGAGGGAAGAGAATGTAGCATCTGAAGTCCTGAATGGGGAGGAATTCAACACTGTGGATCCCACATGCCTCATTCTATTGTGTGTGTCAACCTCACTGTGGGTTGTGCTTGGCATGTCTACACATTCCTCTCAAAGTCAGCAAGAATGTAACCAAGCCAAGCCAAAGCAGTGCTTGTGTGTTGCGGGGCTATTGTCAGCTTGTCTTGCACTGAATTGTGATGTGCGTGCCGAGTGATTCCCTCCCTGCTCACTTTTGCTTGTGAAAAGGAATGTCTACCAGGCTAAGCCGACGGCGCATCTCCTGCCAAGAACTGGGCCAGGTGGACTGCGACGGCTGGCTCCTGAAGAAGAAAGACCATGTGGGCTTCATGGCCCAGAAATGGAAGCGGTTCTGGTTTGTGCTGAAAGGACAGACCCTCTACTGGTACAGCAACCCCAATGTGAGTGCATCCTCGGTGTGAAAGATTGTCTGCTGTCCGTAAAGTTGTTGTTAGCAGCAAAGTCGCATCCGACCCATCGCGAACCCACGGACAACATTCCTCCAGTCTCTCCTGTCCTCCACCATCCCTCGGAGTCCGCCCAAGCTCGCACCCACTGCCCCAGTCCTTCCATCTAGCCACCGCACCCTTGCTGTCCCCTTCTCCTCCTGCCGTCAATTGTTCCCAGCATGGTGCATAAAGTTACGGTACAGCAAAGCTTAAGATTGGTAGGGTGGTTTTGTTGCAGCAGAGTAAATCTAAGCATTGGCACTTCAAAGAGATTCCTCATGGCACCCTTCTGCAACCTGGTGCCCTTGGGATGTGTTAGACTATAACCTGCACATTCCTCAATTGGCAACATGCATCATTAAAAGAGAGAGAGAGATAACAGAAATGGACACGGATTTGTGTGTGCTGACATGTGTGCATAGCGGCAGATTTAGAAATAACTGCTATCTTTTAAATAGGGAGACATTTCCCTGTACTGGGAAGTGCTTTCCCAGTGTGACATGTTGGACAACTTCAAGGCCTGGCTGCTCTCCCTTCGTACAGCTTTTTATTTTCAAAGTGGACTTGAACTGGGCAGCATTTCAGATGGAGGACTGTCCCCTGTACAGCAGGACACAAGGTCACCCTGCAATAGGTTCACAGCTGCATGCTGTTCATAATAAAACTTGGTTTTTTTGCTTCTGGCTGCGCAAATCTGTGGAACATTCCAGAACTTGTCTATACAAGCAACTGCAAGTTGAACTGCCTTGTGCAGGAAAAGATCCTCTACTTTTTGTTCTGTTCTGTTTCCCCTCCCCACTTGCAGGACGAGAAGGCTGTGGGGCTAATCAACGTGTCAGCTTATAGGCTGGAAAGCACCCGAGAACAGAAAAAGAAATAGTGAGTACTTGTGGCCTTTGGTGGGTCGCTCTGGCCGAGACCTTCGCTGGCCCCTCCCAGGAAGAAATAAGTGTCTGGAGCCCATTTAAGGCCTGAACATGAGCACGGCATAGTCCAGCATTTTGAATGTACTTTTATTTCTACTGCCCACCCCCTGCCCTCTGTGTCTTTCTGAGGCAGTATTCAAGGCGGCTTGCCACAGCTGTGATTTCCCGTTTAAAAACTTATAACAAAGAGAATATATGAGAGGCAGGCAGCGCATGTGAAGGCACGCAAACACCGACCACTTGAAAAGGCAGTGGGTATTATGTCTCACATCCTTTGGTCATTAGTTTCACATTCATTCTCACAAGAATTCTAGGCCTCTTCCTTGCACCCAGAGTGGAGTTATTTGCCTGTGTGTACCTTGATGAAGTTAATTATTTTATTTATTTATTTTGAAGCCATGGTGTGCAATACAGTTTTGTTGTTGGGTATGGGAGGACCTTGCAGCAGCAACGAAGCAGGAGATAAGCCAGTAGTTCCTTTCATCATCATCATCAACATCTTTCTCTTCTGCTTCAGCGTTTTTCAGCTCACACATGAGAAGTACAAGCCCTTCATCTTTGCAACAGAAACTCTGGCTGACCTGAGCATGTGAGTAAGCACCAAGGACAGGTTTGAGCAAGCTGACTCTGTCCCAGCCCACCTGCCTGACACCAGGAGGGAACCCTGTGTCTCCCACAAGTGACTCCCAAGACTTCGCTGGCTGTTTCTTGGTTTGATTCATGCCCCATCTTTCTACCAAAAGCAAAGCCTTCTGCGGCACTCAAAGGCAGCATTCAGCAGAAATGCTTCCCTGAAGACCCACATGTAATTGGGGAGGGTCCTGATGTCAGAGGAAGAAAGCCCTATTCCAATTGTGGCCTGGGTTTACCAGACGTTTGGCATTATTGGCAGTCTGAGCCAGCAAATCCCTGAGCAACTGGTTTTCTCCATCAGATCCCGAAAGCACAATTCTGGGGGAAACAAAGTCAGAATGCACCAGGGTGGGCAACATGTGGGTAGCAGTCTGGGAACCAGAGCATCTCAGTCAGTCTGTTTCTCCGTACAGGTGGGTCAGTCGTTTGATTACTTCAATGATGAAATACACTCCAGTTCATCAGAATGTTCCACACAGGCAAGAAGGTGGGTTCTTACCTGAAACCAAACTCATTATAATGTACAGAATTCATGAAGCTATATCCTGAAATAGCAGCAAAGCTTGGAAGAAAGGTAAAAGCAGAAGCAGCAGAATCAGATGTATTAAAAATTAAAACCACCTGCAAATTTTGGAAGTACCTAAAATCTGCTGGCCAGCAAGCAGCCCTGGGGCGGGGGTGGGGGGAGACAGGAACAGGGAGAGGGTACCCCACCACTGGGACATGGACACAGGATAGGCTCATTGGCTGAATTTTTATGACATGCCAAGCCACAAGTGGGGGGGGGGGGGTTAGCTTGCCACCTGAACCACCTTTGCTTCTCAAGGTGGTGCTGGTTACTAGCTTCCCCTGCGGTGGAAATTTCCCTGTGGCTTAGTGAACCCAGATGACACAGGAAGCCATGGTGAAGCCGCAGAAGAGCCTCTTGGTGAAAGCAGCAAAGAACGGCTCAGAAAGTCGCATGCAGCAGCTCTGCCAGCTTTCAGGCAAACTTCCTTCCAAGCTTTCTGTGGAGGTGGCAGGGACTGGATGTGGACTTTCTGCAGGCAGAGCTCCCAGGAGACAGACCGACCACTGAGCAGTCGAACAGTACCCGTCCATCACTTAGCAGCATCCATTCTGCCAGGATGCTAAGCAGAGGTGGAGGAGCAGAGCTGCCCCATCATTTACAGGAAGAGACGGGCACTAACAGTCTGAAGACATGGTGCAACTAGTGGGTTGCTTCCCTCCGTAACTCCTTGCCAATGGCCACTCCCAGGAGAGTGAAGAAAACATTTACATCTGGAACTGGACCTTGTAGGATGCAGTCTAATGCCGCCTTCCCTCCTTGGGGTCCTCCAGATGTATCAAACTGAAGCTCCCATCATCTCTAGCCAGTACAGCTGTTGACCCTGTTGGATGGGGATAATGAGAACTGTTGTCTAACCTCTGAAGGGCGCTAGGCTGTGGAAGGTAATGGAATATTGGCTTCGGACAGGAGGCAACACAGCACTTCCTGTTTTGGGTTTTCCACTCTGACCTTGTGGTTTGTGCTTCATTTCCTGCAGACTGCTACAGTGAAACAGAAGCAGAGGATCCTGAGGATGACTCTCCCAGGCACAGTGCTGATCTGGTGAGGGTCTCTTTGAAAAATGTTTTCATTTTATAGCAAAGACAAGGGGGGCAGGAGGGAGGGGTGCCAGGGTGAGTGGAGGGACACACAGCCTCATTACAGGCAAACAGTTCTTCTGAGCACATGAATACTCAGCTGCATCAGAGAAAAGGCCCAGCTAACCCAGTCTGCCGTTTCCCATAGAAAGCTCCAGATATTGGGCAGTATAGAAATAAGTAAATCAGCCAGATTTATGGGGCCACAGGTTGCTCTGCTGGTTTTGCTGTAACAGACTATGCTGGCTACTCCTCTGTAAATTCTTACACGGGGGAATGTGGTTCTTGGCTGAAAAAGGCCACCTACTCCCTGTTGTAGTGAGATGCCACTGAGTGCACCCAAAGACATGTTGCTAAGCGGAACACCCCATATTATATTTCTTTCTGAGTTAGTCCCCCTATGCTGCTCTTCATGTACCTACAGTAAACTCTTATTTTCTTGCAGCCAAAGCGAAGGGAGTTGGAGAAAGATCTACTATTAACAGGTGCCACTAGGAATAATGACTCCCCAGGTGGGAGCCCCCTGTCTAGCCCCCTCCCCCAACCCAACATGGATGAGAGCACGGCATCTCCCTCTTCAACAGGTAAGCTCTACTTTGACTGCACTTCCAGGTATTAACCTAGATAGAGCCACATGAAGAACGAATTGCAATCCCTCGGCGTTTGACAGTCAGGGAGTCTGAAATCTAAGTTTTTTGAATTGCCATTCCATTTTTGTTGCATGGGATGGATTTTGAAAGTTCAGCTTGGGTCTTCTTTATGTGATTGGCATTCCTGAGCAGGTATGGGTAGAGAAATGAACCAAAGTAGTGGAGTGGAGTAATGCATAAGGTTGAGAGACTGACATGGAGACAAGCCAGGCACGCACCTGAGGGACTTCAGCCTTGAAGCCTTTGTTTTTTTTAGAGCCCCAAGGTCCTCCAACTGGGCTGGAGCCAATGCCTATGAGATGTATGCTGGATTGACCTACACGTATAAATACAGATCTGCCTCTGAATTACAACTGAGCAGAGCTCCTTGGAACTAAATTGAGAAAGAATTAAACAATTGGGAATTGGAAATCCCCGTCGACTTTTTCCTTTGCCCACCCTGTGGCATCCTTCTGATGTAAAATATTAAATGCAAGTTGGAGATCTCTTCCCCGCACCCCCCCCCAAAAAAAACCACCACTCTTTTCTTTCCAGGTCTCCTTCACTCATGCTATTGGCTTGCTAATTTGACTGCAGACCATGGGCCAAACTAGATAAGACACTATTAGCAATTATGTACGTGGTTTTTACAAAGTAAATTGCTGTTTCAGGAAGGCTCCATACATTTGGGACATCGGCATGGGAATCAGGTAGATTTCAGCCTCCTGTTGTGCTCCTGATCACCTCCATCCATCTGTGCTGCTCTTTGAGTGAATAGAACTTTTTTCACTAAATGTAGGCTTGAACTTGATCAGGGGGGGCTGAATACGGAAGCCGGGACTAGTTCTGTGCAAAAGGGCATCCTGCCCATCTGATTTAATGAAGATCCATCCAGATTCCTTACTAGTTGCTTAAACCTTTTGCAAAACAACCTACATGCAGTTTTTTCCTGCTTATACAGGGACTAGAATAACTATTTAAAAAATGAATTTATTTTTAAAGTCGCAACATTCTGCTCTAGTGACCAGATTTTATACTTGAGGGCTATATATAGTTGATGCTGTAGGAACAATTGCAGTCAGCAGATTGCTTGTAGCTCATTTTCCCACTTGGTCCGGAAAGCTCTTCCTGTCCACTTAGCTTGTGGTTTCCCAATTTGTGTCTCAAGATTCTGCAGGAGAAGAACTTGAGTCGCTGTTCAAGTGTCTGAAACTAGGTGGGGTCTCTTTCATTGGGAAGCAGCAGGTGTTCACCCGTGAATACTATCGGAAATCCTTCATCAAGCGCAACAAAAACCCGGAGATCAACGAGAAGGTGCATCTTATCCGGACCCTTCAAAGCACACTTAAGGCAGGTGTTAACTTTGCACTGAGTAGACTTTTGTTTTTGGGAGCCTTCTCCTTTCTTAGCTTCTTGGTTTTCCAAGTCAGAGCAAGGGAGCATGGGATGGACTGGGCCAAGCATCCAACCGTATCACAGCCTTGAGCAGGGCATTTTTTGGCATAGAACGCACCGGAACGGCGTTCCGGCACCTTTTTTTGACGGATTTTTCCAATGGATTTTACGAAGTGACTTTGAATCTTGTGTGCTGCTTGTGTGTTGGCGCTGCTTGTGAGGGTGCTGCTCGACTTGGGATTGGTGTGTGTGGTTGTGCACTGAGTGCTTACTGCCGGCGGCAACCGTTATGTTTATGTGTGTGTAGAGTGACTGCCTACGTGCAAAAGGTAAATAAGTTCTTTATTTCAAAAAAAGTTGGTGAATTGAAAATCTTTTTTACTGTAAAAGTGTGACTCCAAGACATGAGTTCCGGCACCTTTTTTTTTTTTTTTACAAAAAAAAGCTTTTACTTCTTGAGGTACAGAAGTACTTAGAGCAAATGTTGGAATTGATATGATGGTCACTGTTAATTTCCATGCCAGTTTTCTTTGTGCCATAGGGTTCTAATATGTTATGTTAGTCTGACTTAAGCCCCATTCAATTCAGTGGGTCTGCCCATAGGACTATCATTGGATGCAACCTCTAAAATGCAGATGCTCAGGCAAATTTTTCATATATGCCATTTGCTGAATTTTTAATACATGGCATTCTACCTTCCCCCAAAGATGGTGGCGTACATGCTTCTCCCAGCAAGTTTTATGCTCCCAACAATCCAGTGAAGGAGGTTAGGCTGAGACTTTGTGACTGTCTCAAGCTCACCCAGTGGGTTTAAAACGGGGCTCTTCCGATCATAGCACCACACTCTAATCAAAGCATGGGAAGCACGTCTCCCAGATGTTTTGGCCTGCAGTTCTTCTCAGCTTTAGTCACATAGTCAATGGTGCAGAAAGTTAGGAGCTGTAAGGTCCAACCATCTGGAAGGCGAGAAGTTCCCCATTCCTGTTCTAACTGCTATGCAGCTTGTTGGCTCTCAGAGGAAGCCATCTCATTCCATGCTGGATCCTCTCGCTGGATCCTTAGCGGGCTTCAGTGAAGAAGTACAGTCTGTATATAGGTCTATATGTAGAACCAGGGTCAACCCGACAATAGTGTGGAGGTAGATGGCCTGCCTGGGATGGTTAACAGTGGTACACCAAAGCACTGTACTGGCTTCCAATCTGTTCAAAGGGCTAGTATTAATTCTGAAAGTCCTGAATGACTTGGGGCCAGGGTATCTGAGGTATTGACTCCTCCCATCTGTACCTGCACAGACCCTAAGTCCATATTCAGAGGCTCTCCTCTGGTGCCCCAAAACGAGGCAGGGAGCTACTAAGTGCCGGGCCTGTTCGGTGGTGGTACACCCCAGCTGAGGCACACCTGGCACCTACACCATGGCCTTTTGTGAACAGCCCAGGCAGCTTTGGCTACTGAGTAGTGTATAAAGGTAACTAAGTAAATAAATACCACTTTAAGGATGCAGCAGTTTTGTTGATAAGTAGCTTCTTTATCCAATTTTGGGGGATGCCATTTGGACTTTTTGCTCAACACAGAAAATACCTTCAGAAAAATCTGTAGGCAAGGGGCAAGAGAGGTATCTTTCTAAGGAGGCTCAGCTGGAGTCTTGGTGATTCTTGCTATTCTGGGATTGGATGGCCTTTTATGAAAGCAAATATTGCATCAGCATTAAAGACGGAACATTTCCTCCCTTCTCTAGGCAAAAACAGCTGAGCTCCAGCTACTTGATATTATCCTCACAGATTCTGAACTGACATCTGAGAAATTCAGGCACTGGAAGGACTGTCATCAGGAGTTGTACCAAGAAATCCAGGTGTGGTGGGCCAGGAAGCTCAGCCAAGAGAATGGCACAAGAACAGGTGCTGTCTCAGGCATCAAGCCGGAGGAGGCAGCTGCAGCTCCATAAACTCTGTGGGCAGCATATACAGACTGTGGGATTAAAAGGCAGCGGTGCAGTTCACTGATTGTGGATTTACAGAGGCCGTTCTCTTTTGATGGTACCCTGTACTGCTTCACCCGCTTCAGAAAATAGCATGCCAGCCCTGCTGTGTTTGGGCCCAGTTCCCTGGATTCTACCCCACTCTAAACCACAGGCTCCAGAGGTCCCTTCAGCACTGGCTGAATAATGAAGAACCCACTGTCAAACTGGGGGAGAAAGGTGCTTGGTTTGTTTGCATAGTGGGCATTTTTATTATATTTTTATACAGAGACATTCTGACAGTGCAAAAAGAAACCCAAGGAAGCACTCCGCGGTTAATCGCACATTCTAGACGAAAGATTCAAATGTGGCTTGCAACAGCTTCCTTTCCTTTCAGTGCTCTTTGAAAAAAGCAGTACCCCAACACGTTTCAAGTTGAAACTCTTCCTCAGGTGTATTTAAAAACTAAAAAGACATAATAGCAAATCAGAAGTTTTAAAATGTTCTATGACAACAGTTTTTGCTGGGTATGAGGTTTGGTTAACAGAAGCATAATCAACATGTAAACATATGATGTTTACTATTTTTACTAATAAATGGTTACTACAGGTTTTTAAAAATATACTTGCAGATCTGCCAAACACATTACTTTATAGTTGTCTTCAAAATGACAGCTTGGAAATTATCCAGTCACAAAATAAAATGACTGTCAAGCTATAATCAAGAATCTGGAATAACAAAGCGATCCATTTTGACAGTTAAGCTCATTTCAGAGACTCATTATCTACATATCTAGAAATAACGAGTATAATTTAAATAGAAATGATATGCCACCTGGCAGGTGAGCTGTACACCTTTTGTCCAGGTGTTGTTGACAGGCAATTCAGAGACATTCTGTCCACTCTACATTCTCTATTTTTTAACCTTACAGCTCTTCAGAGAACAAAGCTTCTTTATGCAGCCAACTCGTGGCTGCAAATATTTGGGCTTATACGTCGATCCCATGATCACTTAGCACCGATATTCTGGCAAGGGTTGATGGGAGTTGTAGGCAAAACAGCTGGAAGGCTGAAAGCTGCTGCCCTTGTGATTTTATGTTTATTTTGGAAAGAAGCTATTTAAACTTCCCACTCATCAATAATTAGTACATAGACACACTTTTCCTGCCTCCACCCTTCAATGAGTAACTAGGAAGGAATGTTTGCGGTCAAATGCAGCACTGCAATGCCAGAAAAGTGTCTAAGCAGAGCATTTTTTTCTTGGACACTGGACTGGTTCCTGTTTTGAGAATACAGAAGTTATTCAGCACAAAAAACGCTATTTTTTAGGAAGCACTGGAAGGGGAAGTCAGAAAGAATAGCTTTACACCATTGTTGCTACTTATCACTACGGACTTTTGGCAGGCCGTTGGTTCTCACAACAACCGAGGCATTTTATTTAATGCACTCTGGTCCAAGTTTTCTCTTTCAAAGAACACAGCAAATGACTTGCAGAATATTAGCAAGCAATCATAAAAGCAACACATGGAAAGGATCTGTTAAAAGAGCAGTGTCCAACTTCTTTTGGTCTGAAAGCCAAATTCAGTTTTCAAGCAGATCTTTGGGGATGGGGTACAGATCAGATTCACTCGACACGGGTGGAGGTAAAAGGGGCAAGCCCAAATTTCAGTGTACTTTACAATTAATAACCAAGTCTGGATAACTGTGGGAGGTAACCAAGAGAAAGTTCTGTTTTACTTCAGCGTCTTCTGGCAGCAACCAACTGGGTCTTATATCAAAAGACAGACTGAAGCCCTGTGCACACTTACTTCAGAGTAAGCCTACTAAATGCCGTGGGATTATTTCTGAACAATGCACAGCGTTGTGCAAAGCACAGTTGCCTTCCCTTAGCAGTATTGCAAGCAGTGATGTGGTGGAGCCATGAAGGGCTTTGAGTAACAGGGATTCTCCAGCTTCTCCATTCCCGCTGAGCTTCAGTGCAGCCCTCATGGTAACCAACAGTGGAGGTGGGTGGGGAGGAGATGGTGCTTCTCCTGCCATTGCTCATCTCCATGATGCTGGCTAAGGCTACTGGGAGTTAACAGCCCATCAGATGTCTTCAAATAGAAGATTGCCATCTATAAGGAAGGACACTAAACCTGACTTTTCCCAGACTGCTACCTGTTAGTACAACTATTTGGGGAAGAAGTTATCTTGTCACATACTGATAGTGCTCACATGATTGAATCAGAAGACCTGCCAATTCATCTTGCTGTTGCTCCTGTTCCAACCAGTTGCCCCGAAAGACCTTCCATTTCTTAATAACTGATGTTGTAGGGTGCAGGTAGATTCCTTAAGTTGTTGTCATTTTCTCCATGGAAACTGGTGGCCAGGCACACCCCAGCAAAGGCCTCTGTTGCTCCTCCACTCCACCCAAGATACAGGCATGCTCCAGGATGGTACTTGTCCTCAGCTGGAATCTGTGCGTTTCTAATATCAGCCAGGACTCTGTAAGCCATATAGGAAGTTGCACAAAGGTACAAGATGCCAGACAGCAGCAGCAAGAGCCCAGACAGTCCTGCAAGATTGTTGTTGGGCTGTTCAGCCCACCAGCGTGCCCCCACGTGGCTTAGAACATAACTCAGGAAGCCGAGAAGCACCGAGAGGATGGTCAGGGCCCTCACCAGCTGAATGGGCCAGGAGACTGCCAACTCTTCTGCGATAGGTTGGCATATCTTGTCTTGAGTGCTGGTTTCCTCCACACAGCCTTCCCAGAGGCCATCGCTGAAGGAGACATCTTGAGGGAAGCCAGGTCTTCGAGCAAACTCACGCCATTGTGGTGTCACTGTGGCTGCCAGCATCAGGATCCATCCCATTGGTGCAACGACTAATCCAACTGCCATGGCATCAGTCACCATAATCCACTAAAAATGCGGTAAAGGAATCTGAGATGGGAGTGGGGGTGGGGAACAATGCTTCTGCAAAAAAGGAAAAATCCTTCCCTCCTAAACTACAGGAGCACAGCCTAAACCTGCTTCTCCCTGCAATTTGGAACAGATTTCAGAGAACAAGTTGCTGGAGCTGCTTTTTATAGTTGAGTAGCCCCATCACCTTCATACACATGTACATGATTACAAGTAAACTTGGAAAAGGGTTGCCTTCTGAAAGAACAAGTACTGTTACACAAACAAGGCAAACTCACTCCATTTGGTTACATATTAATGCTGACATTCTTTCTATTTCTGGAATCTGTTTGTGGTCAGTCATAATGAAGTTCTTTAATCATTAATAGGCAATTTGTCAGCTCCATAGATAGCTATTTGTCTTGCATATTAATACTTGCACTGGCAACCTAATATAACCTTAAATTTAAAGCAGGTAACATCCATCTGTTGTATTAGAATATTCAACATGCAGAAAGCATTTTGAGTTTCTGTAGGATTGGAAAAATAATTTGAAATACATGTTTTTGAGCTTGAAATTCAGTGGTCTGCAGCCAAGATTTGTTACACCCTGAAAATAAATGTTTAAGACAATATACGTACAATTCAATCACAGGGCAACCAGATATCAGCTAAGCTTCTGAGATAAATGTACAAGGAAGATTTGTGGAACAAGTCAAATATTTAAGAGAAATGGAAACATAGAGTTCCATGGAATCCTGGCATTGGAAGAAACCCCAAAGGTCATCTAGTCCAAACTTAATTGCTACAACATAGGTGGCCATGCAGGTAAAAGTCCAGGTAGCTCGCCATGCTTAAAACCCTCTAAAGGAGGAGGCCACCACTGACCTCTCAAGGAAGCCTCCAAGGAACCATCAAACCATTTGGAATTCCTTCCTAAAGCCAAAGCCTCCTTTTGTATGGAAGTGCAGTGCTCAAGTGACAGAAACATTTAACTACAGAGAAGTAACACTACATATTATTAAACAGGCATTTCAATTCATCATTCTGTTATCCTCCTAATTTGGTTGGGGGATCTTAAATTGATGTGACCTTTCTGGTACAAGGTATTTTTACCAGTCTCGCAACTCTGCTATGTAGGTATTAGTTGTTATGTGCCATGAAGTCATTTCCGACTTACAGCAATCGTGCCCTTCACAATGTCCTGAACTCCACAGCCCTGCTCAACTCTTATAAATTCAGGAATGTGGGTTCTTTAATGGAGTCCATCATTTCTTCTTTTTCTTCTTCTTTTGCCCTTGACTTTTCCTATCATGATTGTGTTCTCCAGTGAGTCTTGCCTTCCATGAGAAGTGTCCAAAATATGACAGCTTCAGTTCTGCCATTTTTGCTTCCAAGGCAAATTCTGGCTTGATTTGATCTAGGACCCACGTGTTCATCCTTCTTGTCACTCCAGCGTATTTGCACAGCTCTCCTCCAGCACCATGTTTCCAATACATCAATTTTCAGTCAACTTTCTTCACTGTCCAGTTTTCTCATCCATACAGTGATCAGGAATGGAATAGTGTGGATGATCTTGGCCTTGGTCTCCAGTGAAATATCCTTATATGTGAATATTTTTCTACAAAGCCTTACATGCAGTTTGCTCTGTTCTCTTCAGTCTTGCAAACATGTCTTTCTAGCCAACCCAGACACACACATGGAGCAATTTGCATCGTTTGTCCCCCTGGTAGGTTGTGCATGTGCAGTAATTTTACTTGTACACAGCCAAAGTGCTGGAAAAGCAGCTAAACAATTTTAATTGTAAACACCCCTCTGTGACTTTGGGCCTAACCTGCCTCACAGGCTTGTTGTGAAGTGCAGGCAAACCTTGTAAGCTGCCTTGCATTCCTTGCAAAAGACAGAAAGCAGAGATATGTGTGAAATGCAACAACAGCAACCAGGTTCGTGCATACCATATAACCAAGGGATAATTTCTAGGCAAGTTTAGAAATTAGTGTCCCACAGTTTCCCATGCATGGCTGGCTGGGAAATGCTGGGACTTGCAGGCTTTTTTCTGTCTAAATATATAGGATTACACCTTAAAGCACGCAAAATCCACATGTATCAGCAATATAATACCAATTCTATATTCTAGCTTTTGCTACTTCCTCCTCCTCTTCCACCGCTCTTGAGAGTGGACAATCGTCTTACACGAATTTGACTTTTGGTGAGGAGGAGGAGCTTGCTGTTCTAGATCGTTCATTGGGCACTCACTGGCCAGTCATCTCCCGGTGCTATGATAGTAGAGGAAAGGGGGCGTTGCCTCGCGCAACGCCGCGGGAGAGAGCCGCGAGCGTTCAACGGTCGGCGGCGCGAGGGGGCGTGGCAATCATGGAGGAGAAAGCGCGTCGCGACCATTGGCTTTCCTCAACTCATAGCTTTCATTGCGCATGTGCAGTCTGTGGCGGGAGGGCTGCGCTGCTCCTCCGTCGGTCTGAGGAGATTTAATTAAATCTGCTCCGTGCTTACCCAAGTGACGGGGCTCAGGTGCTCTTTTCCCTCAAGTGGCGGGACTCTCGCCCGCGGACCTGCTCAGTTTTGCTCCGGAGGTAATAACATTTTTTTCCCGTGGGGTGAGGGACCTATCCTGTAACCCCTTTTAAATCCTCGCCCCGCAACTCTCCACTGCCCCCCCCTCCAATTGTGTGACAGAACAACCGCGCTTTACCTTCGTGGTTGAGGGTGAGAGGGTTGGCGGCAGTGAGGTGCGGTTGGTTCCTTCCCTCAGGTAGCTTTTGCTTAACTTTACCCTCCCAGGGTATGGCAGCAGAGGGTGAGGAGAGAGACACCCTCCGAAGCATCCCGAGATAACTCTTCTCTCTGCTTCCCATTCCCGGATACCTGGGATGACTTAGAGGAAAGGCCCTTTTCAAATAACAGGACGTGAGTGAAGATGATGACAGAATCACGAAGTGGAAGCTGAAAATAAGGCTGTTTTCTGAAGCATGCTGACTTGAAAAGTTGAAAATGTAGTCCTGTGACTATTTAGGCAGAAAAGAAAAAGACCTACAACTCTCAGTGTTCATAGTCAGCTGTGCTGGCTGGGTAGATTGAGAGTTGTAGGACTTTTTTTCTGGCTAAGCTTGCATACCTTGTGTTTTTAAAGACCTTTACTGCCTCTGCCTAAATGGACACAGGATTGCACCTTAACTCAGTTAACAAAGATAGGGACTGTCTCAGAAGAAATGTGTTTAGGACGGAAATGCTAAAATATTGCTATTTTATTTTTCAGCACTCCAACTAATTGAACAAAGCTCCTCCTATTCCCACTACCCAAATGTGCTTTGTTCTTTTCTGAGCCTCCCTTGATAACTTGTTTAAATACTTCTAAAGATCACGTAAGGTGCAGTACTCAGTAGGATTATTCAACAAGTAACTCCCACTGAATTTAGAGTACCTCTGGTAAGGGTGTGTAGGGTTGCAGCCTCACTGAGGATTAGAAGCAATAGTCTTGTGGCAGCTTAATATATGGGCCAGTTTACTTATATACACATGCTAGTTATAAATATTGCACACACATTTTACTTATTATGATATATGTTTTCATGGACTACAGTTAACTTTATCAGATTTATTAGGTGTTTATCCTCAGTTGAGGTACATAGGTTCTACATATCTGCATGGGTGAGAAGAGGAAGCAGACATGTCAGCAATGGGACAAAAGCTGCAAAATGTAAAGAGCAGCCATAAACAATGTTCCCCCCACCCATGTAATTTTCCAGTTGAAGGAGAACATTCTCATTCTGGTGGTGTGAAAGCTTTTGCTGCAATAAATCTGTTGATCTGGCCATGTTTGTAAAGAATAATTGAGAATTGTAATTCACTGTGAACAGGCTATTGTGTATAGACTGACCATGCTTGCTTTGTTCCTCCCTTGTAGAGAAATTGGTAAACAAACCGGGAAGACTCTGTTTAGTTTGTTGTCTGAATGGGAATCCTGACTTCTTGTTCCCAAACAAGCCAGGATTCATAAAGAACCAGTACTCGTTTGGTTTATATCTTGTAAAGCCTGGGCCCTTTCTTCAGATGACATGTTGAATTGGTTGCATGTAGCAGCACACAGCTTGCTCACAATAAGCCAGAATTCTCTGGAATCTTGGCCTATTATTCGCTCAGGTGGAACCTGTGTGTTTGTTCTAACAATCTACACCTCAAAAATTTATCATGGGTTACTTCTGTCTTACTCTCTTACTATGTCAGCCTTTTCCAAACCAGTACTGCTGCTGTGGGTTTTGCTGGCTGGAGATGATTGAAGTTGTAGCCCAATACTATTGAAAATATCAGGTTGGAGAAGTCTGCTGTAGGTGCGACTGTATTCAGAGGCAATGCTAAGTTGTAGTTTGCAGTGACAGTATATTAATAGTTAGCTGTAGTTCTTGTTATTTTGTCCAGTCTTGGCAAAACATGGTTTGACTGTATTTTTAGACCTTTATTGGGGTCCAAGTGTGTACTTAGTATGTTAAGAACATGTTTAGCATATTAAGAGCTAAGACTTGTCTAAACCCTTCAATCCTTCCTAGCATGTTACCGTTCAAACCCATTTTTGCAGAGTCTGCTTGAACATTCCTGTGATTGCATATATGCTTTATTTGGTACCCTGTTTGCCTTGATATCATTAAATGTGTTTTCAGTCTGCACCATTCAGACCTGTAGTTCAGTGTGATGGACAGCAGTGCAAATACAGTTAAAGCTCAAAGGGTTACATTAAATTAGGATTGATTTGTCATTCCATCAGTGTTTTCAGTGACTCACATCAGTAATTGCACATTGTTAGTATGTTCTGATTACTTGATTTAACAGTAAATCCTAGACTGAATTAACCATGGTTGAAGATGCATATCTAAGCTTTTTTTACTTTGATAGTAGGGATTTTTCTATGCAAGAGAGTGGCCTGTAAGAATGGTTAAGGGATAGGTTGTATTACCTTGGTTTGAGAGTTCTTACAGACATCATAAATCATCATAAATTATTCTTACAGACATCATAAATCCTAACCATGTATCCTTTCTCCCCTTTTAGATTAAGATTAGAAGAGTAGTTCCCTAGATACAGTCTTGTAAATCCCAAAATTCTGGAGACATTCTGGTCATACTTCTACTATGGCTGCCTCTGGGGGTACAGTAATCGGGACCTTCTCATCAAACAGTACAGATGGTAAGCTTTTTGTTTTTAAGTTGCTTAAGTCCTGTACAGGTTAGTTATATTCCATACCACAATCACTTTTCTGTATCACTGCCATCATGTCAGATGAGACAATGGAAGGGATGAGTCAAGGTTTGCCGTTAGTAATGAAATGGATGACAACCAATAAACTGAGGTATTGTTCTGGTAAGACAGAAATACTACTGATGGATAGTTAGCCTCATCAGTTACATGGTGTTTTCTCCATTCTGAATGGTGCTACCCTGCCTCTTCAAGATCAGATTAGCTGTTTTGGGCTGCTGATCTAGCATTTTTTTCTGGAGGCCTAAATGATACACATGATACATACTCTGGTGGCTTGTGTAGTGTGTTGCACATGAGTCTTTTTCTGAACTATTTTGGAAATAGTTTGGTACTTGCAAGATTGCTACTTTAGACTGGCTACAGAGAGTTTTAAACAACTCCATTGGCATGTAGTCTGGTCTTGAGCACAGTTCAAAGTGCTGCTCTTTACCAACAAAGCCTTAAAGATACGCCCTTCTTTCACACATACCTAACTGTTATATCAATATTTGGAGGACTTTCTCTGAGTGCTCACATTTTGTATATGGGCAGCACCTACCAGTCAGATTCTCTGGGTACCAAATTCGTTGGGTTTTTGTATGTCAGTCAAATATCTATTTATTGTAACCAAATTGCATATAGTTTTCAAAGTTCCTTCAAATTTAAATGAGTTTTTGCTTCAAGGAGTTTCTAAGTTTAAAATTAGTTATTGAGCTGCCTGCTTTTGATACACCTACAACTCTGCCTCTACTTTGCCTCCTGCCATCTGTTTCATTGTGGAAATGCTGTCTGTGTAGTGCCTCTCTGCTGTCTACATGCTTGCAGGGCAAATGTCATTTGTGAAATATCCCTGATTTGTAGCATTCTAGAAAGGTAAGGAGCCTAGCTAAAATTAGGGGTTTTTTTCAGTGCATATATTCTCTTTGCATGTCCAGATGCCTCTAATTTAAGAGGCAGAATACATGTATCTACTTTTCCAGGGTGTCTTAGAAGGGCAGGGGGGAAACTCTTCTAGTTTAACTAATAAGAAATGCCAGGAATTAAATGCGGGGCTTCACAAAATGGCAAGCCACACTCCTACACCCAGATACAATTTTAGTAAACAAGAGATTTGGCAATTACAATTGAGCTCTTGGAGATAGCCTTTCCCTCTGTCACATGACCAGCTTTCTAAAATGTAAACAGCACTGTGTTGCCCTCCTACTCCCCTTCTTAGAGTTTCTGAAGGGCTTTTCCTTCTGACATTTTGTATTGTGTACCAGTAGCTTGTCTGCAGGTATTTAAACATGTATTTTTTATTTATTTAAAGTTTTTGTATGCCTTCCCCTTGCTATATAGCCTCGGGACGGCTCATGTACTGTCTAGTATCAATTTCTGTAATAATTGACTCCTCCTTATATCAGCAATCAGATACTACAGATATGTGGCAAATATGATGTCATTGTCCTGAAACAGGAAAGAAGCAATATTTGTTTTACTGACAGTGGTATCCAAGCATCTGGAAAGGAAGAAACATTGTTAGAGGACTTGGTTCCTTGCTGCTCAGTTGAGCTGTTTTTCCTGTATTGAAACCTGAGAGTTACTAAGAATAACTTCACACGTCCATCTAGTCAGATCTGGTACCTCTGCGTCAGGATTTTCAGTATTCAGCTCTGCTTATTCCATATAGCTGTTGAGAAGAACCAGCACTTATTCGGGTTTTTTTGTGGAGGGGGGGTGAGTTAGGAAGCTAAATTGCTGTCATGTTTGGCACTAAGAAAGTGTTCTGGTCTTTTGCTTCGTTGGGGCAATCTCCAGCTTTGTTCAACATTTCTTGCAATAAATGAGAGTTGCAGTGCTGTGAGTTGGGAGTGTACACAAGAGTTTTACTCCATGTTCCTGAGTAAGTTTCGACACTTCCTAAAGCCAACATCAAGGCTTATTTTATGAACAACTGGAAAGCTACATTTCTTTTGCAAGATCTTATTTTTTTCAAATTATTTGGACTTTTGTTGTCATCTGATGCTGTTACTTTCTATATTAGGCATGTTAACTATCCTTTCTATATAATAATGTGGCATTTTTCTTCTTCTATAATTAGTAGTTCTATTAAACCATGTAAGTGTCCTCAAAGCTGACTGTGCAAAAGACCATGGAAAAATTAATTATCAGTGAATGTGTAATGTTCTGGTTCTAATTCCCTGGTTGTTTTTCTTCTCTAGCATCCTGCAATTCCAGTGACAGATCTTCATTTCAGCCCATCAGGACCCAAGTGGCCATCCCTACAGCTCACGTCATGCCTTCCATGCTGGATCGCTCTTCTTGCTCAGTGGGGAAATCAAGCATACCGCAGACCACCCTGGCTTCCTCCTTGTCAGTTTCTTCAGGTGATGCAGGAGGGCCAATTCCTAACCATGACCCTGACCCTCTGAGGCACTCGCAGGTCCTCCACAGGAGTCCTCTTCATCTGTATCAAACTTCAGTGGAAAATGGTTGTGATCAATCAGTGTTCCTTACTTCTGACCAAGCAAGTGTGGAGTGTGCTCAGAGACCTGTCAGACTTGCAGCTGAATTCACATTTAACCAAACGGCTTTAGACAGGCAGTCCACTGGTCCTTGGTCTCAGCTCCAAATGTGCAGTTCAGATACTACTGCTACTGGCCAAGAAAAAGAACCAAGCAAAGCATTGCTTGATACCAATCCAGCAGCAGAGGCTAGTAGAGTTAATGAAAAGCAAGTGCCCTTAGGGCTTAGTTTTGCCAGTATGTGTTCCAGTCCAACAACTGCTCCGTCTCGGATGTGGAAACAAGAAGCCTGCGCTCTGCATCCACAGGAGAATTGCGCTCTCAGTGCCTGGAAGCAACACTTGGACCATGTTCGGCTGCAACTGGAGCAGGTGCAGGTAGAAGACTCTTTTAGCTTTGTGTGTATATACATTGAATTAGAATAACAATTTTAGCTAATATTCACAGTTGCATATTAACTTGGTATTCTGTTTCACTTTTTAATTATATTTTTAAGCGTAGGTATTGACCCTCTGAATTGTTTCCTGCCCCAGTCCGTTGTGCAGTGGCTAAATATAAGTGGAAATAAATGCACTAAAGCTGATGCATATATTTCTATGAGGACTAGTGTATTGTGGTTATAATGTGGGATTGGAGACCCAGAAGTTATAAATACGAGTCCCCACTGAACCGTGAAGCCAATTGGCGACTTTGAGCAAGTCACTGTCTCTAAGTCTAACCTACCACACAGATTTGTTGTGAGGATAACTTGGAGAGGTGGAGAATCTTGTAAATAACCTTGGGTTCCTTGCAAGAGGAAGAAAGGCAAAAATCTAAATGCTTTGTAATATTAATAACAATAACAATATAATTAGTCAAGGTAGCCTATTAGAGCAGTATGACAGTGGAACCAATTACTTAGGGAGGTTCTGGGCCATCCCACACTAGAGGCATTCAAGATGCAACTGGGCAACCATCTGAGAGGGATGGTCTTTGGAGTCCTGCATGGAACAGGGTTGGACAAATGCCCTTCTGGCCCCTTCCTGCTCTACTATTCTATGATTCCATGATTACATCGTACTGTGTCTGGTGAAATAATACAATGTAATAGGCTATCTTATTCAATGCTTAATGAGAAAGAAACAGTTAAAACATTTGAATTATTTGTATTGATGACATCTTAATTTATGAGGCGTTAAACTAAGGTGGCATCATGAAGGGTTCTTGAGGTAAAGTTCCAGGCCAAAGAGGCATTGAGTGGGTATGGACAGTATCTGTACATGTTCTTTGTGTCAAGTTCAGGGATTCTTCCTGTGTGTTTCTTCATTCTTTGTTTTGCTAGATATTGCTGTGATGTATCAGTAGTTCCCGTTTCAATAAATGAGAGCAGAATGAGTGTATCTCATTTTGCTTTGTTAGTCTTGCCCTAAAATCCAGTGTCTTCTAGTGAGAACAGGCAGTTTCTGTTTAGTGACTTCACTTGTTTTCCTTTGACACACAGTGATCTAAAATGTATTCTGCAGGGAACTATTTTGTAGTATTTAGATATGGGTCTGAAATAACTGAATGTGAATTGAGCCTTCTGTGTACTGGCATATGAAGAAATCTGAAAATAAACTAGCCTGTGTGATATTGATTTCACCAAGAGCTGAACTTCATACCTTCTCTGTCCTGAACCTCATGATTTCAGCTGCAAAATAAAGCTGCTTGCTACCATCCCTTTGTGAACAGCACTTTACTGCACAGTCTTGATCCAGCTCATTGGTTCAGTATCATGAATGCAAATGAGAACCTGCTCAGGGAAAAAGAAATTCTCATTGACAGGTAAGAATGAGAACAGGAATATGTTGTAGATATCTATAACAGCTAATAATTGCCAGATTGTATTTCATGTTAACAGAAATATTAACTTTGCAATCTTTAACACACAAGACATTTGAGTACATTGGGCTTCCTTACAGATACATAGCTAGGGTTATGCTGTAAAATTTGTTCTGAGAATATAATTACATAGTTCAGTATATTGTCACTCAACAACATTACTCTGAGTTGTTTCTGCTGTGCTATGGCCATAGAATTGGTGGGTGAATATAGCTATCTTTCCTAGATTTTTCTCCACTTCTTTACTAATAATTTTTAAATGCTTAAGTTGGTTTGTGTGGCCTCTTCTAATTAAATTGAGATTTAGCCTGTATTTTAACTGAAGCATTCTCTTTTATATCTTTGGTGCTTTTCGGGCACTGCTGAGTGTGCTGGTAGTTAATACTAATTTCCATCTTCATACATGGGATCATTTTGTTTTTTATTAGCTAAATAGTGCCAGGCAATGAGGAAGGATCGCCTGTGTCTGTTAATTTTCTTAATTCCATTTTTTTTCCTAAGCGTGCTTTAATACCACTCCTTAGACTTAAGAACAGAGATAAGTAAACACTGTCATATAAAGTCCCTTCAACAAAAGGACTTTCTCTCGCAAGTTCTGATTATCTAAATGTTATACATGTGTTTTGGGATGATTCTTATTTGAAGGCAGAGGCAACACATTTCCCAGCTGGAGCAGAAAGTACGAGAAAGTGAGCTGCAAGTCCACAATGCCCTCTTTGGCCATCCTGCACCTTATGGAGACATATACCTACTCAGAATGCAGGTAAACACCATCATCTCATCATTGGAGTGACTTAGCTTTTCTGTTGGAAGAACTGGAATTAATACTGGTTTGGAAGAGATGGGGGTAGGGAAGAGTCATCCTATTTGTCTGGCACTTTGGGGTCTTTTTAATTTTTAATCCAACAATATTGGCTGCAGACTTGTTAAAAAAAGACCACACGAGTAACTAGCCTGCTGAGGACTGGTAGAATAGGGGTGGAAAGCTCTCCCTGATGCGGCAACCTTGCAGCTTTCCTCTTTTGAGCACAGAGGGTAGAGGCTTTTCTTTTTCCAGCAGCATACTTGGTTTTCTGTTGGGATCAGATGAAGGGCAGCATAGAAGCTTTTCCACCTGTCTGTTCATTTGTCTGCATGCATTTCCTTGTCACCTGTAGCTATCAGGCTTGTGCTTAAGGGCATAATCCTATGTATGTTGAGGCAGAAGTTCCTACAACTTTCAGTATTACCTAGTTCAGTCATGCTGAGTTGTGGGAATTTTTTCTGTTTAAACATGCATAGGTTTGGACCTTAAAGCTGATAGAATAGAATGTGCCATTGTTTGATGGATGAGTGTTATAATCATGAAAGTGACAGCTGTCATCACTACAATTTTTGTTTTGGTTACTATGATTGGGATTTAGAGTTCTGGCTGCTTCATTGGGGGTGGAATCCTTTGTTTGAGGAAGATAATAGGAAGCTGTTGTGATCTGCAGTGTCACTTTTGCAGGAATTGCAGCGGGAAAATGTTTTCTTGCGGGCTCAGTTTGCTGAAAAAACAGAGTTGCTCAGCAAGGAAAAAATTGAATTAGAGAGGAAACTGTCAGCTACAGAAGGAGGCATAAAACAGGCCCAGGAGGCTCAGAAAGAAACCATACAGAAGCATACAGTGGAACTGAAGAAACAAGAAGAAAGGGTATGTAGTTTGTGTTACACGTGGGGGTCCATTCAGTTTCTATTTAAAAAAAATGATTTTTTTTTTCCATAGAGGTCACTGAAATAAAGCATTCCACAAATGAGCACTGACGATAGTAAGAGGAAACTGTCACAGACTACTTGGCGTGACATCCCTGATATTTTGTACAAAGGAACAAGCAGTGTTAGGGAGTAGAACTCTCACCTGCTTTTGGGGGTGAGGCAAGAACAGAACTGTTGCTTGCACCTGACTTCATGGGGTGAGCAGAAGAGCTCTGTGAGCTAGTTGGCATCTGGACCTAGAGCAGCCACACATTACTCCTGCTGACTGATGTAATGCAGTGTTGCTGTGAGAAATTACGGCTTCTGTGCCCAAGCTTCTAAATTGGGAATCTAACAAGGCGGTGAAAGAGACCAAAAGCTAAGAGCTTCCGATATTTTTTCTAAAGCAATTGCACTGATCTAGGAATTAGAATCCTTTAGCTTTGAGTTCTACAATATTAAGCTACGTCTCCATTCCGCTTATAAAATGTGTGGCTCTCTTTCCCAGAATATTTCATGGGGAGCGATTCTCCCCCCTCCCCCACCCCTGTGGCTGACATGACGTCTTGTTAACAAGTTTTCTCTTGTGCAGCCTAGAGTGGGATTATCCTGCTCTGTATGATGAGCTCACCTGTTTTGGAGTGCTGTAGTTGAATGGAATCTCTCATTTACATTTAACTTCCAGCAGACACAGATAGTGTTTGTCACTCAGCTTCAGGTTTTTATATCCAAGGCATGTGGTTTCCTACTGGATGAAAAACACTGCCATAAGAGGGTCCAATCATTTAATTATCAAAAACATTTGTATTCCATCTATTGTGCCACTGCACCTCTGGGTGGCTCACAATCATAAGATAAAACACCACAATAAAACTATGAAAATAATGTGCTATTTGTGCAGGTAAAGGCAAGAGATAAACACATTGAGCATCTGAAAAAGAAATGCCAAAAAGAATCTGAGCAGAACCGTGAGAAGCAGCAAAGAATTGAGACTCTGGAGCGCTACGTTGCTGACCTCCCAATGTTAGAAGATCATCGCAAGCAAATTCAGCAGGTAAAGTAATGCTTCCTAGATATAGCTGGATTTGAAGAACAGATAGATCTTTGGACATAGCTGTGAATGCACATGGATGACTAGAATGGCAATGACAAAAAGGGGAAAATTCTGCTCTAGGACTTCAATCAAATTAAGCTGTCAAAATCATAATGCTTTTACACAATGGTATTGGTGCTACCATACTTGTAATATTATGTACAGATCTGGTCACTGTACCTCAAAAAGGATATTGCAGAATAGGAAATGGTGTACTAAAGGGCAACCAATATGATAAGGAAACCCTACAGCATTTGAGAGTTTTTAACTCAGAAAAAAGATGAGTGGGAGAAGATGTGATAAAGCTGTATAGGAAATGGAGAGGCAGAATTTCTTTCTCACAACATTGGAATCCAATGAAGCTGGATTCATTGGAGCAGTTGCTTATATAATGCATGTTTAACTATAGAATTGGTTTCCACAAGGTGTAGTAGTCGGCACCAACTTGAATAGCTTTAGAAATTTAGGGAGGATAAGGCTGTCAGTGGCTATAACGGATACTATTATGCCGTACCACGCACTGCCTGCTGCTCAGTGGTAGGTGCTGGAATGCCCACCAAGTGCGTACGGCTGCACTTACATTCTGTGGGCTTTCCATAGGAGCCTGTTGGGCACTGTGGCACAGAATGCTGGAGTAGGCAGGCCTCTGGTCCAGTCCAGCATGGCCCTTCTGCTCACATCGCCTGGAACTGTAAAAGGATATGTAGCAGTTGCTCTCTTATATGTAGCTAAACTGGTAGAAGAAATCCCATAGATTCCGGAATGCACACTCTTTCTTTTTCCTAGTTAAAGGAAGCTCAGCAGACAATTGCAGCTTTGCAGGAAACAGTGACTGTTCTTAAGAGGGAACTTGGAGATGTCCGTACCAATTTCAGAGAGAAAGAGCTGCAGCTAGAAATGCAGAAACACAAAGAAATGGAACTGCTTTCCACTGTACACAGGTAATGCTTTTTGAAACTAGAAGCAGAGAAATTGAGTGGAAGGCATGAATATTGACTTTCAGAGGAGCTGAGGAGGAGGAGAGAGGTATTGTAACAGCAGGTGTGTCAGGGGAAAAGGTGGGGGTAAGTTAAGGAGAGAAGTCTTTACCAAGGGAGAGTAAATTCATGAAAACTGTAGAGAGGGAAGAAAGATCTTGTTTAAACTGTCTTGAACACCATCTGCAGTCAATAGGCCACATTAAAAAAATAAAGTGGGCTTTGGGGCAAAGTGGTGGCTCAAAAGGAGGAAAGTGTGGACTTGGGGTTAGGATTCTGCTACAGAGAGAGAGGCAAGCAGCGGACAGCACTGGGGAGGAGGTTATGGAAGGTGCACGTGTGATATTAGGCAGAACATTGGCACCAAACCTGTAGAAAGCTTGCATTGTGTTTTGCCTAATTTCCAAAGTAATGCTAAAAGATACTGTCTTCCAATTTAAAAGGATGGTGAGTATTCTATATTAGTAACCCAAAGAGCTCATTTGACATAGCGTTTGAAGCTGCTTTTAAGAGTAGTGACAGACTTGAGTTAAATGTAAAGGCAGATCAGTGCTGTTCAATTTGCCCAACCACATAAAGTGAGAAAGATGGTACAGCACATGTGTGAGTGACCAGCAGAGCCCTTTCACGCATATGTTTAATCTCTGTCCTGCTTGTGGCTTTCCAGAGTCTGCTCTTCTTACCTTAGTCTGCTCTTCTATCTTGGGAAGCTTGGTAGGAAGATATTTATATATCCATTCCAAGATGCATATTCTTTCTATGTGGCTTACATATAACATAAGGAATTGAGATCTTAGCCAAAGGGCAGTTAGTGATAGATAGCTCAGTGGATAGCGTGGGGACAGTCAAGCTGGAGCAGTCTCAGAAGCCCTCTTTGCCTGTGTCAGCTTCTTATCGCGCTTACTTTCCTAATACGTAGTAAAGGCCCAGTGAGTGCATTAAGGAACCTTTCCTTTGGCTTAGGTCTGACTGTGAAATTCTTCCTGCACCGGAAGAACAGTATGGAAGAATCAGCAGACAATGTTTGGCTATTTTGTCCACCATACCAAGAAAAATTGGTTGCCTGCTTCACACACACATAATCAGGATTGAAAAGTATTACAAAATATGCATTTTTGCAGTGAACCATGCATGGTTTGGGAGGGGCCTAGTATTTCTGAAAGTGCTGTTATGAGGCCTGCCTTCAAAGTTCAACCCATTTAGTGTTCAATCCATCCTTTTTCTCAGTTTGCAAGATAAAATGCAGCATGGGAAGACGTCAGCATCAGATGACTATACCCGGGAGATAGAGAAAGAAAAACGAGAGAAAGATTCTCTGCAAAAGGAACGTGATCTCCTCAGAAAGGTAATGACCACAATCAGGAAATTGAAAACTATGAGAGGATTCCTATTCTGTGTTTGTTGGAACATCTCATCCTGATTTTTCTAGTTTACTCCCAGCCTTCCAACTAAGTATCTTCTTTGTGATCTCTGTGCAGTCCAAAACATGGGTTCAAGATTTGCACAAAAAAAGTCTTCTAGAGCTGTGTGATACCATTTTAGGCAGGAGGCCTCAGTCCTTGCTCCCAGTCGTTTTGCTTCATGCTCAAGGGGCATAGTTTTTTTCTTTCCTCTCCCTTCCCCAGAGACTGCAGTGGTAAGTAGGGAAGCAGGTCCTAACATCTTGGAGGGAGGAGGGTATGTTGTCTGACTGTACCCTTTTCACTGATAAGCAACATGATTTGGTGTTTGTTTTTTATTGTGAAGATCTGCATCAGGGGCAGGCAAACTGGTCTGCAAACTGAGTGCAGCTCTTGATGGCAGTTTCTGCAGGGCCCTGTATTTACCCAGTCACCAAAGTTCTCATACAGCTGCTACTTCCTCTGCCCCCCTCCCCTGCAGCGAAACCACAGTCCGAATGCAGCAACAGAATGTATGGCTGCTCACTCATGACTCATTTCTATGCTCCCCCGCCCTTGCAGCAAAACCTGCCAGAATTGCTGTGAAACGCACAGAATCCTGGTATCCTTTGCCTATAAGAGAGACTCTGGTCAGTGCTATCACAATGTTCTGTGGTACTTTACTGGCCATACAAGTTGTCCGCCCCAACCTACAGCAATGCAGTACAAGCCTGGAGCTGGAGCAGACTTGCAGGACGTGTTCAATTGTCAGGCCTGTAGATTGGGGCAGGCAACTTGTACAGCCATGAGTTCTGTGTTGGGGTATGGGAGGACTCTAGACTCCCGCACTGGATTATTTGCAGTAGAACAAATTAGCATGAATGTGCTCATTCTCCAGGCTTATTCTGGAGTAAAAGAACATCTGGGGAATGGGAATATACAGAAATGTTTTGACCATTCTCATTTTCAGATTGTGGATAATCAGAAGAAGAAAATTGATCAGTTATCTTCACAAGTAAAGGTGAGTTACTTGATGGAGGGTTAGAGATACTGTTTATGTGGCAACACTGCCTATACAATTAGCTGAATCTGTCAGTGTATTCCAGGATCTGGAGGAACAGGTATCTCAGGAGGAGGGCACAGGTCAGGCTCTGAAAGCAGAAGCACTGAGACAAGAGAGTGCACTACAGCAGCTGCGTGTAGCTGTGAGAGAGGTAACTGCCTTTTAAATGTTGACATCTATTGGATGGAAATGACTGTTCAGGCTATCATTTATGCTTGCATAGAGCTCCCTGATAGTGCATCTGTTTCTTACCATGCAATTACTTAGTCTTCTTTCAGTCCCCCTTCCCTCTGATTTTGTTGTAGCTTTGCTTTGTTGAATTGTGTTTGGTGTTTTTGCAGCTTCTTGGCAGAGCTAGAGCAAATTCACATGATATTTCTAGCATGCCAGGATGTAGCTTGTTGTCCTTTGCAAGAGCATTGTGTTTGCTGCAAATTAGCTCCCTGGTTTCAATCACTGGGCAGCACAGGAAGGAATCTGAGTGAATGCAGCTGAAGCAAATGGATTACTGCTTTGCTGCGGCTCAGGCAGTTGTAGTGGATGTAATTGTGCACACTGCGATTTATCCCTCTGCCTTACCCAGTTTTTGGTTTACTTTTAGGCTGTTAAAATCCACTCAGTACTGAAAGGTATCAGGGTAAATAATACACAATGCGTTAATCTTTAAAAAAAACCTCTCTGTATACTATAGGGTTAGGGTTAATTAAATATAGAGCAGAAGAATGCACCAGGGGCAGCTTTCTCACCCATACCAACAGGTGGGTTGTTGTCTTTAGTCCTAACTATTCTTGAACATATTCAGATTAACCGTAGAGCCATAGCAATTGATCTCCATCTGCACGGACAAAAGCCTGAGATGCTGAATTAGCAGTTTCTGACTTGCAATGACTCCTCTAAGACATTTCTGCATACATTTAATTTCCTGTTCAGTAGTATTACTCTTTCTGCAGATAAGAGAGACAGTCATCTGGGGCATTTGTTGCAAGAACCTAATATCTGATACTATATAACTTCACTCGAGTAATTTCACTATAGGAGTAGAACTTACCAAGTTATGCTCTCAGATTTTATATAGCAGCTGGATGCTCCTGCCAGTCTGTAGGTTCCTCAGCATGAGCACAAACTGTGATACTCTAGAGATGCAGCTTCTAAGTAGAGGACAGTGCACATCCATGCATGGGTCTGTAATACTCCAGCTTCTGTGTCTGCCTTTAGTTGTCTGCACAAAACCAAGAATTGATGGAGAAAAACCTGACTCTTGAAGAGCAGCTCCGACAGAGAGAGCTGGATCCACCTCTGTCTGATGTGACAACCCACCTTACTCAAGAACTGCACAGTGAGCTGGCCAGCTGCCTGCAAGATTTGCAGTCTGTCTGTAGTGTTGTAACTCAAAGGGTTCAAGGAAAGGATCCTAACTTGTCTTTACTGTTGGGGATTCATAGTAAGTAAATCTGAGGAAGGGCATTTGGCAGCTTCGGGTGGAAGAAGATTCTGTTTCTTTGGGGTTCTGAAGATGTAAAGCATCTGCTTTTGTAGATGTCTGTTCATATTGCCATAGCTAGCATGTTGTGGGGCTGAGAGGGAATTATCAGGTGATGAAATCTTTTAAATTGTTTGTCTTGGCATTCCTTGCTAAGGTGGGTTTCCTGTACTTGAAATACTTCGAAGTTTCCCTATTACAGGATTTAGAAACTGACCAGATTCACATAACTGGGGCAGGAAAATAAGCCACTGTGGCATGTGCTGCTTGTGTGCCATTGAATTACCCTGATTATCCTTGCTGGGCACAGTTTGTTGTATTACCTGAAATTTACAAGGGCGGGTGGTGGGTAGGTTACAAAGTCCCCTGATCCCATGGCTTATTCTAGGGTTGCAGGGTTTGCAGACCCTGCCCCCATGCCCACCAGGCTTGGATGACACAGCAAATGGCACCATGGAGGAGTAGTTATGGTAACTTGGTGGGATGTGGCCAACATGCGTGGGGGCAGGAAAATAAGTTGCAGCAGCTTATTTTCCTTCCCTGACCCACACTTTGACAATTGCTGAACCATTGACATTCCACACTTTCTCATCTAGTTTTCTCATTGGAGAAAATGCCCAAATGTTTTCATAAGGAATGGTTAGACATTTGCTTCTCTTTTTAAAGGAAAATAGACTTCCAACACTGACCTTATAATGGAATACATGCAGCTCAGATGCTGCTAATGTTTTCTCTGTCAAGTGACACAGAACAGATGATTTCTCTGTCAAGTGACCCTACGGCTAAGCTATGACTTTGTGTGACTTCACAGCTGTGCATTGTTCAGTGAAAGAAAAAGAAGACTTGCTGAAACCAGATGTGCTGGCAAAAAAACTGGAAGATGTGAAACAGTTGCACAAAGAGATTGAGGATTTACGGACTGCTATTTCTGATAGATATGCACAAGATATGGGTGACAACTGTATCACGCAGTGAAGATGATGGAGAGTGATGAGGACTAATCTTGCAAAGCAAGAAGAGCTGCTATCTCCTTAATATATTACTTCTGCTTTGATGCCAGGTGGAGCCTCCCCCATAACAGGGAATCATTGTTCTTTTTCAGGAAGGCTCTTCAAGGGAAATGTTTCCTTTGTGTGCCCTTCCCTTTGATTTTCGAGAACTGAGCAAACATAGATCCTAAACACTAACATAATTACAGTTTTAAGGCTGGTTGACACTGACAGTTGCAAGCGAGGAGCTTCAGGGTTCTTCAGCCAAATGTCTGCAACGTGATGGAGAAATGTCTGAACAGAGCAGTTGTGATTACAACTAGCCATTTCGGTTATTTAGGGCAGCACTTTTTCCAGACACCGCCGTCATGGAAATTGCTGTGGCTGTATCTTTGCAATACACCACACATTTATGCAATTGTGGGCATGTACGTAGCTCGAAGGAACTATGGTAGCATGAATGTGAAAAGAACTGCATTGGTTTGGAAGGACAAACCAGTGTCCAAAGGACAAAGGAGCCACGGAGCAAGATGCTTAAATTCTTCAGTACCCTGAAGTATTCTTTCAGGTTCCTTTATAAACTAGAAGCATGAGTGATATGCTCAAAAAAACAGAACACTTTGTGAGCATGTTTTGGCTCCCCACATATTCTGCGGCTGTGGTAGGTGGTGGTAAAAGGTATGCTCTGCACTAGTGAGGTGGTGATTGAGTGTCAGAGTGGGCTGTATCAGCCTTCCCAACTGTGCAGATGTGTTAGATGACCGTTTTCAGCACTTCTGACGAAAGGCTGTGATGGGAATCCACAACATCTGGAGAGCACCAAGTTGAGAAAGGCTGGATCGAATGTTCCCGTGCAGATGCTTTTTAAACAAGCCTTCCCCACAGTGGTGCTCTCCAGGTAGTGTAGATTTCAAATCCCATCAGACCCAGCCACCATGGTCAACATTCAAGAATTTTGGAAGTTGGAGTCCAAAATATCTTCAGGGTACAAGGTTGGGGAAAAGCTTTTTTGGACTATATTTTTGTATGTTTTTCACCCAAGTGCTATTTTGACTTGCTGAAGATTGTGGATTTTTCACACTGAAATGCCTTAATTCCTTCTGGAATAAACCTGCATTCTTATAAGTGTGTATCTGCATTTCTGTGCAGCACACCCTGATTCCCCTGACTCCCTTGAGTGGCTTATAACACTTTCTGTCCATCATGTGGATCTGATTTAGCCTAGAACTTTACCTGATTTCCATGAATGATAAGGCAATAGAAGCTCACTAATTGGTCATTAAGCTATAGGGTGCATTCCTATGTATGTTTAGACCTGGCTGGAAATGTTGGGAGCTGTAGTGCTCTTTTCTGTCTAAGCATACATAGGATTGCTATCTAAGGGTCTATAAATCTCTTCCTCTAGATATAGAATGTAGGTAAGGGGGTAGGTTCCTGATTGCCTTGCCTGTAGTTAAGACAAGCAAATAAATTTATCCATTTTTTACATTTGGACCTTGGCAAGAAAGTTAAGTAGGGCTTCTTTACCTGGGGTTTCACCTTCATATAAATAAGGGTACATACATGTTATGCCAGTGCTGTAATGTATAACCTTAAGAATATGAGTAACATCCAATTTTAAACTCAAAAAATCAATTTACAGACAGCATTTGCTATCAGCCCATCTTGCCACTCTTTTCCGTCCACAAAGATGAAACTGCAAAACTCCTTTCAAACTTCTGTGCCTCAACATGCAGTCATGTGTACCTGAGTAATATCCCATCTGCAATCCTTGCTGTATTTTGTTAACAGCATTTTCCACTTCAGTGCATTTTTCTACCAACCTTGAACATGAAGAACTTGTGAATAAATTAGTTTAAGAAATTAGTTTAACAAAACAGGGAAAACATGGTAATTGATCTCCGTATCAGAGTGCATTGTGGTCTTTCAGTCTTCAGCACAGAAGGGTAGTGAAAATCCTCAGTGGCTAAAATGTGTTTCCAGAACAGCTTTGGTAAGAATCAAACTTTCTAGAATGTTCATGTGGCTATGATTAATTTCTGGTGGAGTTTTGCCAAGCCTGCTGGGGAAAAAAAAACAATTTGAGGATCAGCTGTACTTTCTGTGTAGCACTTGGTGCTGGAAGTGACAAATCAACTATTTTCTCCCAAGCACACGGCCTGACATGAAAGGATGTTTTTAATATGCGAATGTCCAAGTTTGCATGTCCTGGTATTGACCAAGGAAGAAAAGTTTCTGGATTCAGGCTTTTACTCAGGAAAATCTCATCCAAGGGCATCCGAAATGCTGAAATTCTAACAGACATATATCATCTGTGCACCTTCCTTTTGACAATTATTGCCTTCCTTCAGGCTGTTTACAAACGTTTTCATGGCATTTGGTAGAACTTGTTTGCTAAAGAAAGACATGCAGGCATCAACAGAGGAAAAAATCTCAGGGGTGTAATTTTAATATCTGAGGCATATATTTTGTTGTTACTTGTGCTCAAGAGATCTTGTTCTAAATGTACTTAATATTTTGGCTACAAAATAAAATGGGATTTCCTCTTTTAAAAGATTGCTATGCTGATTTACTGATCTTTCGCTTCAGAGTTGTACTCTTACATACTCTTTGCCCTGCTCTATCAACCTCCCATTTCACATCCAAAAATCCAATTCCTCATTTTTTTAAGAATTTTGGTTTTTTTTTTTTTTTAAATAGCATTGTTGCATTCATATCCCTTATGTTGCAAGGCTTTCTGGACCATTTACAATATGAAGCAGGTAATACTTTGTGGAAATTTACCTTTTGGCCCTTCAATTGCGAGGCATATTGTAGTAGTAAGAAGTACAATTTTGTCTCAGAGTGACAAGACATCTGAGCAACTAAATATGCATTTGAGTCTAGTCATAGACTGATTGAAATCAATGGGACTTGGCATACTCTATCCAAGTTCAAGCCTGAATCCAACCTATTGTTTTTTGATGATGCCCTGTAATGCCACCCTCAAAGCATTTCTTCTTTCAAATCAGACATCTTCCAAGAAGATGCTTGCCTTCTGCGATACTGAACGAATGTTGTTCATACATGCACGTTTTTAATTAGTCTTGATTAAATGGGGGCACCTTTTAATGTAAATCGAGTTTTTCACGCAGATTAAACGTTGCGCCCTATAACGGAAGAATGGGCATCTAGTTCAGACATCGCAACAACCTCGCACTTGGTGTTCGCGCTTCAGGTCCTCCCTTCCGGCAGGCGAGGCACGAACGAACGTAAACCTTGTGGTGTAGTGGTTAAGAGCATGGACTGGGACTCAGACGATCTGGGTTCTAGTCCCCACTCAGCCATGGAGCCAACTGGGTGACTCTGGGCCAGTCACAGACTCTCAGCCCAACCTACCTCACAGGGTTGTTGTTGTGGGGATAAGATGGAGGAGGAGGAGATGTAAGCTGCCTTGAGCCCTTTGTAGGAAAAAGGCAGGATATAAATAATAAATAAAAATAAAATAAAATAAACCTGCAATCCTATGCGTGCTTACGCGGGGGCGATTCCTTTTACCGGAGTAAACGCAGGATCGCTCTGCCAGCGGATAAGCGCAAAGGGCGTAGCGGTCGCTGCGCCGGCAAGAGGCGGAACCCACGCCGACCCGAGGCGGGACGGGCGAAGGGAACCGCGCACGGCTGGGCGCGAGCAGCCTCCGAGCAGGGAGGATCGAGCGCGACCTGCTCCGCATGCCCGCGGCTGCCGACCCCATTGGTCTCTGCCATCACATGCTGGGCGGGGCTGGCGAGGAAGCAGCTCCCTCCCAACGTTTTCCTCCGTTTCCTCCCATCCCTCCGGCGGCCAGAGAAGAGAGGGGAGCGGCTGGCATCTCGCACCATGGCCTGCCTCACGATTTATTCCACCTCGGTGACTGGCTCCAGGGAGGTAAGCGACACACGAGGCGCCGGCGGCTGCTCGCGCGCCCGCCCGCCCGACAGAGCGCTCCCCAGCTCCCCCTCTAAGCCAGCCTTCCCCAAGCTCGCTCCGTCCGGGAGGTTCGGGACTACAACTCCCAGCGTCTACTGGGGGGATGCTGAGAGTTGTAGTCCAACACCTCTGGGCTACGCTGCGCTAAGCCCTCGCCCGACTGGACGCCCTCCAGATGTGCTGAGCTGCAGCTCCCGCGGAAGCCCCGAACCATCGGCAGGAGCTCCAGGCTGGGGAAGGGCGTTGAAACGCCTGGCGTTCCGCTGTCCAGCCGTCTCTCTCCTTGGCCTCCCCGCCCAGCCCTCTGCCGCCGCCCTACACGGAGTTGGCTGCCTCGGCTGCGCTGTTCATCGCCACCCCCGTGGCGCTGCCTCCTGGCTCCAGATGGGCTCGTCCCCGCTTCCCTCCGGGCCCTCTTCCGTGGCCAGATGTGACGGTAGCCAACCTTTGTTTTTCCCTTTTCTCCTCTCTGGCTCCGAGACGTGAAAAATCGGAGGAGAATCTGAAGTGGGTGAGGGAACGAGAGCGAGGCCGGAGGCACGCAGTCCCGCTTTTCAGAGCATCCCCCCCCCCCCCCCGCCCCCTGGAGGGAATCCAGCTTCCCAGTTTTCCGTGTGAGGCAGAGACATCTTTCCCCGCTACATCAGCCTTTCCTACTTGGGGTTGGCAGGAGTTGTGGTCTAGCTGATCTGGAGGGGAAGGCTGCCATATGCCTGCCTCCTCCTGGATGTGGAGAATCCCACCGGTGAGAACACTGCACCACCCCAGCTGGGCTGCATGCGTAGGAACAAATCAGCAAGGTGTGGTTCTCTGGATATTCCTGCTTCGGTTTTGCAATGAGTGATCTCAGCAGCATGTGTTCATGTGCACACATACATAGCGAATTGTGGAACAGAGAGATTAATCTTTAACTATTTCCTGTTCCTCCTTAAACCACCTTCACCGCCTTTGTGTTTTCCACAGATCAAGTCCCAGCAGAGTGAAGTGACCAGGATCTTGGATGGAAAGCAGATCAAATATAACCTGGTGGATATCTCCCAGGATAATGCCCTCCGGGAAGAAATGAGGGCCAAATCAGGCAACCCAAAAGCCATCCCTCCCCAGATTTTCAATGGGGACCACTACTGTGGGGTGAGTGAGAGACCTATAGGGGAAATGTGTGCCCCTATTAAAAAGACTAAGAGCAAAAAAAAAAAAAAAAGGCTCAGCAGGCTGCAAGGCCTGAGCTGAGGCATGGCAGGGTGGTCAGCTGGGAGGGTGAGAAAAGCTCTGGGCTTTGCAGAACTGTAGGGCTGCTTGCATGAGCCTTTGAGTGCAGACCTTGGGCTTGGAATACAAAGACTTGGTGCAGACTGTGTGTTTATACATGCAAATAAAACAACTCTTGTCTGCATAGCCTGCCTGCCACAGAAGAGTGGGCACGCTGCTTGAGGCAGGGCTGAGCAGAAGGTACATGTGGCTCTCGTGATTGGTTCTCTGGCTGACTTGCAGCAGGGCTTTGGCTCTGCATTTCTGGCTCCCAGTACTTTATTAAAAGCAAGGAGTGAGCCAGTGTAGCAAAATGGTTTGAGTGTTGGACTGACTGAGACTTAGGAGATCCGGGTTTTAGTTCCAACTCGGCTATGAAGGCCAAGAGGTGACTTTGAGCTACCTGCGTACCCTACCTGTGCGAGTTGTTATAAGAATAGAATGGAGAGGAGAAGCTTGTAAGCTGCTTTGAGAAGAGGAAGAAAGGCAATAAGAGTAATATAAAAATTAAATTTCACATAAGCCTGCCCAAAAAATCCTCTTCACCTTCAGCCTAAAGTGTTGCTCATCTTGACAATTGGCATGCCACTAATTGTGGTTTGAGCAAATCTTTATTCATCTCTGCTGACCAGTTTAGGATGAAGACTCGGAACAGGAGTGAGCAACTTCAGGGCTCTGGAACTATTTCCTACGCTCATGGGGCACATTTTGGTGGCAACTTCCCCCTTCCAAAAAAACCCAAGCCTGGCAATGTTGAAAACAAACCGGCTTGGATATAGCTAATTCTCCGTCGTGGCTCACACAAACATTTGGTGGCAAACTGCTGATTTTTCGATGGACCCTTTTTTTGGCTGATGCTGCACCTGCAAAGGCTGGGGGAGGGGTACATGTGTATGTATGTTTACTTAAGCTGTGCAATCTGGATGCAGAAGTGGAGTCAGGACAAGCCAGTTGTCCTTACTGATCTGCTCCAAATCATCATAATCTATTGGTAGCTCCAGATCTTACCTTCTGCTCATTCTGTTCTAAAATAAGTTGGGTGAAGAGGCTCTGCTCTTTATGAGTGTAGTTTTTAAAGTGCTTGTTGTATTATGTCACTTTGAAGCTTCTTTTTGCAATGCATCAATTTAAGTAAATGATGCCTTAAGAATCCCTTTAAGAAAACTAACCGGGATGCTATCTTGCACAATTTGAATTAAATCTGGGCAGCCAATAGATAAGGGATTCCCACTTTTCTCCATACCCTTCAGTGAGCTACTGCTGCATGTAGCAAAATGTTCAAAATGTATGGGGATACAGTGGGTTAGCAGGTGCCAGAGAGGATGGTGGACTCAACTTAATTGCTCAGATGGTTTGCAGACAGCTGGGAAAATGTCAAAGATCCCAGCCATGCCTTCCTTTGAGCGCAGTGTGGGTGACTAAGGTGAGCCACTTCCAGGTAGAGAAGTAGATTTGCCAGTCAGAAGGCCATGGCAGTGGCCAGTCCAGGCTGTAAGACTACCTATGGCATTACAGAGTTTCTCTTTCTCTGCTCCTGAGCTCCAGAAGCCCTGAAAAAGTAGGAGGAACTTCTAGAATAGGGCTTAATGTGATGACACTTCAGTGACATTCCATAGTGACATGTCCCAAGTTAAAAGGCACTTCTCCGGGCCCTTGTGAAAACTTGGCTTCTAGACCCAGCTGGTGGGAAGCTGTTTGGTGAAAAGGAGCCTGTCACCCGAGGTCGGTGATGGCGAACCTTTTAGAGACCGAGTGCCCAAACTGCAACCCAGAATCCACTTATTTATCGCAAAGTGCCAACACTGCAATAGAACATGCAAACTGAGGTTTTAGTTTAGAAAAAACAACTCACAGCCAGTCCAAGCAAATACATACGTACGTACATACGTACATATATATCCTTGGCAGCGCACTGACCAGCCATGCGAAAGCTCTAATGAGTCGTAGCTTGTGATGTCATCGCCTGGCGCTGCTACTCCTTTCTGAGCATGCGCATGGCCCCTATGTGCGCTGTCATCCGATGCTCAGATGCTGGGGCGATGCTGGGGCGTCTTGGCTCACATGCCAACAGAGAGGGCTCTGCGTGCCCGCTGTGGCACGCGTGCTATAGCTTTGCCACCACTGCCCTAGGTTATCTGCTTAGAGAGTCTTGCTGGACGATTAAGTGGAATATAAATAAATAAAGTGTTATACATCAGGCTTCCCCTGCCTGGTGCCCTCCAGATGTTTTGGACAGCAGCTCCTGTCAGGCCCAGTCATCTTGGGCCATGGTCAAGAGTGATGGAAGTGGCAGCCCAAGACATGCACTGGGCACTGGATGGGGAAAGGCTGCTGCTCAGTAGTCAGATAAGCTCCAATCTCTGCCTGGAGATAGATTTTTATGTGGTACTTGGGCCAAGTCTGGAAGAAATTGTGTATTGAGTGACTGAGATTTCCATCTGATGCAAAAGACATAGAAAAACAACTCCTTGGGTGAGAACATCCAAGATTCTTGTTTTATCTTTGCTCAGCTCTTTCTGTCCACACACCCACGCTTGCTTTCTCAAGGTCACGGCATCTTTGCAATCCGTTCTAAACCAGGCCTAACTCTGCAGGCAGAGCATGCACCTTGACCAAGAGTCGTGTTGGGTTTCTTGCCCCAGGAGTGAGTTGTATCGAAAGAGGCCTCTAGCCTTTGGTTGTGTATTGCCTTGGTCTTGTTCCTACATTTGAGCTTTCTCTCCCTTCTCCTACCTGGCAGGACTACGAACTGTTTGTGGAAGCAGTGGAACAGAAAGCCCTGCTGGAATTCCTGAAGTTAGCTTGAGCGTGTTTCCTCCTCCTCGACCCCATTTCTTCCCTGCACCCCAAACCCTGCCACCCCTGGACTTTGAATTCTGCATTCCAAATGGATCGCCACCTAACTGCCTAAGTGCTTGTCATCCCTTCCCAGCCCTGTGCGACCAAACCTCTTTCCAGCTGCCTCCGTGTCTTGTTACTTGCGTCCCTCTCACTGTGCTCTTCAGAGACTTTGCACATTCCTTTGAATGCAGCTGGGCCTTGCTGATCGGGCCTCTGTGGATGGAGAACTCTTCCCAATGTCCTTGGCTGGAGGTGGAGCTGTCCCGTCTTTTCTTGAGCTAACCTGCCCTTGGAAAGAAAAGGGCGGGCTTTCTTACCACCAGCTGCCCTTCAGTTTGGCTTCTGCACTTCTTTCATTCCGTCCCAGGAAGCAAGAGCAGCAGATGTCTGCTTTAATGAGAATAGTTTTTCTTACAGCAATGCAAAAGCACTGCACAATATTGTTTGCCGAAATTCCCGTCTCTGTCAGAGAGGTGGGTGCACATGTATACCTTAAAACTACTTCAGTGCAGCTCAGGCCCTCTTAGAAAAGGGATTTCCAAGAGGATGGTGAGAGCAGATCTTGTATTCCATTAGTGCATTCCCACCCCAATATGGCAGTGGGAAAACTCCCCCTCCTTCCTCACGGCGGGGGAGCACACACATGATCTGAAATCTATTCTTGCAGGCTGTTCCAGGCTTTCCTTTTTGGAACCAGCTTTTTGCAATATGGACCAAGTGCATTTTCATTTTTTTCCTTGCTGAAAGCAGTTTGTAAATGGCCATGTCTTCTGAGATGCTATTAAATTTGCTAAAAACCTCATCCATGACTCCCTGTGTTTCACTGCTGTTCTTAACCATTGGGAAATTTACTTCCAAGCTGTCTTAGTAGCTGGGTGGATGGTGTTCATGGTCAGACCACAGCACAAGAACGACTCTTTGCCCAAGTGTTGGGGAGGCACCATCAGGTAGATGGGAAGGGTTTGGTGCAGTTGCCTCAAACATCCAAGGAAACCTAAAATAGGATTTGCATCTGGCAGGAAGGACACAGGACCTTTTCAACCATATTAGACAGAGGAAGTGGGTTATTTTAAAGCATGGGCTGTGAAGATGGGACCACCGAACCAGTATTTGCAAGGGCTGGAAAATTCTGGGAGTTGCAGGAGGGCACCAGGTTGGGGAAGGTTGCTTTACACAGGCGTACTTGTCACTAAGAAAGTGTCAGGTGTAAACCGGTGAGTGCTTAGTAACAAAAAGGATCTGCAAGTTGCATCATGCCACAGCCAGAAGCAGCATCCTGGGAGTTGTAGGAGTTTTTTCTGTCTAAACATAGACGGTATTGCACTCCCCCTCTTGCAAGAATGATTGATTCCTGGAAGGGCTTACCTGTGGGTGAAAAAATACTGCCCAAAAGATAAGAAGTTGCTCATGATCAGCAAGAAATGACCCTAACCTGCCATGTCCTTTTGCTTTAAAAAGCTACGGGTGAGGCTCCCTTTACCTCCCAAACGGGAAGGTTGTAAATTGGTATGGAATATAATCTGGCATTGCTAGACGTGTACAAATGAGAAATTGCAGCAAAATGTTGCAGCACGGAGTAATCCTGTTCAAGGCCCTCTTCAGCCAGCCACACTCTCTCTCAGGACACTCCGTTCCATCCTCACTGGGCAGTTATGGGGTTTTTTTGGCCTTGGCCTTGTTTGCTACCACCCATTACTGCTTGCACTTTTGTAAACATTGGGTCCCCCCGCAGCTGGCTTAGACTTCCCTTATTCGTGGACTGTGCCAGTTTGACAATATAGGAATAGACATGCAGAGGACTGAGTTTGCTCTTGCAGTGTACGATGTGACAAAATATTTAATGGGAAAATGGCGACATGTTTGAGCTCCAGAAATGACCATTGGTGACTCATTTTTATTCTGGAGACATTGTCTGAAATTTCCCCAAACTTTTGAGATGGAAGAAAGAAAGCAAACCTCGCACCAGCCTTGGAAAATGGCAAGAAGCCACACTGCTTAACATGACTGGAAAGAGCTTCCAGCAGGTAAGACCCTCGGAAGAGCCCTTTGGATCGGACCAAGGGGCTCACCCATGCTCCCCAGTAAATGCTGCATGTCTAGGCATACAGCCTCTGATGCTGAAGGCAGCATTCAGCCATTGGGATTACTAACTTGGGAACACTTTGTCCTCCATGAATTTGGGAACGCTTTGTCCTCCAGTTCCCATTTAAGGCTGTCCAAATAGGTGGCCATCACTATTACCTTGTGGAAGGGAAATCCACAGTTTTAACTGCACAGGGTGATGAAGTCCTTCCCTTTTGTTTATCCTGAGTCCCTTTTATCTATCCTGAATCTTCCACCAATCAGTTCCATGGGATGACCTGTTTGGGTTTTAGTATTATGATGGAGAGGGAAAAATGTCTCCATACCCACAATGCATATAACTGCACACCTTTAGCATGTCTCACCTTTTTCAAAGCTAAGGAAGGGCAGCTGTTGTGCCTTTTCCTCGCAGGGGACATGCCCCAGCTCCTTGACCAATGTAGTTTCCCTTTCCCGACACTCCAATAGCCTCTTTAGGTGTGGTGACCCAGCCTCACTCCTAATTTGGAATGAGGGAGAGTTGCAGGGAAGAGTTGCAGTTGCACACGGCCGGATGTGCTGGTACGTGCTTAGCAGAATGTTTGGCCCTGCTGGCATTTCTTTTGCAGTGATACGCAAGTCCGCCAGACTGCAGGCATCTTCTGCTTGTGGTGTGCAACAGTGACAAGCAAGGATATGAGGCAACCGCAGACTAGTCACGCTAACAATAGGTTTTTAAGTTCTGAAGAGCATTTGGCAAAGCCTTCACAGAACAGCCCCCCCCCCCCTTTACGATTTCAGGAGGCACAAGGGCCAGGAGAGAAGAGTGATCAGCAAATGCTTGAATTCTCCCTCGGTGTCCAGAGCTACCTGCATGGACAAAAGCACGCAGGGAATGGGGCAGGCAGTACAGTGCTACGCACTGCTTTGGCTGCAGTTCTTGGCAGAATTGTGTAATAAGCAGCAGCCCCTTTCCCTGCTCAGCTGGAGCTCTACATGGAAGAGGGCTTCTGACAAAGAGAGCGTGCAAAGGCAGTTCCGCCCCACTCTGCATTCTGATACAACCCTGTGAGGACTGAGCACAGAGGGAGCAAGGCAGGACCTGTTGAAAAGTACACCTTGGATACTGAGGAAGTTCTGCCTGCCCCTTTTTCGGACCACTACAAGGATGAAGGGAAAACCATCAACTCAAGGCAAGCCTTGAGCCAAGAGAGTGACAACAGCAAAGGGGAACTAACTTATACCAGGGAATCTCCTCCAAGGGACTGGGACAGGTTGGCACAAAGCTCGCCAGAAGAAGAGCCCAGGTAAAGGTCCCTGCTGCTGCTCACTTCTGAACAACCAGGGTAGCTCTAAGTGGATGAGAGCCATGCTAGGCCATCAACTTGGAACAGGAGGTTCTGGCATCTCATCCGCGGAGCAGTGAGAGGCCTCCTTTCAAGCAGTGGGGGGCGGTCCGAAGGGGATGGGTTGACTGCAGCTGGGCTCCTTCTTAGCCACCTGCTAAGGACCTGCAGAATGGCTCCTTGCAGCCTCTGCACTCCCAGTCAGAGCAGCTGGATGGCTGGGTGCTCAAGTCCTCTCCTTGGGGAAAGGCAACCATTTTCAGTTAGCTTTCGCGTGGATTAATGGGCCTGTATCATGATGACAGCGGCTACTTGGTACAGCTCACCCTTGCAAGCTACCAAAACGGGCGAAGATCATGTACCAACGCACAGCCTGGCAGCTGTGCATCGAACCAGTTCCAGGTTGGTGCTGCACTTCGCGTAAGCTCAATCATGGCAGAACCGCAGCGGTCGCGCGGGGGCACCTTCCTTGCAGCAATGCGCTACTGCTCCTGGGAAGAGTCTGTGAGGGCCAGCATCTCCTTCGGCTCCATGGAAATTCGCTGGCTGTGGCCAGCCACACCCCAGGCTAAACTGTCCCCTCCTCGGGTTAGCTTGCAAGCGAGGGTTGGGGGAAATCTGTGCTCAGGCTCTTGGATGCATGCACGTAATTTCCTCTGCCTTGTTTACCTGTGGAGGTGAAAAGAGCCATGAAGGCAGGCTGCAGCCCCTGCGGGCACGAGGGCATGTTTTAACCGACTTGTGTTGGCCCTGATCTCGTTCTATCAGACCACGGAGTGCGCCCTTTCTCTTACTGGCAGCAGAGACTGTTCTGCGGAAGAAGACAGCACACTGCTCCCATCTGTGTGGCAGCCGAGCCTGATGAAACATTCACTGTGAGCCAATACAGTCGGTGCCCTGTGATTTTGCCAAAGGGCCCTTTTTCCGCAGCAGAAGGGAGGCATTGGGGACCAGCCCACATTCCTCCAGGGTCATAGAGTCATCATTATACACCCGGATGGGGAAAGTGCTGAGGATCTCATACGGTTCCACCTCTCTTCCCCTGGAAAAGAGCAGAAAAGTGCTTGCAAGTGAGCTGGCAGGAACATTCACTGATATCTGAAATGTAGGAAGTAATTTGGTTAAAGCTGAATTTATGCTTTCTGCGTATATTTGACTTGGAAATCCAAGTGCTTTAGACGTACTGACAGCTCTTCATTGCATCAAGTACAAAATGATGTGAAGCTGTCAGATGCTATCCCCCCACACACACATTCCAGGAAAAATATCAAACAATAAAATACAGTATCATTACCTATCAAATATTTGGTGAGTAGGTGTCAAATACTTCAGCTTCAAAGGCGATTTAAGATCAACATTTGCAGAAGGTTTTAGTAAGCAAATCCATTTCAACATTATTGTAAGCCATAAGAGTGCATTACAGAAAAAACCCAACTCTGTTGCAAACAGGAAGTGTCAGTCTGAGGGCTGAATTCAATTTTAAATAATCTCTTGGTGTCTGCACTCTTGGTGGGCAGAGCCAAAGGCAGAAGGGGGTAAGGCCAGAATACCTGCATATTCTAGATTAAAGCCTTTACTGCCAGTAGCAACCTCAGGAGAGACATTCCCGACTTTAAAATGGGGACAAAGCTGCATTAAAGCTGGGAAACCTCATGACTGGGGGCAAGGAGGCAAAGCCAGGGATGGGGGCATGAGGACGCTGGTGAGCCTATGGCTCGCCCCGCCCCTGCTTTATCAACCTGATGGTTGTCCTGTGTGGAGCAGGCCCATTGAAAGGAATGGGACCAGTGTGAAGGAGGCATAATCCTCTTCAGTGGCCGGGGTCTCCTTGCCAGAGACAGCCATGGTCTGATTGAGGGTTCTGGGCAGCTTGCTGCCTTGTGCGAGAAGCCGCTCTGGTTGGGTGCACAGAATCCCGTGCAGCCGAGGAGCGTGATGTGCCCTAGCCGGTGCCGAATGCGAGGGAGTGCGCCATCACGGCTTGTTTCCCCTCTGTGACCGTGCAGCCTGGCCCATTCTCTGCACCAAATTCAACTAATTGGCTGTGGAGACCATGAAGGAAGTTGGACCCGAGGGGATGGCAGATGTGGGGCAGGAAGAACCACTGTGGAGAGAGCTCCTGAAGAGGAGCCAGGATCCTGGTGTGCGATGGAGTCACTCCCTCCGACCTCGGGCTATTAAGCACTACCTGGCCCACCTGGTAGGCCAAAGGACCCTGGTTCACAGACCACATTGCTTCGCACAGCACCCCCCCCCCGCCCCGCCCATGGTACAGTTTGAATACAGAGGGGAACTTTGCAAATCCATTCATTTCCTTATCAATGGGTTTCAGAGCAAGTCATTTGAGTTGCAAATTTTGAGTGGACACCCCCTGTGCCCAAGGATATGCCAGGGCCACTTGTTCCTCCAAAACTGCTAGAACGATGGCTCTTACCTGCTCTGAGCAAGGTGCTGACGCAGGTCTCCAACAGTTTCTGAAAACAGCATTTTGATGATGTATGTCTTCTCCCCGTTCTCTGACTTTATCCGCAGAGTCGCAACACTGGGCTCAGAAGGGTCCTTTTTCTTCTCCTGCCCCAACCTGACAGTCAAGAGAAAGTGATGAGCAGAGTCAGTGACCAAACCGGCAAGTCTGATGAGCCCGTCTGAAAACAGGTTTGGTTGGGTGCTGGACGGGCCCCTCACTGTATGCATCTTTTTCATACAAAGGAAAATCCAGAGGTGGGTCTTACAAGACCAGGGCAGAACTACAGGCTTGGGAGCCAGATCCAGCCTATGAGCGGCTCCAGGCTCGGTGCTCCGGGCCCAAGCGCTTTCCCCATCCCTTTGGCAGTTTCCTGGCCCCTGCCTAAGGCTGGAATGTAAAGCATCACTGCGTGGTCTGCTTAAAGAACTCCAGTGAAGGAGAGCCTGCCCCTTAAAGCAATCTATTCTACTTGTGGACAGCTCTTGCCATTCCCTAAAGCTAAAATCCGCTTCCTTGCAATCTTCTAGCTGGCACAACTGAGACGGGCCTTTCTGATAACTGATGACACCCTTCGTTCTTCCCCTTGGTCTTCACTGGCAACACGCTGGGTATGTTCTGGGTCACATGCTGTTCACTCAAGGCAAGCATGAAGCTTAGCCAGCAATGGCATGTGTTCCCTGCTAGAACGCTCCCCAGAAACGTTGGCAAGGGCACAGTGGTTCCATGGCAGAAACACGTGGCTCCTGGCAGTCAAATCAATGTGAAGAAAGTTCCCTGGCCATGCAGAGAGGAAGGCCTCCAAAGGCTCACCATAGAGAGGGAGGAAGCGGGGGGGGGGGAGAGGGAGGCCTTCTTGCCCCACCCATCCGGAGAGGGAAATCTCTCAGGCATTTCCTGGCTGCAGACAGGAGGCACTGTAAGTTTGGGGAAGGGGAGCAGGGGTGAGAGATTTTCACAGGACTGCCTGCAAGTGCCTACTCTGGCTGGCAGCAGCTCTCGTAGTTTTCACGCAGAAGGCCCTTCTTCCCCACTTCCTTCACAGTTGTCTTTAATCGGAGGGGTGGGGGACTGAACCTGGGGGCTTCTTGCATGCAAAGTAGGAGCTGCGCCACTGCAGCTGGAGGCTCGGGCTGAAAGGTGCTGCCGAGTCTGTTCTACTTCCCATCGGGGCATCTCCACAGGTGAACGAGAGACCCAAAGCCCAAACGTCTCTGGGCAGCTCTTGCAGGGAGGGCGCCCAGCGATTTCAGAGGAGCGCCAAGCGGGTCGCCACAGCGCGTGCAGGCCCGCTTGCCGAGGCCTCTTCGATGCGAAGATGCGGGGCGGCGGGGAACGGCGGCTGTGCTGTACCTGTTTCTCATCGCCACAAGGCTGGGCGTCTCCACCAGGACCACTTCATGGCTTGGTGCTCCACTGGAGCCCTGAAATCAAAGAGGAAGCACTCTGTCCAACCTCTGACTGTCCCGAGAAGCAGCTGTGGGCACTGGGCCATTTTGTTCCTCCTGTCACAGCCCCCAGTGTAGTGAAGAAGCAAAACTATTTACAAGTCTCATTTAGAGCAGGTTCTTTAGTATTACTTACAATTCCCAGACTCAGCCCCTAGGCCAGGGTGAGGAACCTGCAGCTTGCCAGATGTTGCTGGACCACAACTTCCTCATTCTTGACCGCTGGCCATGCTGCCAGGAACATAAGAGCTGAACATCTGGAGGGCTGCAGCCTCCCCAGCTGTGACTTAGAGCGTCAAAACTTAACAGGGATTTTTGAAGAAATTGGGCTCCTTTCGGTGGACATTCGGTGCCCTGCCATCCCATCGATTTATGTTAAACCACAGATGCCTGGACTGTGGTGCATCAGCTGTCACCAAGAGGTGACTCGGGGGCAGGGTCTTTGTCCCCACCTCGGCCATGAAGCACTATAAGCCACACAAAGGCAGGGCCTGGTTTATTCTGCTCCCCTGCCTGAATTCTCTGCTACTTGTGAAGCTCTGAAAGGAAGTCTCACCTGCTGCAGCCTCCACAGCACACAAAGCGAACGTGGCCTCTAAACCTTTAGTCTAAAACCAAAGTGCTTGCAACTGCTTTGCACATATTCATCCTCCAACACCATCCATATCTGTGCCTCTCACATCGGCAAATGCCTAAAGCCGGCTTCTTGTGAGCCAGTCTGTGGCTCACCCCAGCCCAGCACTGTGTCATGGGGCAGGCAGTGAACCCCAAGGTCTTCCTCTCTTCTCTGGAAATGCCAAGGATTCCCAACTCGCTAAGCAGGGGCTCTGCCACTAATCCTTGACGCCACCCCTCGTCTTCCTCTGTTGCAACCTCTCCTGCCACAATTAAAATGGCAAGCCCTTACGAGACCTGTCTGTGTCCCTCCCACCTTATTTTCAAAGTGCTGTGCATGTTGATAGCACAATATTACTGCTAACACTAATCATACGCCCAGTGGGGAGAGTGGGTGGGTGGTCCTCCTAGGTCGCTGCTACTCAAGGACAGTGGTGGGCTTTCCAGCCTTTGGTTACCATGTCAACAGTGATTCCCAAAATGAAGGTCTGCGGTGGTTAAAGATTTGCACATTACTCTTTGGACTACTGTAGGGCTTTAAGCCAGGTTTGGAAAGCAGGAAAGCAGACAGACAGACACATCCCACCAGGACAGGAATTCTGCATATTCTGCCTTGGTGGGTTTGGTTTTTGTTTTTGAATTTTTTGGCACAAGCTGGTAGAGAAAGGTTCTAGTGCATGGACTAGATACCGCTACTGTAAAGAACTGCTTATTAGCAGGGCTGCTGAAGTAACATAGGATCAAGCCCCATTCATCCAGGATTAAGGAGGGGATTCTGAACTACCTGCAGGGTTTGTTTGACTTCTTCCCGGACGTCAATCACGTGCCCATCTCGGATCAGTGACGGTGGAAGCTTGCTCAGAAACTGCTCTGCGGTGAGCTTGGGACCTGTGGTGAGGGAGGGAAGATTTCTGGAGCCGATGCTTTGCAGAGCCCATGGAGGAAGAAGTGCCATTGGCTGTTGGGGCTTTTGCACCAGTATCTTGCTGACCTGTGACTGCCATCGGGACAGCAAGACCTCCCTGGCCTCCACCACTGGCCAGAGGCCCACAGACTCCCCGCCTCCCGCACAGGCCCACAGGCTGCGATGGGAAAGAGAACTTGCACTTCTGCAGGGTGGGGTCTTGGCCATCTGTGGGGACATGCAGCTCCTGAGTTGCCCATCTGTGGCCTAATCGCCAAGCTCCGAGGAACGTAACACCTTTTCTGTTTGAAATCTACTATTGATCACACATGCTTAGGTTTACCTTTGATAGCTCTCTGCAGAAAAGTGTTACATTTTCACAGAAATCCCGTATAGTAAAATTGTGTACACACAATGAGCAACCCCAACACACGTCAGGATCTGGGCAGCTCCAGGGCTCCATCTGCTGGTCAAGCACCAGAACAGCTGCCCTGCTAGTTGCTGGATTCTTATTTATTTATTCTATTTATATCCGCCTTTCTCCCTTCCCATCAGGGCCTTGATGAGCACCAACGGAGAGCCCTGGGGAGGAGCTACAGAAGAGCAGGAGCTGCCTCAGCAACACAGGGCTCCTGAGCGGTGCAGCCTGTTTCTGTGCTTTTCTTGCGGAAACGTTACCTGATTCCTTGTCCTGCCCTGCCTTGCCGCATCCTGTCTGCCTTCCTTGCCTGCCGGCCACACGTTATTACTCTTGAACAATTCTATCCATGCAGCATGGTCTAGGCTGGCTGGGGGTGATGGCGTTTATTTATTATACTCATACCCTGCCCGTTTTTTCCTTTCAAAGAAATCAAGGCAACTTAATTCTCTTCCTCCTCCTCTCACTCTTATCCCCACAACAACCCTGTGAGGTAGGTTGGGCTAAGCGCCTGTGACTAGCTCAAAATCACCCATTGAGCTCCATGGCTGAACGGGGACTAGAACTCAGATCTCCTGAGTCCCAGTCCTGCGCTCTTAACCACTGCACCACCTTATACTGGCACTGTGGTCCATCACAACCAGAGGGCGCCAGTTGCAGAAGGCAGAGGTGAGGAAGTGCAAGGAACAGCTCCAAAAAATCATCCACCATCTCACCTGGGATCACATTTGTCTCCTTGCCTCCGCTTGGCTCGGAATGGCCAATGATATGCCCCTTGCCGGAAAAAACTGCTGGCAGTTGCCTTTCTTGGAAGAGGACGTCTCTCTTGTCAGTGACCTGTTGAACAAATCCACGTCGCTAGTCAGTGCCCTGCCTGATCCTGGACTCCAGAGGTCAGTATTACGCTAGACAACGGTTACAGTATGTGAGTTCGCAAAAGCAGTACGTGGAGCATGAAAAACAAGTCCTCGCTTCTTTCTGTGGAAGCCTCAGAGCACATTACTCTCAGAGATGGCTGGGTAGGGCATGCAAGTTTATAATGCCTCCGTCGTATGGGGAATCTTTTTTTTTTGGGGGGGGATACAATGGCAGATGGACCCTTGTGCCCCAGAAGGTTGGAACTACAAGGGTATGTTCCTAGCAGCAGCAACTTTCTCATCAGCAGCGGCTTCATTCCCTCTCCCACAGAGCTGGGGAATGATTTGCCACTGAAAAGAGCACCGTTGCCCTTTCCACATCTGTAAGTGAAGCTTGCTTTTGTCTAGGGAAGATTCATACAGTTTTAGCCTGCCAGGTGTCTGTATGAGAAGGTGTTTCACAGAAGCAGTCTCTGGGCCTGTTCGGATATTTCAGCCTAGACGTAGATGCTAACCCAAATAGCTGTTATAAATAGCATTATAAATGTCGAGAGCCTGTGTCCACAGAGTGATCAACCACTGGCTCCTAAAGGGTTTGAGCCACTTTTAGGGTGGTTGAGCTCCTGCTCGTTGGTGTGCTGATCAATAAAAGCCTGGACTTAAAATCAGTGGGCAACAAAGACATGATGCCGATAAAGTAGGATCTGGCCCACAAAAGCTGCCATCACGATAAGCCCATTGATCTTTGCGGTGCCACAGGACTCTCTTGTTTCCATGGCCGAGAATGAAATGCGACTAGCCAAACTGGTGAATCTCTGAAAATAATTGAAGGTAGGTAAGCGAGCAAGCTTGAGCTTTCCTACAGCACCACACGCTGCTGTGTGACTGACCTTGCTGTTTCACGCTTGTTGCAGAAGCTGCCACAAGGTGCATGCGTGCACAGAGGCGGCCACTTGGAAGACCCATGCGCATCTGCCTGGGGACCCACCACCTGCCAGGGCCTGCATATGCTCTCCGCAGATGCAATGGCAGCACATTTCCAGGCTGCCCCACTTCGCTTGAAACGATCCTTGCCCACTGGACAGGGCAGGGTGGTGGAGGGAGCGATGTGCCTGGCGTGCGTAGGAAAAGCAAGCATGCTGGGGAAATGTTTCTGTTTAACCTTTCCACTTGGCACAGTCTTTTCTCCAGAGCAAGAAGAGTTATTCCGTAGCACACAAACCGCCTCCCTGTCCCACCGTACCGTTTGGAGTGTCCCTTTAGGATGGCTGTGTAAACTGGCTCTCAGATCACAGAAGGGGAGAGCAATTTAGACTGCCAGAAAGCTCTTGGAATCCACTGAGACCTCAGGATAGCGAGATCAGAATCTCGAAACTCATACGCCCCTGAAGACATAACCTTCCTTCCTGTGTCTAAGCCCTGCCACACACGTGCTCCGTTTGCGCCTTCTTCTGCGAGGCCGCCAAGGTTGTGGTGCCCACGCAACCTCAGCTAAGGGAGCAGGTGCCTCCCCGCAGCTGCCTCACAGCCTTGCTTCTTCAAAGGCTGGTTTTAGAAATTCCAGATACTTATTCGTTGCTCATTTCTCATTACATTGCATTTAGAACATTTTCCATACAACGGTGAATAATGATGATAAAGAAAAAGAATTCCCCACCAGGCCTTAAAAAGCAATTGCACTATCTTTATATGATGTCACCCAAGAAGGATGATGTGTGTGATATCAAAATGGATCAGCATTTATGCCCTATCTGAATAATCTCTTCAAGAAAGTTAAAATTCAGCTCCACTTACTAGTAAAAGGCTTCTAAATGTTTTTCTTTTCTCAAAATCATATTAAATGATTGGGTTTTATCATCACTTTAATCTTTCCAAAGGCAAGTACACTGTACGTGTGTGCACCCGTGTCCAGTTCCATGTTTACAGGGACGAAGGGAGTTCTAGGCATACCCCAAGGTTGTCCACATCTCCAACACACGTCACTCTGTATAGGATTTTCATTTAGTGACCTTTTTAGAGGGTTTTCTCTTAAATACTGCTGTTGAATATTTTGTTCCAAATTTTGAAAAACTAGACCTTCCCACATATCAATGATGCAACTATTATTCAAATTTTTTCTCTGGTTTGATTTTCAACTAAAGTTTCAGAGTCTCCCAACAGGATATTTTATTAAAGCAAATATGAGAAGGATCGATTCCATGAAATAAGCCACAGCCTTGAGTTTACAAGAGCTGAGCAAGGCTGTCAAGGCCAGAATATTGTGACAGGTTCACTGTATGTCAGACACAACGTCATGGCACGTAACAGCAACAATCCAACCCATTGCTTCTTGCTCCCTGTAGCAATATCCTCAATTTGCATCTCCAATACATGGCCCATTGTTGCCGAGAAGTAACGGCTTCAGCCTGCATTCTGCCAGGCTGTCTGTAATAAAGGCAGGCTTATGAAGACAGACCTGAGCATGAAGAGTCACAGTGGCCTGTATTTCCCATCACAGAAACAACCTGCACATCTCCTTTCAAGTATCCTCCATGCACACAGGCTAGAGTTCCTGCCTGACGGTTCTCTCTGCTAGGAATATATTGGAAATATTCCCAGTTCTCACCTTAATATTCATCTTTCTGGATTGTTGAAAGGTGTCAAATTGCCCATCTCTTTCTGTGTTTATGTTGGACCATGTTGTGCATGAAATGTAGCAGATTGTCTTTTTAGAAAATAATTACTTTACATCATGTCTTCTTCCAAAAAGAGGTATTTTCTTTTCTCCCCCTTGCAGAAGGAATGCTTCTTCTCAGATGATGCCTTTTATGCATTATGCATTTCATTGAAAAATTTCATTGAAAATTATACTTCTTGCTTTTATTTAGGGAAATTATACTTCTTGCTTTTATGTCTTGCTTTTACCTTTTTACAGAGTATTCTCGTATCTTTCGTCTTTTTATTTCTGGATGTTTTTATTTTCCTTTTACTTAATGATACTATTCCAACATATTCCAAATAAGTAAAATTTATATTAAGTAAATCTGCAATATCTGCATTTTTCCGGTGTGTATGTTTTTCCTTTCTTGGGCTTCACAGTGAAATATGAAGTAATTTTCAAGGCCAAAATATTATTGTAACCCCAATCACAATGTATGGGCATGAAAGGTGGACAGCGAAGAAAGCAGATATTTTCAAAAGATGGTGCTGGAGGTGAGCTTTGTGATTACTTTGTACTGTCAGAAAGACAAAAAAGTCCTAGATTAACTCAAGCCAGAACTTTCCCTAGATGCAAAAATGACAAAACTGAAGCTGTCATACTTTGGACACATCATGAGAAGGTGAGACTCGCTGGAGAAGACAATCATGCTAGAGAAAGTCAAAGGCTGGAGAAGGAAAGGAAGACCAAATACAAGATGGATTGACTCCATAAAGGACAGCACTACCTTGCATTTACAAAGCTGAGCAAGGTGATGGTAGGCAGGACATTCTGGAGGGTTATCCAAACTTTGAGACAATTTGACAGCACATAACAACAATGCAATCACAAAGCTTATCCATGCAGCCACAGCGATTCATTGCATAAAAATATTTCTGCCTGTCATTGTTAAGAGTAATCAAATAGATTCACTTAAAGCGGAAGCAGGAGAATAGTCTCAGTTCTTCGAGAAAGAAAATTTTCTAGTCTCTTAAGCAATTGGTTTTCAAAAGCAGAAATCAGTCATAACTGCTTAAGCAGAAAGCTTCTCTCAGTTCTTTAAAACAAGTTCACATGCTTGGGTTGAACACCAACACAGTGACTTAAACAGAAAGTTGTCCCACCCTCTGACCACATTTCTGTGATAAATAGATAGAACTTCTGCAAATCAAGTACTCAATTAACACTCAGGAAACTGACCTGAAATGGGACCCCATCAGGGAAGTATCTCTGTAGCTCAGAAGGAAAATAGCCATCCATGAGGTCACGCAGGCATTGCTGAAACCAGAAGCAGGACCTGGATCTCAGATTTTCTTCTGCAATAACTGAACACCCTTAATGCATCTTCATTCAAACCCAGGCCTTTCTGATGGGTTCTTTTTATTTATTTAAACGTATTCTCTTACCAAGGCTCAGAGCTCAAATTGAATTTTTTTAACAATCTACTTAAAAAATTAACATTTGCTACTTGTAATCAGTCTGATCAGATGTTGGATTATCTGGGATATGTTACTGCTTGTATGTTTTTATAACTTTAAAATCAGTAAAAACATACTTTAACAAGCAACACATCCAGTTTCACCACTTTGAAACCACATGCAAATGTTAAGACCAAGATTCTAAGGTGAATGTGTAGTTCAAATGGTTTGAGGGACAGTGTTATTTTCTAAGACAGAAGGGGCCACAATTTTGGATAGCAATCCTGCAGGTCCAGTTCTGGCAAAGATCAGATTACAGTGGGGTCTAGAGCAAGAAATTTGGGCACTTAAAAGAGCAGGTAGCAAGAGCAGAAGGCAGACAAGTGGATGCTGAGCAACATAGAAACAGAGTGAGTCAGAAGGGGCCTCCCAGGCCATCTAGTCTGACCCCTGGCTCCACTCATGCCATGCAGGGCTAGACAATAGGAAGGTCAGGTCCTACTGACACATCTCTCAACAGATGGGCAAAAGTGTGTGGCTTCCAAGCGTTTAACAGTACCCACAACTAAGAGCCTCTGACTGGCTTCACACAACATGACAAGCAGCCATGCTGGTTGTTTGCCAGTTGCTGGTTGTTTGCCATTTGCTTGGACTCAATAGCGTTTAGCAACCCAGTTGCAGCTGGCAACCATGGAAAGAACCAATGGTTTGTTGCAGGTTTGCTTGATTCACAGCAGATCAGCATGTCATCCGAACCTGAATGACAGAACCCATTGTTGTGGAACCCCGGCCCCACAACAAGAGAGCCACTTGTTGGCTTGTGACATGCAAACCCTGCCATAGCCTAGCTGCACTCTCTGCTCAGGACTGATTCCTTGCCTCTTTCACTTACTGGCAAACACTTGCATGCAGCTCTTCCCGACTGGTTCCTCTATTTGGCCCCGAGCTCAGTTTTCAGTTTTGGCTCTGACCAAAGAGGTCGAATGCAGCTCCCTGGACTGCTGCCCAGGGAGCCGTCTGGTCTCAGCCTCACCCTCTTAGCAGGTTTCTTACAATACACCAAGATTTCCTTTAGAGATGCAAATGGCATCCATCTCCTTCTGGGCAGAATGGGTTGTTTTGAGGTTGCCACCATCTCCACGAAAGGCCTCCCTCATACCCCTTAGCAGTTACTGTGAGACCCCAGCCAGCCGGAAACTGATGCATACCTGTGTGGAAGGTTCTTCATAGGACCGGAAGGGTCCGTTGAACATGACAATTCCATTCCGATAGAAAGTGAGGGGGACTGAGTCCATTTGCCTCAGACGAGCACCCCCTGAGGTGTGTTCGATTTTGGACATGCCCTCCCCAGCCAGTGCATTTAGATCTTTCAGATTTTCGAAAATTAGATCAAAATTGATTGAAGGTTCTGAAATGATGGCATCACCTACAACAGAGAAAGGAAACATTACTAAGGGCAAGACAATGCCAGGCAACTCTTAACTCCTGTAATTTTTATTCCTAACTCTTCTCCAGTATCAAAAGAGTGCTGGAAGAGCAGTCCCACCATTGTCAGGACTCTGCCCTGCCCAGACCTCGATCCTAGAGTATCTTTGGAGGATGATCAGGAATTCCCAGCAAGCTCCCGCATCCCCAACAATTCTGAAGAAACTTCAGGCCCAGATTTTTTTTTCCCGATTTATAACCTGCCTTTTTCCTACAAAGGGCTCAAGGCAGCTTACATCATTCTCCTCCTCCATCTTATCCCCACAACAACAACCCTGTGAGGTAGGTTGGGCTGAGAGTCTGTGACTGGCCCAAAGTCACCCAGTTGGCTCCATGGCCGAGCGGGGACTCGAACCCGGATTGTCTGAGTCCCAGTCCCATGCTCTTAACCACTACACCACACCAAATGACAGCCAAGACAAGAAGTTTCCCCAGTCAATTGTCTGAGCTCTTGGACTCCCCTGTCCCCGTTACAAACAAGACTCCAAGAACAGAGGAGACCACCTGCCAAGCACAGCTTTAGGGCCACTGTTTGCATCCAGCTAACTACACAGCAGTCTGCTTGGGAGGAGTGCTTATGCAAGCACCTGCCCAGATGAGGCCCTGGCCAAGCACCAGGAAGGGGTGGGATCTCCAGCATCCTCCGCTGAACTGGGCTTCCTTCCATTCGTACCAAGTAGCTTCCAATACAACTGAAGCAGCTTTATTAAAGCCAATTACAATGTTCAATGGATCATAACTGAAAGAGTACAGTAGTTAATATTCAGGAGACCAAGACAAGCATATCAATAAATTCAAAAAGCCCTTCCAAAATATGAAGGTTTGCAGAGGGTGCTTGAAAGCAAGAAAAGAGATGGTTTGAAGACTCTTGCTGGGAAAAAATCCACAGTCACGGGTCCACCACTGATCATGCCTTGTCTTTAAAAGCCTGAAGAAAAAGTCAGTTTGATAGCAGCAGTCAATTATAAACTGTTTTTCTGAAACCACTTCAGAGCCTGAATATTTGTATTATATGCTACAAGATCCTTTTCTACAATTCTTTGCATGGTTATTTAAGGAATACCAAGGGGTAGGATTTGTTGTGTATACAATACAATGCCATCAGTGTACATTATATTGTATGGTGTTGTACAAACAAAAAACAAGCCTTTGTCCCAAGGAGCTTACAGTGTAAATATCAATAGTCATCAAACCAAGAGGGGGAGAGGAGGGAGAGAACAAAGTAAAATATACTGCGTGCTCTTAATATATTGAAAATGGACATTTGTTTGTCCTAACCAACCCGGCTTCCAGAGAGTCTGTGATGGAGCATTCTCCTCTTGCTTTGGTGCTTCCACCTCTTCTAGGGAATATGTCCCTTTTCCAACCCAGATCAATCCATAGTCATTCAGAAATTCCTGCAGGGATGGGGGTAGAATGAGAATAACTTAGAAGGTGATAGGAAAGGGAACATGGTGAACAACCAACTCATGATATACTTAGCATTCTGATACAAAATAGGAAAGCAATTCTCCCAAAAGGAGATTTTGTTTCAGGGCTCCTATCCTAACAAATCAGTAGGTTTTTAAACAGGGATGGCGCAAGAAGTCACCTAAGCCTGATTTGGCTTTGATCCCAAGGGGGTGACAAACCCAAGTCCAGATGAAACGCGAGTCTTCTGATCCCTGAACTTCAGCATTCCAATCTGTGGGAGGAGAAGTCCTCTTTGCCCACCATGTCCAAACAACCCTCTTTCTTCCCTGTTCTTTCTCCTTTCAGTTGGAGCAGCAACATGGGCAATAGTAAGGGACTCGGCCACCTTTCTCTGCCATCTCCCTTCCACGGTCACCCGAAGCTAAAAAAAACTCTAGAGCAATAGCTCTAGAGAAATAAATAACCTCTACTACCCTCCTTTACTCTTACCTCCATTTCCCAAATCTGATGTTGCAGCTGAAGGCATATCACTTCCAGCTCCTTAGCTCTGCTCAGTCCTGAAGTTTCTGATAACAGGGTGGCGGGAGAGAGAGATTACAAGAGATTTAGGCCTCCTTATTTTGCTTAGTATTTTGTTTGCACAAAAAGCATAGATAGTCCGGGAATCTGTTATCAATGACAAGCTATTTGACTTGGAACAGGAAAGAAGGAGGTTGGGGTTCACCCCGGATATGAATCTTCCAAATGGGCAACTTCACACATGAGCCTGGCCAGCTATGAACACCGGGGCCCAAGAACTTCATCCCTTCACCTGTGGTGAGGTTCAGAAAGATGTTCATCTCATATGCTCATGAGCGCAATGCTTTGGCCTGGAAAATGGTCTTGAATCACACTTCTTCCATCTCTAGCAAGACATGGCCCCTGTCTTTTGCTGGAGGAAGAAAGAAAAGGCAAAGGGAAGTATGGTCCTATATTACCTTTTGCTTTCTGAAGGATTTTTATCTGCTTCTCAAACTCTTTGATTTTCCTATTCTGCAAAGCAAAAGACAACATTGTCATCTTTAGGGATTCAGCACAATCCACAGTGGCTGAATTATCTGTTTGTTGTGTGAACACAAGTATATATTCATCTCGGGGTGCTTCGTGCATCAATTACACCCCCCCCCCCCCAATAATCTAGGAATGGCATCGATGTCTCAGTGGGGGAAACACAGGATCACCTTTCATCCCTTCATGTGAGAGGCCATTGAAAATTCTGATCCATTTCTTTCTGCTTCCAGGGGCCATCCACATGCTATGCTACATACCTGTCTCAATGCTTGTTTTCTACATATACTGAATGCCAAACATGCAGTCCAAATTTATCGCCACTACAGAACTTGGATTTTGTGAATGGGAGGGAAGGAAGAAGGACTAGCGATTAGGGAAGGTAGATGGTAAAAGACGAGGGAGGAGCAGCACAGAATAGCATGGCAGTCAAAGCAATTCACTGCCCAGAGGATTCCCAAGGAACAGAACTTTTGGGAAGGCAGGACTTTCTTAGAACCCCCGTCTGAACAGGAGGGCTGTGCCAATTCCCCAGTAGCTCTGACTTACCACTCTGTCTCTCTAATTCTATGTCTAACCTGCCACCTTGGAATGGGAGGTTGGCTTTCTCAGCTGCGAAAACAGCTTGACTTGAAAGCAGGACCATCTTATGCCTTTTTTACATGGCAAGTCAGTTGCTTAGAATTTCAGTGGGAGGCAAGGCGGCCTGAACAATGTGCCTCAAAACTCATACACAATTATAGAACCCTTGGCTCTTTAAAACTAAATGAAACCAAGCCAAACCAAAAAGGAAACCCTCTTGCATAACCACTCAAATTCCTCCTGCAATCACTCTTCTTCTAACAGCTTAAACTCTAGTTTGCAGCTCTCCCTAGGAAGGGTACTGGCTTCCATGATGCATGCTTTCGCAACCTCCTGTTTAAATGGTTGCCATCTGTTATACTACATGTCAATACCTTGGAAAACAATCCAGAAACTTCAGTTTGCCTAGAACAGGGGTCTCAAACTCGCGGGCCAGTTGCCGGGACAGGCGGGGCACGGGGGAGGGGCCCTGCGGCCTTCAAAGCGCCGGCGGCGCCCGGGCCGGACGTGGGGTGAGCGGCCCACCACCACCGCGGTGGTGGAATACTTGATGCAGCCCAGCCTCACCCAGACCGCCCCCAAGTAAGTTGAGTTTGAGACCCCTGCCCTAGAATATGGCCGAAGGACTGTTAACTGAAACTTGTTGTGAACATGCTATCCCAATGGACTGACTCTCAGTCCATTTCTGGGCTTAATTGCTTGTTTTAACCTTTTGAAAACCCTCCAAGGTTTCAGAAGTTGGGTCTGAAAGACCACCTCTCCTCACATGGATCTACTTGGACCTTGAGATCATCCTATGAGGTCCTTTTTTGAGTGCCCCAACAAGTTGAGGCATGTGGGTTTCTACAAGCAAAAGAGTCTTCTGACTAGAGGCATCCAAACTGTGGAACATCCTCCCTGATGAGGTCCTAATCACTTTTGCATGCCAAAGACCCCTTTATTTTCTCAGCCCTTTTAAATGATCTTGTGGTTCTTAATATGGTTTCCACTCTGTGAACTTTTATTCCTCTGCTTTCTTCTTTCTTTCCGAAATCTTTACTGGGATTTGATTTCAGTTTTACAAGCAAGCCAACCGTCCCCTCATTCTCCCCAAAGAGAGCATCGTCACCTTCTGGTGGATCGCTTGTGCTTGAGTTTTGACCATGTGCTCCAAAGAAGCAATCTTCTGCATCATGGAGGCCATCAGCTCCATGTCTGTGGGAGCAGGTCCTAAGGCACAACAGCAAGACATCAGGAGAACAATTCAGGGTCTAGCATGTTGCTGCTGGACACACAGTGGCTCATTGTGCTCCTTGCAAAGGAGGCAGGGGCCAGAATGGTGGGCATGTGGCCTGTGCTCTGACCAGGTCCTTGGGCGAAACAGGGGGAAAACTGCTTTAAGGGCTACCAAATTCCTGGGTGTGGGGGGAGGGGTGTGTTCCAGTGGGAGTGTTCCAGTGCCTTTTATTTTACTCTCTTCTCATCTATATTGCTCAACAGCCAAAGCTCTCTGGGCAGTAAACAAGTGTAACATTTCTACCTACGCCACACATGCAGATGAATTTTTTTTGTGATTGCCTATTTTACGTTCTGTGTCCAGGTTGTGCACACATGTAGAGGCAGAAAGAAAGAACCAGCAGCTTAACCAGGCCACAGAGACAGCCAGGGAACCATAGCTCCATTCTCTTCCTCTTGCAGGAGGTAAGAAAAGTAGAAAAAATAACAAGTTGAACTAAAAGAAGAAAGAGAATGGGTGAGTCTTCATTTCCATCTGGTTAGGTAAATTTCTGCAAGAAAGGAGGAAGTGTGGTTTATGGGTCAGCTTTGTGTAAGTCCCCAGAATGAGCACCTGCATCTTTTAATTAGAGGTATCAAAGCCACCATTATTCATTCACTGGTTCAACCAGTGTGATAAGCAACACTGTTCATACTCTGTGCTAATTAGTTCCACATTTGATGCAAAGGAAACCCCTTTGCTACGTGTAAAATGCAAAACACAAACCATGGTGAAAAAATAAAAAGGCGTGGTTAGGATTTTGAGATGGGTGCCATTTATATCAAGATACTTAATTTTGCATATACTTCTCCAATCTGCATGACCTTTTATCCCTAGCTGGCAAATAAACATTATGTTGTAAAAGAACTGTGTTTCAGGGAGGTTTCACTTCCTGTGATGTTAATCGTGCACATTTCTTTGACCTCACTGATGCTTTTGGTCAAGCAGGGTTTGTGAGGGTGTTGGAGGCTTTCTGATATGAGATAACCCTCTGCACAATTTGTGCAGATTTTGTGCAACACTCTCTGAATCTGGCATCAGCTTATTTGCAGGGGGGAAGTGAGGTTTTGGATATATTAAACTAATGCAGTAGAAATCCCCAACCTTTTTGGATTTTGGAGACATTTGGAATTTTGAGGAATTGCTGTTGGCATCCTACCCATTGAGTTTATTATCTTGGGTTGTTCACTAACAAGGTTTAAACCACGCCTCTCCAATCTGGCACTCTCTGGATCAGCTAAACTTACAACTCTGATCATTCCCAGCCAGCATGGCTATCTAAAAACCAGTAGATGCACAGATAAGCCAGAAGAGGAAGCTGGAAGGGAATATACACAACCTCCATTACAGTGAAATAGGCCCACAGTCTCTCCAGTTTGGTCTGGAGTTCATTTATTATACAATAGAGGAACAAGAAGGGCTTACAAACTGAGTTCCCTAAACAAACAGGAAACAGCTGGAATCCAAAGATCTACTTCAGGCTTTCTCAAAGGCTTGTGCCTGCCCAGTGGAACTGTTGATTTTGTTTCTATGAACATCTGAACTATCACTCATTCCAGGTTCAAACCCAATTTGTTAGCTGGCATGGGTGGGTTACTACCTGAGAAAAACTGATCTAAAGCCCTGTTGCATTTCTTTGGATTCTGGTCACTACTACATAATGCTGAGATATACCATGGAGCCTAGAAATGCATGCTTCCTTCTTTTTAATACTCAAAACTGAGGATGCAGGGAACCCAAATCTATGAAATACCCAGTTCCTCCTGCATATGAGGAACCACAAAAGGCAAAACACTCTTCATTATACAGAGCATGCAACCTCTGAGCTGAGCTGGCATTATAGTGTAACTTAGCCCAACTTATCACCAACTCTTTCAGTTATACCAAGTGCAGCTGGATTTGCTGTCACTCCATCTGAGCAGGAAGGCACATTGACTTGTACTGGAATTTGAGCTCCTGGCCCCAGGATTTCATCTATCATAGCGTTTTCATCTTCTGTGAACCAAAGTGATAAAGGCATTAGCGAAAGCAAAACAATGATTTCCTCTTGCTCAGACTTCACCAGTGATAGGGTACTTAAAACAAAGGTGATTTGTATGGATGTGTAAAGGAAATGGGAAAATGTTTTGGGGGCCATAAACTGTATTATCAAAGCTGAAGGAGATGCAAATTTGAAAGACAAGATACACACAGAATTTTCTCATCTCACAGTCAATGGACTGAAGCAAAGTTGAACTCCCTGCTCTTCCATGGACTCTTAAGCGGCCTTGGTTAAGTCACACTCTCTCAGCCTCACCCTCTGTCTGTAAAAGGGAACAAGTGACTCACAGCTAATTTTGGAAAGCAATGAAAAGGGATTAAGAGGACATCATATTGATCTATAAACAATTATCTAGGATAAGATATACAAAGAAATGACAGCACGTTCATCACTTACCCGTCTGGAAATTCTCTTTGAATGGCACTGCCCTTTTTCTGAAATCCAAAAAAGAAGGTAACACATAAAGCAAACAGGAAATGAGTGGTTATTTATATAAATGTATAGTTTCAGTACAAGTGGCAAGGAACTTGCCTCTAATGTTGCAATCTAAATCATTGTTGAAGTGCAATAACAATAGCCAAGTGCTCACGGAGGCTGGTGGAGCAGAGTGAGGTCAATCAGAGTGGCATCAACGAGTTACCACAGGTGCAGACAACTAGGCCTAATTGTTCTGTCTTCCTCTTTTGCAAGGTCTCTAGATACACTTAAGCAATGCAGAAAAATCAACGAAACTGAGGAACAGAGTCTTTACTTTGGTTCAGAAGGGACCAAGGACCACACTTTTTCACGCTGCCCCATGTGTGGGGCCATATAGCACAGCAAAACAGCATTTTTAAAATCAAACATCTACTGCAGCAGACCATCACTGACCTTGCCCATTATGTTGGTACGCAACTACACAACAGCCATTGTTTATTTCTTTTTTTGGAATCCACACCAGAGACATGCATTAATCAAACCTCTTAGTTTCCTGATATGTACACATAAAAGGAAAACACCCATGAAGAAATGAAGTTGACTACAACACATGTGCAGACATCTGCAGCTACCACAAGTCCATGTAGCTGTGAAGGTAAGGCCTCACTCACCCTTCTGACTCCAGCTGAAGTGGCATTTTGCGAATCTTTCCCAGAGAGGAGAGAGGTGATGTCATGGTTTATCTTGAACACAGTTTTAAATCCTAAGGGGAAAAAAAAGGCAGAAACATACATTAGAATTTTTGAAACGCTGAATTGTTGCTGGCACTCCTCTACATGAGGGGTACATCTTGTACATGATTAATTTTTGGAGATGTGATGCATTTCTACAGCACATCTGACCCTCGTAATCTAAACTTTTGGATGCATCAAGGAGTTAATTGAGGCTGCTCCTTTGCCCAACCTCATGGTTGAACATAAAACTTAGAAAAGCCTCCAGGTTGCCTAGACTGCAACTCCATTTATATTTCTTGCACTTCTGATTGTGAGATATAGTGCCAAACTGGGATATCGTCCAAAGTGCAAGACTGCCTTCCAGTTAGCAAAGAAGCAGATGGGGCCAGTCACCACTGGGGGAGATCCATGAGTGGGAATGATCCTAGCGCCAACCCATTGTGAGCAAGAGCCAGACAACCATGAAAAGTAAACCAGAAATTGTATGTCTGCATTGCCCAAAAGTATCCAAGATAAAATCAATGACCAGGAGGAGCTCTAGCACCTGATGCACACATGTTACAATTCCATCCTATGCATGGAAACACATTTCAGGGATTGCAGTGGCATTTATGTCTTCCTATGCAAGCAGAGCACTGCATCCCAGCAAAACAACAATGCTATGCCAAAAGGAGAAAACACCACTAACCTCAGTGGTATGAGCCTCACTCACTTTGGAGTGCAATTGGAAGGGCTGCTCACCTGCCAGGGAATAAGCTGTAAGGAACTTAGTGGCACACGTATCTGAGTACACACACTTAAAAGAGCACCTCATGGAAGCGACCCTACGCATATTTACCAGGGAAGCAGCTATATTCAACTATTCTATGCACACCCACCCAGGAAGACAGCCGAAGCTACTTTTGTGTCAGCACGCACACAATTAAGGTTGCGTCCCATGTTGGTCTACTCACAGCAGTGAACTCACGAGTGAGACTTCTGCAAGGCGGATCCTGGACGCGACTTTTGGGGCGCTATCCTAATTATCTCCTTACTCCCGTCAGGAGCTGTAGGGCCTTTCTTCTGCGCTCGCTGGGGAACGTTCGTAGGACATTCCCCCCGCAGCCAGACACGCACAGGATCGCGCCCAGGCTCTTTTAAGGTGCCAGGAAGGCGCTTTTCTTGCTTCTGCCGCAAGGCAGATCGGGGGCAGCGCGGACTCGTGAGCGAGACGGAGGGGTGGAAGCAGCGGCCGTGGGGGTGGCAAAGGCCCCTGCCGCCCCCTCTAAGAGGGACCCGCTCTCCCGGCTTATCCCGAGACCCATCCACCCATCTGGAGCCCGGAAGGAGGCGCTGCCATCTTGTTTACAGGCGGTTGCCACGGTTACCACTCCCGGGCCAGCGCCTAGGAGACGCTTCCGGAGACTCTCCAGGGACTACAATTCCCAGCATTCAGCTTGGTGGGGTGAGAGGTACACAGCGTTCTATCCGATGAAATGTCTGACTCTTTGGAACGCTGCTGAGGCGCCGACCCGAAAAGCGCCCCCCTCACAAGTCGCGCGGAAATTCAACATTTTGTGGGTAGGGATGTGCCACTGATGTAACCCAAACTGTTCGGCTGAAACAGCATCCTTAGTTGTGATAATGGTGAGAAGACAATTGCTGGCACCCAACTTCTGCTTAACTGGCCACCGTTCAGATAAGTGTTGATGCACAAATCAATAGGCATAACTTTCATAGACACACAGCTAGGCCAGAGAAATCTAGAAATCAGCAAGTGTGCACACTTCAAATGTAGCTGGCACCCACCAGAGAAAGCTCCTTGGTACTTGACAAATAACAGCAGCTCAAAGAAATGGCAATTCACACCAGCCTTCCTCCTCCTCCTCCTCCTCTTTCTCCTCTATGTAATAGCACCCCTCTCCCCCTTCTTCAGAGCATCTTCTTTGGTATGAAAATGAGAGAGATCAGGCCATTGTAACATTTTTCTTTTGTAACTTACTGGAAAGTGCTAACTGTGTTATATGTAACCCTTTGATGATCAATGTATAAATGTGCCAACTGAGGACTGCTCAGGTGCACCATCTGGAACAATTCGTTGGCAGCTGGTTGTTCTCAAGAATAAATCTTTCCAAAAAAGCCCTTCCCCTGTTGTGTATTTTGGGCATATGCACACCAGGACATGGACCATTTGGTCAACAGTGTGGCATGTGGACAGGCCAAAGTGACCCACAACTGCGTTTCCTCTTAAAGGTATAAAAACGTGGCCGGTTACTGGCTGCTGGTGGTTTCCTTTGCAGGGAGAGCCACTGCTTCGTATTGTTGGGTGCACGCTTCGGTAAAGAGCTTTTGTTCTTCTGACTCTTGCTGGTGGTTTGTTGTCTGCTGTGGTTAGACAAACAAACATTTTAACCTAGCGGTTAAACTCCCTGATAAGATGATATATTATATTCCCGCCTTTTTACCTACAAGAATCTGACAAGAAAGATTACAGAGGGTGCACTGTACGAAGTGTGCAATCCAAAGAACATTTACAGTTTATTCAGACATACATCAAATATATGTGATACGTAGGCAGCCCCCAAAGGGACTACTAAGACTACTGTGCAATATCACCTATCAGTTGTACATCCATAGTTTTGGGGAGGCTGTTTGCTCTATACATTTGCTCTATACATGGGCAGTTTGCTCTATACATGAGTAATAGGGTTGAAAGTGATTAAGACACACAAAACTGGAAGAGGAAGAGGAAGCACACGCCTGACTTCCCTGCATGAATGCAACTGGGATCGTGGCCATCTCCCCACTTGTGGGGTGTGGGGGAGATGGCTGCGATCTTGGTCACCACCCAAAGTGGTGTTTGTGACCCAAGTCAAAAATTTTCAGAAATTTTTGTTCGTGACCTGATTTGTTCGTGAACCAAGGTGTTCGTGAGCTGAGGTACCACTGTATTGATGAATGATCAATGTAGAAAATACTGGGTTACAAAATCCCATTAAATCCCTTATTTTATATACTTAATTTTACGGGTGAGCTTGTGAGAAAACAACATTACATGCTGGTTGTTGTAAGAATATTTTCTGCAAAGATCGGAAAGTGCAAATAATGCATTCTAAGAATGTTGGGATTAGATAAAATATGAGATTTTGCTATTGTGGCAAGATAAACACAGTATATTTAAACAACAGAAAAAGGCCAAGAGAGATATTTATATTGGTAGAGAAGAAAATAAACTTTAAGTTTTGTAGAAGTAATATATCCCAGTTTTTAAAATAATAACTGACAAAAATCTGCAGTAAACTGAGTTGTTCTTTGGTGTATCAGAGGATTTAGGGTTGGAAGCAGAGGAGCACTGCTCTGCCCAATTCAGATCAGTGGAGTTTTAGTATTTTAAAAAGCATGTTGAAGGTCCTGCCACTGGCAATAAATCTGTCTCTAAGAACACACACACACACACACACACACACACACACACGTGCGTGCGCGTGCGCGCGAACACAAACTACCTCCTGTGTCATCAGAATCTCTAGAAAGGAAAATAATAAGCAGTTGGTGGTTGGTGTGCTCTTCCTGCCTCTTTTCCATCTGTGCTGCAAAACATCTGAGTCTCTTCACACAGAAGGTCCCACCTTTCTGAGCAGTGGACAGCTTAACCATGAAGGCCATCCTGCTTGTTGCTCTTGCTCTATTGATGAGTCTGGCTGTGGCTGACAAACTTCAGGTAAGGACCAGTCTCATTCGACAAAGGTAAAATTACAGGCTGAAATGTGTCATTTGAAATTAAAATCTGCAATCGTTTCATGTGTTTGCATACTGGCTGCAGTGTTGCGATGAAGACACAGGGCTTGGACAGAGCTGATATTTATTAGATTTTTATGCTGTATTGTTAGCCAGAAGGCTCCCTGAGCAGGTTACAAGATTAAAAGTATAAAATAAAAAGCAAATAAAAATCACAATTGATACAACAATAAAAAAGAATATCACCTGTCCTGTGCATATTTATTTGAATGTATGGGTTTTTATCCCCTACAGGTGTTAACTTACCAAGATGTCTGCTGGCACTGCTTTGTGAATAGGCATTTAATTATTTGACATTCACCTGAGCTTTAATACTGCCTATGATTCTTGTATTTAATTCCGCCCTGAACTCATGGCTAACATTTTCTTCTTCCCCTTCTTCCTACAACTCTGTGTGTGTGTGTATACACGCTTACTTGTGAACTCGTTCAATGCCTCTGATGAAGTGTACTTTGCTCCTCAAAAGCTTATATCATCACTTTTTTTAGTTTGTAAGGGGAAAACAAATTTAAATGCACTTTCCCTCAAGTATGGAGACCCAGCTTGAATTGCAAAGTGGATGTAAGGAACAATTTATGTGTTGTATCAAAGACGTACAATTATTTTGTCAGGTTATGATCAGCCAGATGTAAGTTGCTTTGTGATCCATGGCTTGTAGTGCATAAATGCTAAACATATGCTTAATTTTCCACTCAAGTTTATGTGGTCTGGAATTGCTTAAGTGGTGCTTTCTGTCTGTCGCTTTGCCACAAAGGCAAGAGATCATGGCCACTGGTTCGTGCTTGTTCTCTCAGACTCTGGTTGGACAGCACAACTGAGAACACACTTGTGCAGCTGGGAGGTTGTGCTATGCCACTAGATCTCCTGAAAAAAAGTAGTAGTTAGGAAATGCAGAAGAGGTTCAAATGGAAGGTGACAGGGGCTGGAGCCCCTATCGCTGGTAAGAGGCAGGGTGTGAGTGCACAAGAGAAGCTTCATCTGGTGGCCCCTCCCTTGATGAGTCAGTGAGCCCAGGTGCGGTCAGTGGCTTCCCCACCTCACAGACATTTCCTGATGGCTCTGTGCGCTTCCATCGGAGGTTGGATCACATCCTCCTCCTTGTGGTTCTGCAAATGCCAGGTCTCTGTCTTCTCTAGCTTTTCTTCCCTGTGCATAAGAATGGAAGAGTTGCTGCAATGACAGGAAACGGCTTTTAAGAGCTCGCATTACTTTTTGAAATGCTGCAGCTCTTCACAGCCTCTCTGACAACCTCAAAGCCCAGATGAGGTGCTGGGAAGTGGGTGAGGGCAGGAAAGACAGGAGATAATTGCAACACAGTTGAGGAAGGAAGTGCTCACACTTATCGAAGACGTGGCATTTTTTCCTCCTCTCCTTATAATGCTAGAACCCACAAAATCCCCTGATGGGAGATTTAGGGCAGATAAAAAGAAGAAATTATTCCCACAGTGCATAAACTAGGGAGACCACTTGCATAAGAGTTAGAGACAAGCACCATTCTGGATAGCTTCAAAGAGGAATGGGGCAAATCCCCAGAGGAGCTCTCCGCAACTCCTGGTCCTGGTGGCCCTGTGCTGCCCCCAGGTTTGAGGTTGTAGGTTTCTTGTAGGCCTCTGCTTGACCACTGAGTGAACAGAAAGCTGGCTCATCCAGCAGAGCTTTGGTCTGACCTTAGCAGGGCATCCTTCTCTTCTTTTGCCATACGCTCATCTGCTCAGCATTTCAATACCAGAGATACAGGATGGCAGGGGGCTACATCCTGAAAAAACATAAGGCTTCCAAATTGTGAACACACCATCTGGAAGGAAAAGGCAGAAAGAGGAGAAACATTCTGAACTCATATTTGATGGAACTGGACTGTACCGGGGTGGAATTCTAAAGCCCATTCTCTTTTCTGGCAGAGGAGCAGGGCTGAAAGCTGCAGCTGTATTTTCATTTCTTTTTTGGTCTTGTAAACTAATCAGTGAGAGCAGTGTATCCTGAAATGTGATTACAGCCATACCACGGAGATATTGCATGTTTGGTTCCAGACCACCGCCATAAAGTAAATATCACAATAATGAGTCACAAATTTTTGGTTCCCCAGCGCATATAAAAGTTTGGTTTGCACCATACTGTACACTTAGAGGCCATTGTAAGGGTATTAATTGGCCTAAATTCAATGTTGTTGTGTCTTAGGGAATAGGGAAGCCCAAGGAGAAGGAAAATGATGGGATGATTGGCTAGTTAGTCAAACAGTCAGAACACACACCATTTATTAAGTTTGCCATCATAGATGGATTAATTTCATGGCACTCGAAAACAATTATGATAGTAACATCAAAGATCACAGATCACCATAACAAATATAATAATGATGAAAAGCTTGAAATATTGTGAGAATTACCAGAATGTGACACAGAGTCATGAAGTGAGAAAATTGTGCCAATAGACTTGCTCGATGCCCGGTTGCCACAAACCTTCAATTTGTAAAAAATGCAGTATGTGCAAAGTGTAATAAAGTGAGACACAATAAAAAGAGTTGTGTGTGTGTAAGCTATCAGATTCAGACAACAGAATTCTGAGACTTGTCTGTGATAACTGGAAACAGTTGGCACATGATTTGGTTCCATGTCTGATTTAGAGTTCTTTGCTCTTTAAATGCACCTAGAATATTTCTTTCAGAGCCAGCAAGATATTTTGCTGCCTGAGGCAAAGTGGCACCTCTTCCCATGGGATGGTCTCAGATGTACTGACTGGTGGTCTCCCCACTATTGAGTCAGGCCCTAAATCAGGCGAGAATACAATGGGAGCTGCTTAGGATGAGTTCTATGTTAATGTCTGGAAGCTGCACTTTCTCTGCTTGCATGTGTTATAGATGCTGACTGGGCAGACTCTCAGACCTATCTGGTGGGAATAAAAGGATGTCAAAGCTATGCTGCCTGGGGGACTCTAGGAGCTGTAGCCCAACAGATCCAGAGGACATCTGGTTGGGAAAGGCAGACTCCAAGAAGGGCAGCTCAATTCAGTTCTCTGCATCAGTGGCCAATACTGCTTAATGATCTCCAGTTTTGTTGAGTACTTCTTTGACCCTATACTAAGCACCCTTTCTGTTTCCTCTTCAGGAGCCTGTGACAACAGCAAAAACAATCACCCCCAAATCAAACAGCCAGGCCATGCTCTTTGGTGGCCCAGTTTCCCTTCTGCTACCACTCATGCTGGTTGCAATTTATCTCCTTCGAGTGAACTAATCCTGAAGGCTTTGAGAGTTTTGCATGGGGAACCATGTTACCTTGCCCAGCTCCAGGGGAATCCTTCCTCTGCATCGCTAGCAGCCTGACAACCCAGCCAGTAACTCTGCTCTTGCTGCCATCAGCCTGAGAATGCTGTGCCATGCCCCAATATCCACAGTCCAAGGCTTTGGACTCAGTCTTCACCACATAGCCAAATAACCTGCAAAATTCAAGCAAAACCTGGAGGACTGTCTGCCATAGATACCAAATGCACAAGTTCACACTGAGAAGGTCTCTGTACCGGGTGATATTCAGAGAAGGCGTATGCAAAAGCACAGTTACCACATGGAAGATTGAGAATGAACTGTTGCAAAGAGCTTTTGGTGCGTGAGACTCACCACAGGATGGTGCCTCCTCATATCCATGAATTCGCAAGAAGCACAACCCTGCCAAAAGACTTTCTTGGGCAGGCTGTCATGGAACAGGCAGGAGATGTGCATCAACACCGTAACCTGCTGGAACCACTCCTGTTCATTTCAGTTATTACAGCTTCTTGAGCCATCCTGGCTGAGACCTGTATCCCTTCATGGGAACCCCCGAATTCAAAGTCAACTCTCTCACCTTGCCTTGATGAGTAACTGCACTCTTCTGTTTGTGCAAATGTGCCATGAACGCTGATGCTGAGGGAAGTCTTTTCCTGGCTAAGGGACCATTTGCAAAAACACGCCCATGGCAAGAGCCTCACCTTCAAGAAGGTCGCTCCTGAGCCATGGCATTTTAGGTGTCAGTCAATGTCACGTCTGTGGAACAGAGCTGAAAATGATGCCAGGGAAAAGTGGTACTTGTAAATGCGATTCTGTTTTTTTCCATAATCTCCATGCAGCTTGGTTCCCTGAATGAAATTAAAGCTTCTTGGCTGGCAAACTTGCTCTTTCATTGACTTGGCTGGTTTTTTTTAGAAAAAGCAAAAAACACCTCACAACAAAAGCAGTGGGATGCGTCAAATGCATGTTGGCACCTGGCATATAGGAAAGGTCAGCCTTCCCCAATTTGCTTCTCGCCTGCCATGCTGAGGATAATGGGACTTGTAGTCCAACATATCTAGGTGGTACCAGGTTAAGAAAGACTGGAATAAAGCTTTCCTCCATGAAAGTCCCATTTTGGGTTTGGTGTAGGCTTTCCTTTGATGGAAATGTCAGCTTTGGGGTGGGGTGATTCTCATAAGAGACTGTTTCAGAGCTGGGATGGAAGAGGATTAAACACACCTTCCCTAACTTGGGTTGCTCCTGGTTTTTGGTCCACAAGGGAGGGACCTGGTTTACATGTAAAGAGAAGACACCTGGGTGAATTTCCCTGTAGGGTTTTTCAGTTGTGGTGGTAGCCACCATTTTGAATAATCAGGGTGCAACAGGAGCATACCCAGGTTTCTCTTTATGTGAGAAACCAGCAAAGGTGGGTTGTTGGAGTGGTTGAGAAGCCACCTAGAGCCCATGGGCTGTGCTAGGGTTGTGGATAGGTGTTAATCACCCACCTCTGTACATAATGAGAAGGTTCCAGTGCCCTGCCCCACCATGCCCTGAATACTTGAATATTTCTGCAACCACCACATGATCCCCTGCCCCTGGGGAAATTTGCATGTAGCTTCTTAGCACATATGAACCAAGGAGGAGTCAATAGGATGGTAGTGGTGAGAGCAGTTGAGTGGGACGGGCAAGACTGAGGTCCTGGCTCCAAACAGAGTCACAGGGTGAGTCACTGGCCAGTCTTTGTCCCTCAGCCCACTTTACCTCACAAGGTTGTTGTGAGGACAAAATGGAGGAGTTTGTGAACCACTGTGAGTTTCTTGCAAGAGGAAGAAAGGCTCTCTCTCTCTCTCTCTCTCTGTGTGTGTGTGTGTGTGTGATGAATAAATAAACTATCTATCTAGCAAGGTCAATAGCCAAGGATGAAAGATGTTGTAGGCCACAACTTCTAGAGTCTCAGGCTGGGGAGGGCTCCTGCACACTTCCTCAAGCTACCTCCATTTTGGGCTATTTATCGCAACTAATGTGCATAAGTGAAGTGAGCATCGCACGCAACCGCAACCACAGTCTGAGCAGCAGGACCCACCCACATGCAGTGAATTCCATGATGAAACTTGTTGTGCGGTGCATAGAGGACTTTATTGTGTCAGCCCCACACTCAGTATTTGGCCTCTGGGCTCGGGTGGGTAGCTGTCATTCAGTCTTCTGCCTCAGGCAGCAAAATGGGCTGGCCCTGACCAAAAAGCCTTCTTTCAGGATCCTGCCGTAGACTTTGCAGGAAGAGTTCTGTGTTTACATAGGGACGATGACCCCAAGCATTTAAAAGTCCCAATGAGTGGCCTCAAAGCTGAGCCAGAGGCTGTTGAGAGTTGCCAGCTTACCAGGAGAAAAAGCCCTACTTCTGCAAATTCAGAACTTGCCAAGTAAACATTAGAACTATTCATAGCATGGCGTTCAACAGATGCCCTGCTTAAGCAACTAGCTACAGGGTGCCGCTGCGAAGTTGGTGACATGGGTAAGTAATACAAAATACTTCTGATTAGCACAGGATATGGGATTGGCCTGTTGTCTGGAATCAACCACTGTTGGTTCTGAGACTATTGTCAAAACCTGTGGGGTGGAGCTGTTAACATCCTGGCTTGAGCAAAATGCTATGGCATGAATGCAACATTCAGTTACAAAACCATAGAAGGGAAAAGTTTAAAATCAAAAAGAGAAGCAGCAGAGCTGACAGTTTCCCTGCTGCTCCTGAAAAGGCATGTTGCAAGCATCTAGCACAGGATGCCTATACAGCCCATTCTTTCTTTGGCAAAGAGATACACATGCTCCATTTTGCATGAAACATGAACGCTGCAATCTGCAGTTTCAGATTACATGAAGATCGGATGGGGATTTCCTGTTGTCAACCACCATAACAGGGAGTGGAGATTATCTCTGAAATCAATTTTTGAAATATTTTCCCCCCAAATGCGTAAGACAGACTGTAAACATGGGAAGCTATGTGGGTCAAAGAAGGGGAGGGTGGAAATCCAGACTCCGTAATCAAGCAATGCTTTTACTAGTGTTAGAAAACACTCTTTCCTTTCCTTCAGAAGAGAAAAATATCCCAGGCAGGCAGAGACTTCTTTTTAAAACTGTATTGCAATAAAGGGAACAGAAAGGAATGGCTTCCTTTCCATTGTTCTGTTCACCTGAGCACATGTTCACACACCCCTTTTGAACCCTGCTCCCGGCCCCTTGTTCCTTCCTCCTTTCCCTTAATTGGCTAATAGGGTACTGAGAGGTTACACTCTTTCCGCCCGCCTACTCCACGCTGCCCCAACACCGGCCCTTCTTCCCAATCCAGCCCTGCCCCCAGTGGGCTACAATAGGCTCATTTTGTTCTGCCCGGCTTGTCAATTAAACAGTATTTGGCCCTTCTGCCTACATGCCTGTTTTCCCATACCTTGTGCTACCTGATTTTGGCCCATCCCCACCTTTGGGCTTTCTTTGTTACCCTTTTAAATCTCTACTCCTTTATTTCAAATCATCCTTTCACACCCGTCACTAGGACCTGCCAAACTGACACAAACTCTGAGTGCGCTTTTGAGATCTCCGAAAGTCTTCATTGGGCTGGGACCCTCTTTTGCAGCCCTTGCTTGAAGGGCAGTCAGGGGGTTGTGTGCTGGTTGAAAGCATCTGAAGCGATATCTAGCTCAAGTCTAAATCGGAGAACGAACCGCCAGAAAGAAGAATTAGAGAGCCCGGAAAATGCTAATCTGGGCAGCAGATGAGCCAGGCTGGCAGGTTGCTGTCCTTCCCTCTACAAGATGCCTCATATTTCTGTTAAAATTCTAGTATCATTTCTAAATCTGCATCTGTGCATATCAAATAGCTTATGCACCTTTTATGTAATTCTGGTGCCTTTTGCCCTCCTTTTTGGTCATTTACCAGTGGTCACCCTAGGCTGAGCGTTAGGCAAAGTGCGGTACAGCAAATCAGATGACTTGATGTCCTTCTGTTCTCTACAACTATCCAATTCGGAGTGTGGGGAAGCTGCTTTTGGACTCTAGTGCCTGTAAGCTGCAGTCAGCATGGCCATTGGGTGGAAGTGATGCAAGGTGTATTCCAATAACCTTTGGAGCGCCCCCACTTCATGACAGGAAGGGAAAAACCAGCCTGAGGTTGGTTTTGGCAAGTGAAGGAGCAGCTGCAAGGAATGCAAATTGCTGTTCCTTGCAGAAAGAACACCTAGGAGAATGTTGAAATGAAACGCCACCTACCTGGGCATGGGAACAGGCGTGGGCGTGAGAGGGAGAGGTCTTGCTTCTTTCCTCTTCCTCCCTCTCATTCCCCTTTCCTTCTGTGTCATGTCATTTAGGTTATAAACCTGAGTGCAGCAACTGACATTAATAATCTGGGAGCCTTTTTCTGGGTGGAAGAGCAGGATAAAAATGTTCCACATAAATACTCATACATGTCATGAATCAAGAAGCATTCAGTGAGAGTCAGTGTGGTGCAGTGGTTAAGAGCGTGTGTCCGGGACTCAGGGGATCGGGGTTCTATTCCCCACTCAGCCGTGGAGCCAACTGAGTGACTTTGGGCCAGTCATAGAGTCTCACAGGGTTGTTGCGGGGATAAGACTGAGGGCAGGAGGAGGGGAATGATGTAAGCTGTTTTGAGTTCTTTTGAAAAATCTAATAAATAAATTAGAAGCATCTTGTGAATTCTCATACTATGCTGCTCTTGAGAAAAACAACCAGAGAGACTGGTTCTATTCTACTTGACACCCACCATTGTTGGACTGCAACACTCATCATCCACAATGAACACAAGTCTCAGTGTGTAGGAAAAGAATGGTTTATTCTTCAAAGTAGCCCAGCTTGGTTGGGTTTCCTATATCTTCAGGCTTATTCTCTTGTTTCCATTGCAATCATTATTGAAGTTGTAGCCAAAATGGTTGGAATTACGGTCCAGCAGTCATGTGTGGGAACTATGCTTTTAATGATTTAGTAAGTCTTCTTTGGCATGCTGCAGTATATCAAAAATCCATGTAGAAAAGAAGCAAACTCCTCAACAGGCCTGGCGCATTGCTACATATGATGGGGGAATAGCCAAGAAGAATCAAATTGACTTCTGATATGAAAAGTGGAAATAAGTGGAGCTGCAGATGGAGATAATATTAAGGAATCACAAGCAGGGAATCCCTGTCTTGCTGAAATTAGGTCAGTAAAGAGGGAAAAGCAGAAAACAGATAACTGGAGAATGAAGACATTAACCCAGGCTGAGCTGGGAGACATACATTCATCAGGACGGGCTTAATTAATTCTAACTTAAATTAAAATGTCTGCCTAGGGGATACAACAGTGAGAACAAAAGGCATGATGTTGTGGCATGAAGAGAGTTTTTCTCATTCATTCACACAGCCCTTCCTTTCCTCATAAGGAAATGCAGATAGTTTAAAAGAGAAAAGGGTTTGGGTCAAACAAGGAAGGAAGTACACCAAAATGCCTGAGGAAGAGGCAACACTGGGATGCATTCTCTTCAGTAGCAGGACACATTTTCCCAAGATGAAGATGCTGCAACCTCACACCAGAGGATCCAAACTGCAACGGGATAACACAGCACAGCACGACTTTGCTGTACATGATGATTCTCACCACTAGCCTCACGGGATGAGCTACAGGCAGTGTATGCCATGGGCGGTCCATGCTAAAGAAATTAGAATTTCTCCATCGAGGGGCTCTGTATGCTGGGGGTAATTGATGTGATGGAACAGATCAAGAATATTATATTGCTCTGTGTTTCTACAGCATGACTGACATTAGATTGCACCTCAGTTTCTGTCTGTTCTATTTTCATATAACAAAGCAAGTCTTTGTATTCTGTGTATCCAAGTCTTTCTTGGCAAGAATAGGAAGGTGGGAGGAGAACAGGCCAGATGCTCATCAGATTCCACCAATTCCACTCCTGCCTCTTGAGGGAGTGTGGGGTTCATACAAGCAGCAGCAGGGAACCCCGTGCAATCTGAAGCGTAACATCAGGCGGGCACAAGCTGGGAAGGGGTGCTGAGTTGCCCTGGAACTTGCCCTGGAACTAAGCTTCCCACTGAGAAAGAAGTAACTCTGCAAAACTCCCAGAGCAGCCACAGGCCGAGATAATCACAGGCCAAAAGAGAGTCGAAAGAAAGCCTGCAGAGGCTGTGCTAGGTGCCAAAAAGGTCCAGGGCTTGGGCCAATGGGGCAACCGGAATTTAACATTTGCAAGTGCTAATTTACATATCAGTACATTGCTTTTGTATAACTGTATATGCTCCAAAGTCTTGGGGTGCATGTATGTATGCCTTTAAACAACCCCATCTCCCAATGTCACCCCTATTTGCCAAAAGGGGTGCATGCATGGGGAGAGGGGGGCAGTTGACTTCAGGGATTAAAGAAAACTCACTCAGAAAGATTCAGGTGTGTGTGTGGGGGGGGGGGGAACAGGAGCGGAACACCTGTAGGCCGAAAGGCAGCTCATCCTGGGAGACCGATGCAGCAAAGTCTATCCGGCTTCCATCCCTTTCTTTCAGCAAATGCCCTGGTTAGCAGGTAGCAGGGCATGATTCAGTGTTAGAAAGCTGCTCCCAAAGCCACCTCTGCTGGCCTGAATCATGCGAACAGAAAATTCGGGGGCACTGATGATGCCAGTTACCTTCACAGCTGCAGGATGGCTGTTGGTTTAACCAACTGTACAAACGTTGTTCTTGTCACATCCCTAATGTTGAACCAAATTTTTGCAGGCAGGTGTCTAAAGATCAGGCGGGTCATGGCAGGAAGTGTAAGGATGTGTAGGGATATGTCTGTTAGGGGTACCGTCAGCTGAATGGATAATATGCGCGGCAACTGCCCACTTTGCGCTGTCTGAAAAAGGTGTTGAACATCATGATAAGGGAATTGGCCCCATTCTCCAGCCATTAAACACAATCTTGATCTCCGTCCATATTTTAGGAGCATTTTATATATTCTCTGGTCAATATGCAGAGACTCCAGCAGACTTTGGGAGTTGTGCGCATCCCAAAAGTGTTTTACATACATTCCTGGGGCACAACGCATTGGCTGAAAGAAACACCAGAAAATGTGCACACTTCAACGCAATCTGAGCGTAATTGTGCAAAAGGCTGCAAAGTGTTCTTCTCACTCTTTTAAAATGCCTCATACAAACGGTTAGGTGCACACATGATAAACTGTCCAAAGAGCCTTAAATATTTCATGCAGCGGTGGGTGAGCAATGGAGCGAGGAGAACAAACAGTTTTTCTTTGCTATAAAAGGGCAAAAAGAGAGCCCCTCCCTTCACCAGGTGGCAGGAAAGCATCAAAGGGGCCCTTCTGTTTTCTTTTAACAATCTGAAGACAACTTGTCCGTTACACTGGCTCTATGCCACAGCCAGCTCACCTGATAACCCAGGAGTGCAAGACTGGGCACATTTATACAGAAAAATGCCTTATGAGTCCCCGTACTCCTGAGCCAGCATGGCTGTCTGCAGAATGCTGGGAGCTGTAGGATCTTTTCCTGCCAAAACACACATGGGACTGTGCAGTAAAGCTACAACCCGTGGTTGCTGCTGCTGTACCCAGGAGTTTTAAAGAGAGGAAGGAAGGGAGACCTGCTATCTTCCTCCACTCACTGATTCAACAGCCATGGCAGGTGCATTCTTCTGCCATTTTAAAACCTTTTTCTAGGGCCACGTGAATTCAGGAAACAAATATATTGGGTGCGACTGTGCAGATTTGTTGTGTAGCAGCACACCTTCACTAGACAAGAGAGAGAATGCAATTGCCATGGCCAGTGTCTTTATGGGGCTGTGGCCGTGTGGTCCACACTTCCAGCCATGGCCCCACTACTGGAACTAGATGGACTTGTCCATTGCCCAATACTAGGCTGTTGTCAGTCATTCAACAGAACTTCCGGAGGTGATGAGGGGTGGCATTCACCACCTACCCTGCCGCTGAAGGTTGGCTGTGGATTAAATGAGCTACTGTGAATAGCCCAATATTAGGGTTAAGGGTGTGCACCAGGGTAGGGTTAGGGTTAGAAAAAGGAGGTGTCCTGGCATGGTTTGGATGGTTGGAATGTGTTTAGAATGGGCAGAAATGATGAGCTGTGCAGAAAAAGCTATTCAAGGAAGGGTTTTTCAAAATTGCCCTCTTTTCAATGGTATTTTACCCATATATTAGGGTTAGGGGTGTGCACCAGGGTAGGATTAGGGTTACAAAAATGAGGCATCCTGGTATGAGTTTTCTGGTTCAAATAGCATTATCATGTTACAGCCACACTGTACTTTAGCATGCAGGTATTAAAAGAAGTCAACTCCATAACCAACAAAGAGAACACTTCCTGCTTTTCCCTACAGTGTCCATACATCTGTCAGGAACCACAGGAATATGACTGGTGCAAAAAATCTGTATGCGTTGTGCAAGTTTAAAAAGTGACCAGGCACTTTGAGATGCACAAGCAAAGTTGCATCTTCAAGAAAACTATGGAAAGAATCCTCGTGCTTTGCACTTTTTGCAACACAGTGAAGAGCCTGACCTATACATACAAAGATGCTTCTTGGGTAAAACTGGGGGAAGGATTCTTGCACAATGTGATGTGTGAAACAAATATTGCCCTCCACTGGTTGAACGTACAAATGACAATAACAACTCCTTGTGGCAAATTGTAGGCAGAGCATCTTCCCAGCCCTGATGCCTGAGACACTTTTAAATGGAAGGACCAGGGACTTTTGATGGGAAAAGAGGGAACTTGTATCAGTCGCCCTGCTAGAAGCAGAACACATGTGGTCCTGGAGAACCCACAATGGTGAAGATCCTGTGAAGGAAATACACCTTCCCACCCCATGTCCCTGCATCCATCAGCTACACCAAAAAGCTCAGGACTACATGCATTCATATCGGACACACTCCAGACATACGGAGGCAGGGTGTTCAACAGCCCCCTCTAAAATGAACCTTGCAGCCATCTCCCCCACTTCTCTAAGATGCTACCCCCCCACCCCCCGCCTTGGTTGGTGTGGTCACAGCATCCCACACAAACAGATAGCTCCGTTGTTATGTCTTTGGCCTTTTTATGTCCTTTCACAACTGGGGACGAGAGAAATTGCAGACCAACAGGCGTGTAGGACACAGGCAGTGGCAGAGAGAGCTGCTGTGGACCAACCTCTTGCTAGCCAGTGTCCCAGTGTTGCAAATGACAGAATGCAACAACCAGCCAGAGAAATGGATTTATAAAAGGCATCTTATCATACACAACTACACAAATAGAGGTTTCAAGGTAGGCAGCTCATCTCCTTAGAAAGAAGTACAAGTGTGTGCATTCACATGTGCATTTCAGGTGTTCCTTGAAACCAGCAGTGGGGATGCTGGCTTGGTCTCTTATGATTGCACAAGCCCCTTGAGCTTGTCTGTCCCTCTTAGACTTCGCCTGTGATCTTGGCCTAGTTGGGCTGAGCTCTGGGGGATTGCAAAAGGACTTTTAAAAGCTTCCTTCCCCAACACAGGACCATCCCGGGAAGAATGGCTAGGTCAGAAAGGACTGACCTCTGGTCAAACCACTGTGCCTTTTTGGCACTGCAGCCTGCCGTGGCTAGCACACATTTCTCCTTCTCAGTGCGAAGGCCCAAAGGTGCAGCTTGGTCATGGAAGGGTGAGTGCCTGGGTCCCACAAAGCGATTGCTGGTACCTCACACAGCCCAGCCTTCCTGCTCCCCACCTCTTCAGAGCACCTGAATGCTCCACATCTGTGTGGGTCTTTCCTCTGCAGAATCCCAGAGGATTGCATGATCCCGGTCATATGATCGGCCTCCTAGATAGAAAAAGGAAGAAATGAATTGGCTGAATGCAGTTTTTCCCCATTTCTTTATCTTGCCCTGTTTCCTCTCCCAAGTGATCCTGTTAGAGATGATGACCTAAGCAGAGCCCAGTTTCTTGAGAGGGGAGGTCTTGGGGGTTCTGGTGCTCCTTCAGGGCTTGTTTATGCCAAGAAAGGAGGCAAAAAGAGAGGGAAGGGGAGCCCCTCTCTCAGCTCCCACCAACCACTGGCTTGTGCTCCCCAACAGTCTATTTCCAAGGACACCCCCCCACATTGCTTCCCACGTGAATTTCAACCTCCTGGGTACCCTTATGGGTATGGGAAGGGCTGTGGAGACTAGACCCTTTGGTGACACAGTGAAGTGCAAACTGCCTGGTGCTTTTTTATTAGGAAGGCTTGGGACAGAGTCTTCCATTCCCAACCCAAGGAACGTGGATTCAGGATCCAGTGGTGACAAACTCTGCTGCTTTCCATGTCCATGGCTAAGAGAATGAGTAATGCATCAGGAAGTCCTTGATTCAAATCAAGGACTCACTAAGTTCAGCCTCTGTGTCCCCATTTGCAATATGGGTGATCCTTGTCTTACCTTACAGGACTGTCAAGAATTACAACCGGGTGCCCTGTGAGCACCTAAATGTGATAATGCGGCCATCCCAAACTTGTTGTTTGCCAGAACTTTTGGACTTCAGTTCTAGCCAGCATGGCCAATGGTCATGAATGCTAAGAACAGGAGTTCAAAACGAGTGGAGAGCACTAGGTTGGAGAAGGTTGTGCTGTATGATTGCTAAGAAGAATTACACATGGAAGACATTTCCAGGAACTAAAACACAGTGGGAGGCAGGAGAGGTTGGGTAGAGGAGCCCTGTTAGGTGGTTTAATGCCTATCTAGCTATATTTGCATCCTCTTCTAGCGCATCCTCCCTTGCTTCCTGGGCCTAAATAAGAGTTCCCTCCAAGAAGCCAATTGCGTACCTTTCACATCAAGCAACTTGTCTTCAAACATCTGGCTGCAGATCCTCCCAAAGGAGTCGATGCGCCAAGTCTGCCGGGGCACTCGGCTCTCAGACCACAGCACCACCTTGGCACCCTGTGCTGCTGGACCGATCACCTGCAGGCTCATGTTAGGCGCAACCTGAAACACAAGGAAGGTCCCATCTATCTTGGATGAAAATGGCCATTTTGTATTGACCCTTGGCTTCTTGAGGACAGCATGCTGGATAAGATACCGTGACGACATTGCATTTATATGCCACATTTCTTCCCCTTGTGAGGAACCCAAGACAGCTGGCATAGCCCCACTTTATCCTAGCGGGAACAGAGCTGTAAGGGGGGTTTGGCTGAGCAGGAGTGACTGGCCCAGAGTCACCGCGTGAGCTTCGTGGCCAAGGTCCCTGTCCAGGGCTCTTGCCACCACTCCACACTGCTCTCTGGTGGGCTCCGCTGGTGGGCTCCAGAGGAATTCGCCTTACATTCGTATGGGAGTGACTCCACCGGGTGCATCTCTAGTCCAACCACCTCCCTGGGAGGACCTCCCAATTGCTTGGTCCTGAGTTCCTTTTACCTGGGATTGACCGGGGGACCTTCTGCATACAAGCCAGCCCTGCATCACTGAGCCAAGCCCCTGCCAAGGCAGTGCCCAGTGGCCATACAGATGCCTAACCTAGCTGTCTCATTTATTGTTCCTTCTGTTCCTGAGGTTCGTGCCACTGCTCAAGTGGGCAGAACTGCACCATCCATGCACAAGAGGCCTGGGGGAAAGGCCTAGCATATGGGATCTGCTCAGTCCCCACTCAGGCTGCTTTCCATGTTCTCCAAATGCTTCTGTTCCCAGGAAGCTGCACACTCCTGGAGGGGGAGACGGTGGAAGAAGAAAGACACCCTTACCTGGTTCTTCATAAGTCCCTCTTCGTAGTACCAAATGGAGCTGCTCTTGTCATTGAGCTCCGAGACCAGAACACGTCCAGCTTTCATGTCTTCAACATCATCTGGGACAGACAGGAAGGACTTCAGCTCTTCATTTTTTATCCGGAAGTAGATCCGTTTCTGTGGAGGGTGGAGAGAAAGGTGGAGACCTCTTGCATTGCCTGGGACCCTTAGCCCTGCAGACTCCTATTGTGGAGTGACCTGCCCGCAGTGTCTGTTGCCAGGGCAATGCACAGATGCAGGCCAGAGGAGGCCTTGAAGGCCATCAAGTCAAACTACTGTGTGATGCTCTGGCTTCAGAGTTCCTGCATCTTTTGCTTGAAGGCCTCCAAAGACCCCAGCACCCCTTTGGAGAACTGATTCCATTTCTGAATTGCTCTTCAAGAAATTTTGCAGGGTTCTAAGAGCTAGAAGGGACCTTGGAGGTCATCTAGTCCAACCTTCTGCTCAATACACAGTATAGAATCCACAGTACAGGATGCGACTACAGCACTCCTAACAGGTAGCCATCCAGCTGCTGCTTAAATGCCTCTGGAAGGAGTGCCCAGAAAAAAAGCTGTGACCATTAGGATGCCCCTCACAAGGTTTAACCACACTCTGCTTCCTTGCTTTTTCCACCCACCTAACTCTGTCTCTGTCTTCTCGACTTAATTTATATTGTTTTATAGGATTCTATTTATTTATGGTTGTGAGCCGCCCAGAGGCTTCAGCGAATGGGGCGGCATAGAAGTTCCCTAAATAAGTAAGTAAGTAAGTAAGTAAGTAAGTCTCATTAAACTGCATCAACCAATTCTCCAAGCTCAGTGGTACCTTTTGGACCCCACCCTGCTCCTTAGCCCAGGGAACTGGGTACCCACCTGCCTGATGGGGTACAGGGAGCCGATGTGCTGAAGCCCACTGTATGTCTTCCAGTTGGTGATCTCCACGCAGCCCAGCAGCCACTGGCGGCCTCGGAAATCACTGTGTTCACACAGCACCCAGCTGCACATGGGAAGCAAAGCATGGGGGAAATGCATTAGCAGAGATCCTTTCGCTCCTTCAGTATTCGTGAGATGGCATATTAAATGAGTGCCGATCCCCTTTGTTGCCTATGCCATAGACGGCAGGGAGGAAGGGGGAGTGCCCAGGACAGTCGTCATCTCAGGGGGATTGAGACCACTGGACAGCAGGTAGCAACGTCAGGTGTTGGTGTGACAAGGGTCATGTTCTCTTCTTGCACTTACATGCCACCCTTTACACGCACAGAGAGCACGTGGTTGTTGAACCCATCAGCCTGCAGGCTGCGCACTTCACCGTTCAGCTCGATCTCTTTCCCTTCGAAACACTCCAATGCGTGCAAGAAGATGGAGGGCTCGGAGAAGAACTATGAAAAAAAGAGTGCCAGCGATGATGGAAAGGGGTGGAATATGGAGGGGTGTGGGGAGAAAGCACGGGGCAAGCTAAGCATGGGGAGCAACATGGAGACAGGGAGGCTGCAAGGCCAAGCAGCCTGGAAATTTCTGCCCGTCAGAACCAAAGAAGAACCCCAGAGAAATCCGTGGCTGGCATCTCCAGTGGGGCAGCACCAGGCTGGGTCACAACTTACAATGGGGACTTTCTTCAGCGAGCGGATGTCCGTGGTGAAGAGGCAACCCATGGAGGTCAGTGTCGGATACTCGCCTTCGGACAGGATGTGTTGCTCTCCATTAAACTGCTGGTCGCCGTAGAGGATCCAGCTGAAAGGGGGCAGAGAAGCCCTTGACTCCAGTTACTGGCAGGGCAATGATTTGCCTCCCCACTGCAAACCTGGTTCCAAAACCATTCCCTGCCCTTCTTCTGTCAAGTTCATTGCATGTTTTTAAACATACACTTCTGAATGCATTTTCCCCATAAAGTACATATTTTATATGCATTTTGCTCTGAATCATGAGCTGCACACACGTTTTATCTCTAACTTGCAGTTTATGTAATACCCATTCAGGGAGTTTTCTTTTGAAAGCCGCAAATGGTATTGTAAAATTCAGTGAAATGCACATCCCAAAGGATAGCTGTGTTCTGACATGAACGTTATCCCAGCTGTGGATCCAATCACTTTGCTTCCAAAATGCAGACCAAGCAGGATGCCCAAAGTCCCCTGGGTGAACTGATTACTGCACCAGAGCACAAAGGATAGTGGAACGCAATCTCTTTCTATGGCATGAGAAGCCACTCCTTGCCACCTGCCTCCCACTGGAAGGAGCATGAGGAGGACTGGTGTGGAATTTCAGGGGAAAACCTCAGTGCTGGAGAGCCTGGGACTACACAGGTCTCTATTGAACATGAAGGCTGTTGTGGGAAAAGAGAAAGGACGTGCATGCATACATACCCATACAGAACGTTCAGAGAGTCCACAAGAGAGACAGCTGCCCCTTTACAGCCAGACCTCCCAAACCTGTTGCCCTCCAGATATTTTGAACTTCAATTCCCATTAACCCCGCTAGGCAGGAATGGTCAGGATGTAGATCACCTGGAGGGCACCTGGGTGGGGAAGGCTGCTTAAAGAAGTACCTAACATCTAAGTGTGTTCAGACAAATGCAGCATCTCCAGTTCCCAGGCCAAGGAGCATCTCTTAGAACTGACTTTTTCTCATCCTGCCATTCAAGCCCATTCAGCTGCCCTACTGGTGAAACACAGTGATTACCTGCCTCCACTGACCCGACAGGAGCGCAGGATGAAGTTGTCTGGAAGTGATACTTGGTCCTCCGTGAAAGAGATAGAGCTCCCCAAGAAGTCTGGATCTGAGAAGAGCTGGATCTAGGGAGCCAAAAAGCCCTGCATGAACAAACTGGGGGATATAACAGAGATGGAGGGTCTAGAGATAGGACAGCTACTGCCCACAGATGTAACTGCTTTGAAGAACAGTCATGTCCTCTCCCCCGGACAGTCAGGAAACTGTGTAAAATAGTGAGAGAAGTGTAAGACCCACTCTGACATCTCACACTAATGTCCAGTTGCTCACCTTAGAAATGAAGTGCAGACTGTGTTCTCTGACCTGGAGAGAGAGCGAGAGTGAGAATGGAGCAGGGTACATAATACAGGGGTCAATACAAAAGAGGATAAAATTTGCTGCAAAGTTGCCGGCAGATTTCACAGCCAGAGGTCCACTATTCCTCAATGCCAGCATCCCAAACAGACTGTAGAGTGATGGCAGGAGGCATCGCCCTCCTTCCAATAAAGACAACACTTTATTATCAAGTCAAATCAGAGCGAGGGCAACCTTTTCTGTCTTCACTCTGCAGCCTACTAGAGAAGTGAAGGAAAGGCACCTAACAGTCTCTCAAGACTTTGCTCTCAACTGCTGCCTGGACCCCAAAATGGGCAGCAGGAGTAGAAAAAGTGAACTGAGAGGGTGTGGGAGGCGGACAGTTTGGAAAACGCTTTCACAGATCTCTCCTTCCTTTTGAGCTGAAAAATTACATGCAGGCCTGTTCATTGTATTATTTGTTCATTGCTCACTCCTTCTTCAGGCTGAGATCTGACATATCCATGTTCCTAGCACCCATTCCAACAGGGTGTACCAAAGAAGATGAGAGACGAAGCTGGGTCACTCAACAGTTTTGCCAAAAGAACTTACTATTTCTTCTTCCCTCCTCATCTCTTTTTCCTTGTATGACATATCTTTAGATAGTAAGCCTGTGAGGCAGGACTGATTGCATGCAAGACGCTCAAGGAGCCTTTTGGGTTGAGGAGTGGGATAAAACAAACAAGCCCCCTATATAAATACGAGAACATTAGGATAAAGGGGAGACACTTGCTTGACAGATTCTTTGTTTAAAAATAGAACAGAGTTCTTTGAACCAGTCATGCAGGTGAGACCTAACTCTAACTGGAAACAGGAATGAAGGAAACATGAAACTCTTGCTTGGAGGTGAGTGGGCTTGAAGGTATAAACAGCAGATAAATGGTTCTGGATTCTTACTTGTAGGACAGGTTGCACCGAGCAGATTTGGTAGTTGTTCGCTCCCCAGTCTTCACAGTTGTGGTACACTCCTTTCTCCAGGATATACTGTTCCCCAGTGAAATTCTTGCCTTCGTATGCTACCCACCTGGACACAGAAACACCAACAAGATTATCTCAACCTCTGTTTTCAAGAGTCAGTTCTCAAAGCACTCCTACCCATTGGGTGCTTTGCAGATTCTTTCCCTGGGCCTGTGAAATGTCTTCCCACAGTTCTCAAGGCACACAGTCCCTCTAGCCTCGCTTTCCCCATCCTGGTGCAGAGGAAAAGAGGAAGCTGCCCCATTCCCCATCAGTTTGTCCTTCTAACCTGGTAACATTGGCACGGACTGGCAGCCGAGGCAGGAATTTTTCCAGCCCTACCTGGAGACCTGCAGATTGAACCTGGGACCTTTGGTTTGTGCTCCTCCACTGAACAGCAACAAACAGGGGAGATGTAGTCAGACAAACCTGGAAGGCATCAGGTTGCCTTTGATGCAACCTGGGCCCTTCTTGCCCTATGTATGGCCAAGCATCTGCTGAATATCCTTTGCACCCCGAGTGCCAAAAAAGCAGACTTCAGCTGTCCTGCAAGCACAGCACAATCCCACACCCCGTGTCTGGCTTTGCTTGCTGCTCTGGGACTTTTTGGCTGGTCCTAACCCAGGCATTATGCTGCTGTGGCTTCTGCTTGCACACATTTTTAATAAACACAGCTGTTGTTATTTTCTTCAGAGTCCTCAACAAGTTGCCCAGAGGAACCTCCAATGGCACTCCCCAAAGGGTCCCAAATATGGAACTCCAGGGCGTGCATTTTAAAAAATGTTTATTTTTTTCTATTGCTAATATATATACAAAGATATGTATGAAACATTCTAGCAGTTATGCACTGGCTTCTACAAAAGTGGACAAATGTCCAAGTATGTATCCTTATGAAGCTGGCATTTTTATGCCATCCATTCAATATATGGAAAGCACTGTAAGGTCCTCAATCCATTGCATTATAGAAGGTGAGTGTTGATCTTTCCAAATTTGCAATGCCACCTTTGCAGCTGTCAAAAGGGCACAGTGAATGCATGGCCTCTTCCACTGGATAATTTCTATGAAGCAGGTAAATAATTTAAAAGAGGGCTGAATATTAAAGGCTGTTCCAGTACAAAATGTATCTGTGCATTAACTCGGGCGTTGTTAACACCTGTGTCTGAAAGAAGCCTTAGTGGCACTGCTCTGCTGGCTGTTAGCAAAACTGGGCAATCCCATATTAAAGAGGTGTTGTGGTGTCTAACAGACGCAAAACAGAAGTTTTTGCTGAATAAGACCCATAGATATGACAGATGCCAAAGTGGCGATCCACTCCTTTTCAAGTGGTGACCATGGCAATTTCTCAAATTCCTAAAAGTGTTCCAAAAGGACTGGGGATCCCTGATTTGCACAGCTGCAATTTTCTCAATTCGAGTATTGCTTCCCATAATTTTGCAACGGCCTCCCCCAAAGTGCACCCCTCCCGCCCAACCTGTTCGCCTCAGTCATTCCCTGGGATACTCACACTCCACTCAGGACATGGATGGACCGTGTTGTCGATCTGTAATTGGCCAGTGAGACATCCGGCAGCGCTTCACTGAGCTCAATGCTGGGTCCTTCTTCAAAGTCCATGGCCTCAGACAGCAGGAGGGCTGGATCCAGGAAGCCCTGCGCGGGGGGAGTAGAGCAAAAATGAGGAGCATGGCAATGCATCACCAACTGCCTGCCCCATGCCCTCTCCAAGAGGGAGGAAGCACCCCCAGCAACACCACACAGAGACAGGGCTTCTCCGGAAAACACATCACCACGTCAACAGGGGCATGGAAGTGCATTAAACTTGCATGTGTTGATTTTTATGTATCGATGCATACTGAAAAATAGTTAATAGAATTTAAGAATAAATGTTACTCATTTCACCATAGTGTGAAAGAATGTGACCAGGTGTTAACTGTGATTGGACTTTGTCTTCAAATCAGAATTGAATGGAGAAGAAGCTGAAGAGGGAAACCAAGTTTAAATCATGTCAAAGCACTTGGAGGTTACTTCAAAACAATGTAACAGAGGCACAGATAAGATGCTTACCACAAGTGAGAAAAGGTAGCGCAAAGTCCAGGAAATCACCAGCATTGTTAACACATAGAGTCAAGGAAGCTATTGTGAAGAAGAAAGCTTCCTTCAAAAAGTGCAGGTCTTGCTGACAGGAAAAGAACAGATGGGACCATAAACTTGCACAAGGGAGAAACGAGCAGACTGTTAGAGAAGCAGAGAAACAGTTTGAGGAGCACATTGCTAATATCAAGGCTAATAATAAAGAATTATTTAAATATGCATAGCTACTGTACAACCTCAAGTGTCTGATCCTACCTGTCTTGGAAGCTAAGCAGGGACAGCCCTGGTTGAAAGCTGGATGGGTGGCTTAATGTTGTGAACTACCCAGAGAGCTTTGGCTATGGGTGGTATAGAAATAAGAACAACAACAACAACAATAATAATAATAGGAAAAAGTGGCTAAGGAAGCAGTGGAGTCATTGGATGATAATAGAATTAAAGGAGACCTAAATGGGGAAGAGGAAACTGCAAAGGAGTTAAATGAATTCTTTTTGTCAGTCTCCACAGCAGAAGATGCAGAATAGATACTTGTCCTTGAGCGTATGCATTCTGGAAGGGAGACTGAGGAATTAAGGCAGATAATGGTGACAAAAGATGAAATTCTCATCCTTATTCACATGGAATTTCTGAACTTACCAAAATATTTAACATGTTCCTAAAATTAGACTTTGTGCAAGAGAATTGGAGAATGGCCCATTCAACACCAATTTGAGGTCTTCCCATGAAGCTGATTGGTGGGAGGTTTAAGACAGATAAAAGAAAGGCACTCTTCACACAGCATATAGTCAAACTGTGCAATTTGCTGCTATGGGAAGTGGTATATTAATTGCTAATTAAAGGGATATCAGTAACTGGAGTGACTTGCAGGGAAAGGTCAGCAACAGGCAGGGGTCCCATGACTGTGATGATACCTCACTGGTGCTGAGGCATGATTTTATTTCAGTCTTTTATGAATCATGCATTCATTTATTAGCATGCAATTTATTTTTAAAGTTCCATGAGGCTCATTCGCCAACTGTTAGCTGACAAAGCATGAGAAACAAAGCTGGTCCCCGCAGGCTGCACGCAACCTGCTCTTGTGTAGGATGGTTGGGGGCACCGGCAGTTGCTCTCACACCTGAACATCTCAATTCCAGAAACTGAGCAAAGCAACCATCACCTTCATAATCGCGATTGTGATCTGAATTATCAGCATGATCTCAGTTGGCCCTCCTCCTGGCGGGCCTGAGATTTGGCTCTTATCATTTTAGATATTTGGCATGGCTATAAACAAAAGTAGTTTATTCTGTGGTGGCCCCTCTGCAGCCCTGGGAATGAACAGGCATCCTCACCGTCCGGATAAGCCGAAGCGACACCAGCTCTTCGTCGTAGCCTCCCCACTGCATCCAGTCGCAGTATTCCCCTTCCTCCAGCAGGTACTGATGCCCACGGAAGCCTTCCTTCTGATAGCCAACCCAGCTGAAGAGGCAAAACAGTCCAGCAACAAGAGAGCATGAACAGAAGGATAAAACACCAGCCATTGCCCATTGACTTCTGGACATACAACCCCCTCTCTGTTTCTCCACAGAAAACAGGCAATAATGTTCACACCAAGAGCCAAAGACCAAAGAACCAGCTTGGCCCTTGATGCCAAGGATAACATTAACCTGTGACTTAATTTCAAAAGGCCATCCCTTCCCTGAAGGCTTGTTGGGTGGAGTGGAAGAAGGAGCGGAATGAAAAGGGATGGCGCAGAGAGAATGAGAGAGAGAGAGAGAGAGAGAGAGAGAGAGAGAGAGAGAGAGAGAGAGAGAGAGAGAGAGAGAGAGAGAGAGAGAGAGAGAGAGAGAGGACAAAAGGGAGGAAGTGATGGCAAGATAGAAGGGGAGGGAAAGGAAGGTGGCAGAAAGTTGGGGAAAAAGAGAGAGGAAGAGAGAGAGAAGGCTGTAAAGAGAGGGGAAGGCTCCATCCTATTTTGGCTCTGGTCCCACCTATCACCAGCCTGTGGCCCCCAGCAACTTAAACCCAAAGAACCCCCTCCCCCTCAAAGACTCTGTGTCCCTGCTTTATACTGTTATGCAGTCAACAGAGATGGGGTTGCACCTGGACACTGTAATCATTTATTTCTGTCCTGTAAATGGAAGAATTGTCCCTCTCTTTTGTGCATAGTGGCAACTTCCAAGCAGGAGGGGAAATGGCATAAAGGGGGCTGCCAGGACGTGGGCCCATTTAGTTCAGTGTCATCTCATTGCCACGAGCAGCAGTGTCCCACAGGGCTTGGGCAGGGGTCTTCCAGGCGTGCACTGAGGAATGAACCCAGGGCCTCTTGCATGCAAGGTTTGAGCTTCACCACTGAGCTATGGAGCGTATGCTTTGCACTTTCCTAGGTCTCTTCCCTGGAAATGGAAGCCCATTTGCCCAGAGGAGTCCCTGGATTCAACAGGAGTCTTCACTCAATGGTCAGGAGCTGAGAAAAAGCGGTGGGCTGACAAGGCAAGTCTGAGGTTGTGGTGAGGTCCAAGGAGTCAGAGGGTTTTCTCTTCAGACACCCATGTGTGTTCCTTTGCTTTCCCAAAATGCTCAATCAGCGTTGCTCCTTCTGTTGAGTGGGGTATCCCAGTCTTCTGCCCCAAAGTCCTTCCCAGAAGGTGCCACTGGCCAGGTTTCATCAGGGCCAGGTGGAGGGTCACTTTCCAGGGAGGCAGTGAATCTAAGGTAGGGCATCTGGAATCTACTACAGTCTGTTGTGGTTTCCAGTTGCTTGGGAGGATGGGCCATCCCTGATCACCCAGGGCTTTCTAAGAGTAGGGTAACAGCCTGGGGAAGTGGCACTGGTCAACCAGGTGTTCAGGGAAGGTAGAAAGGTGGTAGCACAGTGGCCTGATCCTGGTTCCTGACTGCTGGTTGTCCTGTTCTGATCCCCCCACACACAACTCAGAGTCTCTCAGACTTTCCATTAAAGGTTAACCAAGCCAAGAAAGAGCCTCTCAGAGGCTTGTGAGAACTGCTACCAGTCAGAATAGATAAAGTTGGACCAGCAGGACTAAGATTATAGCATCTTCCCATGTTCCATTAAATGGGCACGCTTATTACTAGCAGTGGGTTCTTGCAAGCACTCACCAGCCTCCTAAGATCTTTAGAGAGCCTGCAGTAGGCATCTTGGAGTCTTGGTTGTTTTCTGGCTTCTTCAAGTTGTAGATGTCTCGGCTGATTTCCCAGCTATGGCCCTGGAAATGTGGCTTCTCATAAACTAAAGCCTGCAGGGAGAGATCGAGAAGCACACATCAAAACAAAGAGAATGAAACTGTGGATCTATTTCATCAGACTTTGCTTAGAAACATTTGGGCCTATATAGCTTAGAGAGATACAAAATTTTGGGTGAGAGAGTTTAGAATTCTCAGGAAGGCAGGGGCATTCACACATATGCCTTCCTATAGGAACTGCCATGGCTTTCTTTAATTGCAAGTTGAATCACAGCATTATAACATTGCAAAGGACTTCAGAGTCTTCTAGCCTAACCCCTGCCCCATGCAGGATGGAGCTACGGCATCACTGACCAGGCTGCTTTTCCCTACATTTGCTCCTGCAAAGGCACACCATACAGCAGCTTCTCCAGAATGTAATTTTATTCATTTATTATGACCTTTCTATAATGCTCACTGGCCAAAGTGCCCTCGGTGTGTCAGGAAAAAAAAATCCTAAACTGCAACAGAAGAGACACCCTTGTTTAAAAGGTTAAGCAACAATATAAAATAGAAGTTAAAATCAAAGCAAAACCTAACGGCAATGCAAAGATTAAAACACAGCAGCTGAATTAAAGCAGAAGCTGAAAGATTGAAACACCTGGGAAAATCAGGTCTTCTCCTGGCACTGGAAAGACAGTGTCAGGTGAGCTTCTTTGGGAAGCGCATTCCACCCCATGGGTGCCATAACAGAAGAGGCCATTTTGGATTCTTAGTCTGCAATTGGTTTTGGGACTCTGTGCTAGACAACAGGCAAGGGAAAGCTGTCTATCCTCCTTTTCAGCTGAGGAATATTTCTGTCCTGTGACCAAGCCTAGTAACAATCCCCTTTTCCTCTTACCTTGGGTTCTCCAGGCTTCTCTACAACAGGGCAACCCTGAAATGAGAAATGAGCAAAGTGAAGAGCACTCTGAGGTGATCTGCCTGCCCTCCTTTTTCTTCTCAAGTCACTCCCGTGTTCATTCCAGGAATATTTTCTATGCTCACATTCTCCCATAAGAATCTCCCCATAGTATGTCTTCCAGGCAGCACCTTGCAGCTTTCCAGGTGCTGCTGGACTGCAACTCTCATAATCCCTTACCATCAACTATGTTGGTCAGGGCTGATGGGAAAGACAGTCCAGGAACATCTGGAAGGCTACATTATTGCCTTCCCCTGTTCTTGGAGGTCCTTCTCCAGATGCCCTGCCAGCTGAGGTGTGGCTGAGTTGCACCTGGATGAGTATTTTCTTTGGCTTGTTATTTTCAAGAACTTATGAATTTAGTTTTGGTACTGTGCCAACCATGTTCTCCAAGGTCACATACATTAACTTTTAGTGTATGTCCACTCACCTGAGCCATTATTTTGCACCTGGCTCAGGCTGGTGGATCTTGGGGTTCTAGTGAAAACAAAGCAGATGCCACAAAACTGAGTTTTGCCTATCCCTGCTTTGAAGAATGGAGACAGGTAAGGCTTGGAACAGGAGGGTGGGTGCTTACCAGCTTGATTGGATGCATGGAGCAGATGGAAGGATCCTTGGCTCCCCAGGCTTGCAAATTAGGGTACCCACCAGGTTCTAAGACGTAAGGGTCATCATCGAAGTATGGTTTCGAGTAAACTAGCCACCTGTGGAAGAGAGAGAGAGAAGCATGAGCAACTGGCAAAGCTTGGCAGTGGTATGCACTCACCGAAATGAACCCAAAGGAGAATCCCCGTGGCAGTCCTGGAGTGTGTAACCAGTGATGCTCAAAGGTCTGGTGTGAGCCTCATTTTTGAGCTGCTGGCCTGATTCTCACTTCCTGAATCCTTCCATTCCCTAAACTGATTTTCTATGTTCTCCTAGTCCACAGAGCAGAACTCCTAGCTGCAGTCTGCCCTCAAAGTGAACCCCCAGCCTCAATACAGGAACAGAATGGCGACTGCATCTGTTGCCTTTCCCACCTGACCATCCCTGCTTGTGTGTTTTGGGGGTACAGGGGATGTGCTGCTGCCTCAGACTTTGGCTCTGAGGTCCACTGCAGCTGCCCCAGTTTCTGAGGACCTTTGGGCACTCTAGCCCTGGATTGCCTCTCATGCTAGGAATGCACAAAACTTATAACACTTTCGTACAGGCCAGAGTATACAATGATAGAAGATGCTTTCACAGGCTGTCTCTGAATCCGTGTGTCCTCTGCAGAATCTGTGAAAGTTCGTTTTGTGCCTTCGCCATTCTCCTCGGAAAACAAACTGATTTCAGGGGTCTTGTAGTCCTGGAACACAAAGGGTTGGCCCATTAACAGCGAAAATGTCAGAAAACTTTTGTTTTCTGGCCAAGCTAGTATTCAGCCTTCAGAAAGTACCATGCAATCTACTAGGGCCAGCAAGTCCTTTAGTAACCAAATTATATAGGTGGCAAGAAACTGAGATCTCTTACTTGGAGCCTTTATGTCCTATACTGAAATTCAGCCTGCAAATAAGATGCCAGACATCTGCTACCCAATTAGGTACGAGTCAGAACCAATGCAGTCAAGCCCACTTAGGTTTTCATAAGTTGGTGCAATGCTGCAGCCTAATTTGGTCTTTTTTTTTAATATATATATATATATATATATATATATATATATATATTATTAAAATTTTTAAACTAACACTAACAAAAAACATCAAACATCACAAACATTAACATTGGATTCACTGGGTCAACCTCCTACTACATATTTTTTAACATTCTAATATCAAATTCCAGTTAATTTATCATAGTTTGAAAAACCTCTAAATTTACACCAAGTCCTGTTTCTCCAGCCAATTATAAAAACCTAATTTGGTCTTATGAACAGTCTAAGGTGAGAAAAAATTACCACCGGGCCACTAAGCAGAAAATCCGTAGAAACATTGGTTTATTTGTTTATTTATTCAACTTCTATTCCACTATAACTAGTCGGAAGACTCTCTAAGCAGATTATACTTCTCTTTTATTTTTAGACGACTAACAGGCAGGCAGTCTAGGCAACCTGCTTGTGGATTTGATTTTAAGCCTGGCCTGATTGAATCATCAGTCAATTCATTTGTCACAAGTTTTGAATCTGCACCTTGAATTTGATGTGAATCTTCTAAAGCTGATGGCCTGCAACTCTCTCATGATTCTGGAAATGCTTTTTAAAACAATCAATGCATTAATTATCTCGGTTTTGTTTTTAGGCAAGCAAAACCTGAAGTACGCTAATATGTATGTCCAACCAAGAATGAACGGGTTATTCAGTTAAAAGGACGCTGAAGAAAATGAACGGTCTGCTCACAGGAGCCCTTCTCACGCCACCCGCAAATGGCTGAAGGGAGGGGCGAGAATGGGGTTGCGCCACCTGCTGGCCCTGCTCTGAACTGCCATGTGTTCAGGTTAGGGATACATGCATTTTGACACATCCATTCCCATTGATATTTTGCGGACAGTTAAACACCTTTCATTCTGTCATCTACTCATTGACTGAAATTGATTTTTTGAAACCAGAATTTTGTTTTACTTGTACTAATGCCCATAACACAGGTGGGCATTTTCAGCAATGTGCACTTGTGCAAATCTGCTAATGCACAGAGTTGAATTAGCAGAAATCCCACCTAAAGGTAAAAAACTGATCGGCAAGTCCATGGAACTTGCAAGACTTGGATACAGCTGGTCTGCTGTGGAATCCACAGGTCACTTTCTGAGAAGTTCAGACTAGTTTGAATCTGTCTGCATTTCTCTGACATCCTTGGTTCAGGCAGAGCTGTGAATAGAATCTACACTCTCCAGATACCTGCAAACTCTGCAAACGGCAGGATGCGGATGTTCTGCGGATCAGATGGCCTTTTTTGATTCTCCATAATTTTATGCAAATTTAGTTGTTGAAAATTGCCAAAAATAAAAAAGACCAAAAATCTGCTCCTCCCCCCCAGACTAAAGGGTGAAAATGTGCATTTGGGGGAGTTGCATATTCTGGGGAAAATCTGTACACTTTCAGAAGGGCAAATTTTTGCAAGCGGATTCTGTCAATGAGAGGATGACAGAACGAAAGGCCTTGGGAATTCTGCAGAATGCGGACAGCATGGATTTAACATTACTGGTGGTAAATTAGATGCTTTGTATGCACATAGTCCCAGGTTCAACCCCAGCCTCTCCAGAGAGGGCTGGAAATACTCTGCACCTGAAATCCTGGAGAAGCAGCTGCTCTTGCCAATCCAAGCAAATAGTACTGAACTAGAAGGACCAAAGGCCCGACTCAGCAAAGGGCAGCTTCCTCTGATCCCAAGTTCCCACAGGCAAGGCCATGATTGCTAACCGCCCAGCTTCCTGGGAGGAGCCAGTCACACTCACCCGCACAACCCTCTTCAGTGAGCCAATGTGGACGGGCAGGTTCTCCGTTTCAGCCCCGTCTTGATGGTACATCGCCCATGGGTTGCTGATTTGCACGTCTCCTTCCGCCAGCACACACTTCCGCCCATGGAACCGCGGCTTCTCGTACATCACCCAGCTGCAGAGCACAGAATGCAATGCCTGCTTAGTCTCGGGAAGAATCGTGCATGCCGGCTCGTGTTCGGCGCTACGGCAGCTGCCGAGAAGGTGTGGCAGCTCCATGATCTGGGCACCCATTCACAGGCAGAACATTTCCCCAGTGTACTCCTTGAGTGGAGGATCACCCACCAGAAATACATGACAAAAATAAAAATGGGTTGTGGTCAGCACCCAGGACCACCCCTTCATCCCCAGCTGACTTCTCTCTCTCTCTTTTAAATGGGGAGAGAGGGATGGAAGGGAGGAGGAGGAGGAGGAGGGAGAGACAAAATACAACTCGGCCAAAAGTCCAACACGCAGAGGCTCTTCTCATGCGACTGGCAGGCCTCGTTCTGAGGATGGCCGCTTCCCAATCACCCAAAAGAAGAAATGGCTCCAAGAAAGAGGATGAAAGGACAGTGATCTGCATAAAATGGATCCATGCTGATTTATGTATACAGATACACTTTTTAAAGTATTCAAATATGAAGGAGATTTTGATTAAAGGTCACTCAGGCAAATTAGGCAAACTCTGGTAAACCACACTGCAGCTCTATTTCAGTTCTAACCATCATTTCTAAACTTGCATCCCTCTGCAAAAATGAGGACATGCCAGTCTTACACAGATCCAAGTCTTCTTTCTTGGGTTGCTGTGCTTCCTTTCGCATGGCTGTTCATAAGAAAGGCGAGGCCAGTCGGCCACGAGGCTTCCTATCTGATTCTTGAGCTCGTGATGGGAGGCCCCGCTCCAAGAGCCATCCCACGGTGAGGTGGGGAGGGTGGCTACCTAGTGGGTGGCCTTTTCCGTAATCCCCACCTCTTTACACAAAGGTGATAGAACACACCCCTGCTTTCTCTTTTTGTGCTAGGCAAAGAATGTGCTCTTAATCCGCTCTGTCTCTGCTGTCGTGCGGAGTTTTAAGTAATTCATATGTTCTTGTTCTGATGCTGTTTCTACTGGCTCAACAGAACACTGTTTTTGTTTCCTTTTCTGACATTTTTTGGATCTTACCTTCATTTTATTGGGCTAAATGCAACTCATACATTTTAGAAATAACTGGAGACCTTGGCCAGCCATTGCTGCCAGACCTCCCAGGGTTGTTGCTAGGATAAAACGGAAGACAATAGGGGCTGTGTGTGCCACAAGAACTCTCTAGAGGAAGGGCAAGCGATAAAGGCCATCTCAGATGGAGAAGAGGGGGAAGGAAGAGGGGGGAAATGCTGCACTATGCCATATCCAGTATCCAGTCCATTCCTCACCCACCAGAAGGCAAGTCAGTGAGGTGGGGTTAGAGGCAAAATTCTTTTTTAAATGACAGATGGGGGCAACATGCGCTTTGTCTTGCTCTCGCTGGCACAGCACAGGATGGGCAGGGGGCTCCAAACGCAGAGTCAACCATTTGTCAGGAGTTCGACCCATACAAACGTGCCTTTGGGAACGGTTTTTAGTGCCTGTAGGTCATGACACTTTTACTGATGTTTGTTTTGGTTTGTTTACAGAAACGTTTTACTCTTTGCTGATGGTTTTTATCTTGGCTTTGTTAAGGGCTATTTTTATTAGTTGCTTTGTTATTTATAATACTGTTAGTGTATTTTACACCTCCCTGAAAACTTGTATTATTGGGTGGTGTAAAAAGTATAACAAATAAATAAGTTAAAACACAATGCACATCACGATACTGGCATGTTGCTCTATTTTCTTTTGTTTTATGATTTTTAAAGACCCTTTCAGGCCTGATTATCTTCCATATCCACCTGGAGCCTGGTTCCCTGCCTCTGTATGCAGGATCTCTCTCTCCCTTTCAGCACAACTCACAGCAAATCCACAAGAGGTGTGCTTACCTGCCTCGGACCACTCGGATGGAGATTGTGTGGGAGAGCTCCCAGGATGTGGCATCGGCCACATCACCCCAGATTTCTCTCTTCTGGCCCTCAAAGTTGGACTCAGAGTACAGGACAATCTAGAGTGAGAGAAAGACAAAGGGGAGGGGAAATGAGGAAGATCAGTAACGACACAATATTGCCCCTCCACCCTCCCTTGCTGAACATCTGGCAGCTGCCCTTGCTTTTTGTCTTCATACCTTCCCAGGCCGTACGTTAACTTTCTTTGGAAGCTTCTTTTCCTCGTCCTGCAATGTAAAGATAAATAGGAAATTATGCTAGGAAATGGGGAAAATGTTGCATTTCAAGAAATGTCAGGGCTCCTCCATTCGTCCTGCCTTGTTTGCAAGTTTTGTCCCTTGTTCCCAATCTGTGGGACAACTAACTTTTACATGAAGCACACAATATTAAAAATTGTGCTTAGAACTTGAAATTCAGTTTCTGATCTATTATACAAAATACAGCACAATCTTCCTTTGATTTCTGCCCTTTTCCAAATTTTGCTGTACAATTCTCTGATCCAGAAATGTAACCAAAAGGCCTCCGTCAGGAAGATGCCATAGAAATATGTATTAGGGAACATTACATACAAAATGGCAGCATTTTCAGGCAGGCTTTGAAGCCATTATAAACTCCTGTGGAAATGCCTACTCACATGCCCATCCCACGCCATGGTCAAACAAAAGCCGTTTCATTGGACTGATGCTGGTAAGAGCCATTTATTTATTTATTCATTAAAAGCTTTTGTATGCCGTCCTTTATATAAATATCTCAGGATGGCCTTGCCTGCATGTGCAGCACATAGATACTTGTGATTGTGCTGGCTGGTTAGAGAGCAGGGCTGGCGGTGGGGCCAGCCCTATTAGTGCATTTTAGGGAGGCTGCTGCCTCGGCCATCAGATCTGGAGTGGCAGAAAGGGCAGCAAATGGCTAGTGAGCAAAATTGTTATTTTATGGTTGGTACTGGAATGAGGAGGGGAACAACCTGTGTTTCTTTGTGTACCATGTGCCTTGCCTTGGGTAGTGGTAGTGAAGACACCACATCCTGGGTGTTCCTCAGATAGTGAAATGTCTGGAGCTGCCCACAACTGTAGCCACATGAAGTTGGAGGGGAAGGGAAGGGACGGGAAGGGAAGGGACGGGAAAGAAGACGGGGAGAAAGGTCTTGGGAGAAGGAGAAAATAGAAGGATGGCTGAGGGAAAGGAAAAGGAACACAAAGGGCAGCTACTGCATTTCTCTTGCACATCCACACCCTGCTTTTCTCCCTCCCTCCCCATCTTCTGTCAAGCCACAGCTGTCTGCTCCACCCCAGAAAAATGATGTTGCTCTGAGCAGTGACACCAGGAACTGAGTGTTGGGTTGTGTGTGTGAAGATATATTGAAGAAAGGGAGTTGGGAGACAGAGAAGCTGGATAGTGGGAGGAAAGGAAGACAACCTCTTCTCTGAACTTTATTTCTTTTTAAATGCATACTGTGCCTTTTTTCCCTGCAAGGAACCCAAAGTTGTTTATATGGTTTTCCTTGTTATTTTATCCTCACAACAACCCTGTAAGGTAGGCTAGGCAGAGAGACGGGGTGGCCCAGAGTCACCCAGAAAGTTTCATGGCTGAGGATGCTCTTTAACCCGAATCTCCTGAGTCCCAGTCCAACACACTAACCACTAACCTGCACTGGCTGGCTGAAGGAAATTGGAAGAGAGAAATAAGGTGAATATATCTACCACTACTACCGCTGATACTAAAACTCTGTAAATAGAGAGAAATGGAAGAGAGAGAAGGTGTTGAGGAGAAGAAGCAAATGTAAAAGGAGCAGGGATTAGTTAAGTGTGAAACAGGGAGAAGATATGGCAGAAGGAGAGTAAAAATCTAGAGGCACAATGAGGGAGAGGGAATATATACATTATAAAAACTTCCTTGGCTTACAGCCTCCGCTTCAGCAAAGTCTGCCTTAAAAAGAGAAGCTCTCTGTAAAAGTGATAGAATGCTAAAATTGTAGAATTGGTAGGGATCTTGCAGGTCAGGTGGCTAATTCCCTGCTCAGCACAACAACTCTGGCAAAAGGTTACAAGCAGCCTCAGCTTAAATCCCCACTTCTCATGGCTGAATGTTCCACTGCCTAAGATGCTTTCCCGGTTAGGAAGTTTTTAGTAAACTTTAACCAGTCTCTGCTTCTTGGCCATTCCCCCTTTATGTTCTGCTGTGTCTTTCCAATTTCGAGTCCTCTGGGGCAACAGAGCAGAGCAGGGGGTGGTTAGCCCATCTCCTCTGCACCACTTCCCTGATCCAAATCAAATAGCCCCAAAGTCATTTCTTGCCCCTATGCAGGGCATGATCATGGTACGTTCCGCTGCGGCGCAGACACCAAGTGAGTGAGCGAGTGAGAGTCAGGTCTGAACCTGGGGGCGGTGGGGCAGAGGAGGTTGCGAACTGCTGCCTGCCAGCTCTGAACAAATTGGCACCCTGCACCCCGGTTGCACACGGAAAGAAAACAGGGCCAGGAGATAATCCTCCATCTCGTGGCGCAAGGTGCAGTTTGGCCTGAAGATGGGAGCAGATAACGCAGCCTTTGTTATGGGAGGATTCGGGTGCTGAAACAGTTTCGTAGCCAGGGGCGAGGGTGCTGCGGCTCGCTGGCCTCCAATGGATGCTTCCTGAGCAACAAGCAGGCAAGGCGAGCTCCTGAGCCAAGTTGGGTCGCACTGGCAGAAATCCCCACCACCATTTTCAGTGTGTTTGCTTTTCCAATTTGAGGGAGAGGGGCAAAAGAAAGAGGGAAGAACCTGCAAAGGAAGTGTTTGGAGAAGGAGCAGGTAGGAAAACCCTTCGAGATGGTGCATGGGAAATACAGGGAAATGAAACACGTTGCTGATTTGAGCAGACATAGAAAGCAAGGGGACCGGGCTGCTTTAATGCAGAGAGAATCGGAGCAAGAGGAAGGCTGTGGGTGATCGAAGCCATCCTGCCCCGAGGCTAGAAGGTGTCTTCCAATGCATTGAGAGGGCAGCAGACTGGGGAAGGCTGGATGAACTATTCTGGGAGCACGGAGTGTGAGGAGGGCTACTCCTTGCTTGTAAGTACATTTTATTTTTGCCACAAGTTTAAGGGTGCAATCCTACACATATGTACACATATGCATGGCTGGCTAGAAAATTTTGGGAGCTGTAAGATTTTTTAGGATTCTCCATAGGGTTGTGCCTAAATAAGCCTTCTTAATCTAAATAAGAAAAGGAAATAAGGAAAAGTGAGAGTGCAAAGTTGGGGCATTTATGATAATAACATGAGTTCCACACTGAGCAATAGTTTGTTTGTTTGTTTGGTTTATGAAGATATACCCTTTGTCTGCCTTCCAGAATAAACATGGTCTTGGATGCAATTGGAGGTTGAAGTCTGTACATTCCTAGGTACATTCACAGACCCCACAATATGCAGTTGATATCATGTTGTTGTTTTTTAAATGTGTATAAATATGTTTTAATCTATGGAAGGAGGACACACATATTTCAAAGATTTGCATACCTGATGCATACATTTGGTAAAATATGCATGAAAATACACGTGGATTTTCATATGAAAAGACAAAAAAACAAAGCCACAATCTGATACACACTTGAGTAAGGACAAGATTCAAGACAGAATTCAGAGGGCTTTGGGGAGCTTTCTGAGGTGCTTGTTTGTGTTTGATTCTCACCCACATCCCTGGGTGTTTGTGGTCAAGAGTGGGTCTCTGAGAGGCCCATAAAGTTTGGACGGCGTCACCTGTCAGCCACCCGGGCCTGAACTCTGCCCCAGAGTTTAAGTGGCCCCTTTGGGGTTCCTTCAGTTTCCTTAAGGAGCATCACTGACTTGGTCACAGACGTTAAGGAAGATAAAATGCAGCATAATGAAGATTAAGCCCACGAAGCCTTCTCAGTGGTGCAACACCCAGTAAGTGGAAGGAGACCTGGGTAGCTGAGTAAAGACCTCTGTGGTTTGGGCCCTGTCATCATTTTCCCTTTGAACATAGTTTTGGTTAACCTGCTTGGCATCTGTCAGATGTTGTCCCACCAGTCCTGCTGCAGGCCAAAGGTGGAGATCCAAGGACCAGAGCCCTTGCTTGCCTGCATCGTGCTGCAGCACTTCCCTTTAAGATGCACATGGAGACTTCAATCAGCCCACACTTCCCAAATGTGCCAGAACAACAAGGGCAATGCCACTTCAGAGAAGCAGCAGTGCTGGAGTTTCCACTAGCTTCTACCGCACAGCACAAATTCACTCACCTGAGCTTCTGGCTGGGACGCTGACTCTGCCTTCTTGGACCGAGCGGCGCGCTGCTTGGAGCTACCATACGCCCCTGGTGCTCTGGAAGAAGGCTCAGCATGGCATCTGGATGGCATCGACTTAAAGGTCAGATATTCCCATGCATTTTCGGCTGGAGGCTCATTTGGAGATGCCTGGCACTCCTGGCTGACTTTCAGAACAGTTGAGGCCAGTGGGAGAGCAGGGCATTCCTCTTCTTGCCCTTGCACAGGGTCTTTGAGTGGACACTTCTCTGGGCAGATGAACCTGCTGTAGAGGAAGCTGTTGTCCAAACGAGAGTAAGGCTTGCCTTCCACGGACTTTTTGTCCACAAGGCCAGACAAGAGAGACATGCCCTTGAGGACGTTGGCTCGGATCAAGTTGGCCTGGTTGGTGATGGCTTTAGGCGCAATTGCCTTGGCCTCTGAATGGTTGGGGTTTTGCTTCAGCATTCCCAGGAAAGACCCAATGTCCTCCTCGGTCTTGTGTGACATATTTTCCCAAGGGTAGGATTTCCCAGCTGGATCGGTTTCCTCCCTTTTTTCGTCGTTGCTGAGATATGGGTTTTCTACTTCCTCCATCTCCTCCTCCTGCTGCTTCTGCGGTTCTTCCTTTGCTTCCTCTGAGTTCTGCTCAGTGAAAGCACAGAGGGGAACCCTTGACTTGGGCACGATGCGGTCTTCATGGATGGGTGGGAGGAACGCGTGCTTGGCCAGGGTGGAGGGGCGTGGGGGCCTAGGAAGCAGCTTCAGGGGCTTTCGGAGCTCGGTCGGCTCCATGTTGCGGAGGGTATCTACAAAAAGCTCCATCTCCACTACTTCCTCTGGGTCATGTTCTGCCATCTTGTTGCTGCTCTCTGTTTTCTGATGTGGAGGTTCACAAGAGGAGTCTGTCGTCTCAGCAAGGGAAGCATTTGGCTTTGGCAAAAATAGCGGGGAAGCTTCTGTCAGATCTTTTTCTTCTTCCCTTGGCTCAGCCCAGCTGGTGACTTTCTGGTCCCCTGGAGCCCCTTCCCCTTCCTGGGCTCCAGTCCTGAACACACCTATTTCTGCTGCAGCATCTGATGAACACCAGGTACTCTGGGATCCAGATGCACCTGCCTCCTCTGTCCTTGACAGGCTGCCTTCCTGGCCGGACCAGGTTGCTACAGGGCCATCTGGACTGAGCACGCGTGGCTCCCTTTCACATCTGCCTGCTGTGGACAGACTGCTGTGCCTCTGGGATGCGAGACCGCGGTGCGGGCTGCAGTCTCTCTGGGGTGTGTTGAAAGGAGCAATTCCCTCCCTGGATGTGGTAGTCTCTGTGTTTGATGTGAGCGGAGGGTTTGGCACAAGCATACACCTTTGCTTTGGGGCATCGCCTACACCAGCGTTTCTGGACTGAGTCATGCAGCTTTCTTGTGGCTGCCCTGCTGAGCAGCAATCGCAAGTGTTGCAGAAGGATCCAGGGGGCCCTTTGAGGGCATCCGCATCTGGGAGATCGCCCTGGTGCTGCCAGTCTTTGACAGGTGGGATGCAACTGACAGTGCTCAATGCAGGGAGTGCCTGTGGCTGGACTGGGCTTGTGTTCTCTGCCTCAGATCTAGACATGACAACCTCCCGCCCGGCCCTGTAGATGGTGGCCCTCCCTGCTTGGGGGACGACAACTTGCTGTTCAGATCGAAAGACAACCATGCTGCTGCCTGTGGGACCAAACCACTGGATTTGGGATTTGGCAACAATGTTGGAGCTAAGAACACCAGGCTTGGGGCTTGACCCACACGAGCCACCCAAAGGTGGGGTGCTCGGGACAGTGGGTGTGTAGGTTCCTCCTGCAGATCCACAGGACAATGTGGTGCTGCCAGGACTTCCTTGGGTCTGAGGTCCGACAGCGCTGACCCGATGGCTTTCGCTCAGGGATCTTGTGTCTGCACTGAAGCTTGGCATTTGGGATTCCACTTCCAGGGGGCTTTCAGCCATGGGAGGGAGATTCTCCTCCTGAGATACATTTGTGCTTGGGATGTGGCTCTTTTTCCAAGATCCAACAGCCAGAAGAGTATCAGGAACATCACGACTGCAATTTTCCCCCTGGGATTCAGCTCCTGTGATGTTCTTAGCAGTGTCTTGTTCTTCTGTCCTTCCTGGCTTTGAACTGGGGGAATATACTTGAGCAAAGACAGGCCCATGAACTGTGAAATCTCTCCGTGGGCTGAGAGAACGGGAGCGCCTTGTAACTGAGGCAGGAGAGGAGCTTCTACATTCTGCCGGGGAAGATGAGCGCCTGGAGTCTGCTGTGGCAAATGGGTGCCTGGTGTCTGCTGGGGAATTTGGGCACCTGGCATCTGCCGCGGAATAAAAGCGCCTGATATCTGCCACAGAATGCGAGCACTTGATGTCTGGTAAAGAAGATGCATTTTGTATATCCGTTGGGGAAGATGAGTGCTGGCTCTCTGCTGGGGAACACTGGGCACCTGCTGAGGATGATGGGTGCTGGCCATTTGCCAGGAAGGCAGAGTGCCTAGCATTTGCCGGAGAAAGGGACCACTGGTTCTCTACAGGGGGAAAGGACTGTGTGGAGTTTCCTGGCAAAGGACAATGTCTCTTATCTGCTGGAGAAAGGGACCTCTTTCTCTCAGCTAGAAAAAGGGACCGCCTGGCATCCACTGGGGAAAATGATCGCCTAGAATAAGATGGAGAGCAGGACCTCAGTGTCTCTACTGGGGAAAGGGTTTGCCCATGGTCTGCAAGAGAGAGAGACTGCCGGGCATCTGCTGGGGAAAGGGACCGGCTGTTTGCTGGAGAATGCGACCTCCTTGTTTCTGCTGAGAAAAGGGCTCTCCTGGCATCCACTGGAGAATAGGATCGTCTTGTCTCTGCTGGAGAAAGGGATCTCCTTGTCTCCACTGGGAAAAGGGATCTGTGGGCATCTGCTGGAGAACGGGATCGCCTGGCATTCACTGGAGAATGGCAGCTCCTTGGGTCTGCTGGCCAGGCAGGGTCTCCCAGAGAATCTGCTGAGGAATTCGTTGAAGAAAGTGAACTCCTGCTATTTGCTGGGAAAAGAGGGTGGGAAGACTCTTTGGATGCAAGTAGGCGCCTGGTGTGCACTGGGGACCGGGAGCGCCTTGTGTCTGCCGAGGAGGATGGGCTGGCAGTGTCCATCCCGACGAGTCCCTTCTCCCAGGCTTCGAGCAGCACAGACACTTTTGAGGGGCTCTTACTTCTGGCTCTGACTCCGGCCCTTTCTGCCACCTGGGCTAGTGCTGGTGCTTTGCACAAGGGCAGTTTGGCATTGTCCTTTGCTGGCCCAGGTGCTGCCTTCTTCCACTTGAACGAGGTGCTTGCAACGGCTCCCCTGGACTTGCTCTGACGGGAGTGTGAGCCGCCTGTAGCTTTTTCCATGGTGTGCTGAGTGCAAAATAGGCCTCTTCTGACGTCGCTTGGACTTCTAGGTGCACACGCTTCGTTTATGGTTGCCAGGGAGATTCCACTTGACTTGGAAAAGCTACAGGAGGTGCAAAGAAGGGAAAAGGACAAACACGGTTAAGTTTCAAGAAGCCCGGGGAGCCCTGAAACTCTTTTCATCATTGTTTATTGGGAAATATAGAAGTGCACATTTCCTGTAATGAAAACCCATCATACTCCAACGGCGCAACTAGGGCAGGATCCTGGCCCTGCAAACCAATGCCTTATCCCGAATGACCACTCAGAGAATGGCAGGCAACAGATGCCAGAGCAGCCGAAGCAAACTCCATTTTATTCCTGCTATGATTTGAACGGATTTATCATACAAAAGTACACATGCTCAGTATTCGTATTAAATTTATTGATCAGGGTTTGTATTATCGATCAGGGCTGGTTCTTCTAATGTATCTGGCATGCAGAAGTGTCTGAAAAGCAAGAAGTTCTGCGTGGTGGTGATGCAAGCAGACTGTCAGTGCACGGCTATGTAAGGGGGCCTCTATAAAACCAGAGTCCAAAACTGTCTAGCAGTAGCACTGCTTCTGTTATATTCTCTTCCTGATCCCCCCGGGCAACACCAAAACCACGTCTGACAGACATTTCAAGAAACCTCTTGGTTCTTTGGGACACAATCTTCTGCGCTTATACTTTTCAAACCACAGATTCATCATTCTTGTTTTGGGAGATATCCCAAGAGGGTCATCCAGCCCAGAGATTGCAGCAAGTTGGGCTAGGACCAATCTATGGCTTAAGGGAATCTTCTGAATGGCTTGCCTGACTGACTGCCACTGGTCTGAGATCAAAGGAGCATGCAGTACCCTGGCCAAGGCCTATTAGTCTTGTGTAAACTCATTAGCCCTTGTTAGTTATGGAAGCAATTCTTCTAATTTTGGTACTGACTTTGACTATAATGCCCCTAGCTCAAATGCCAGAATTTTAATTTTCTTTTAACTATTTGTGAATCATTTTTTTTACCTAGTGGCATACAGCCATAAAGAGAACTACATATCAATTAAACAATTAGAACGGGATGGGGAGGGGAAGAAAGCAATTACAAAAGCAAGCTGCACTGCAGAAAACTTGCTCACCAATACTCAAAACTTGGCTGCCTTGTGGCTCTTCCCAACTACCTTCTCTCACTTGCCACTGAGCAGCAGTCATACCATCAAATTGCAGCAGTGGGAGTGATGAAGGGCCCACTTCATCAGCTTAACTGAAGGAGAGCACTTTGTAATGTTGGTGCCTGAGTCTGATTGTTTTCCTCTTCCTCTCCCATCCCCCTTTCCTTTTGTGCTGTGTCACAGCTATGTTCCATAGGACTGCTTATATAGCATGTATGAAGGCAGGCCCCTCCTAAAACATTATAGTCCACACAAAGCTGTGAAAAACTTGAAAACCACTTCCATGCACACAAGCCTTAATCTTGCTCTCAGAAGAATATGTAATAATGCAGGATTAGTTTAAATGGAACATGATTTCATCACCGTATACTCCCTTATTAAAGAAGAGCGGTACATAATGAATTAAAAAAGCCATCTGCAGATTGCTGGGGGATTTCTTCTCAGGAAGGATTCATATGATTATCCTTCCCATTACACAGTGGAAATTACTTCTTTAATATTTCCCCCCATGGCATGGGTGTGCTCGGAATCCATGCAGATAGAGAAACAGCATGCCAAGTGCCAACCCCCTTTCCCTAGCATTTTCTACATGCAGATAATTCCCCCTCTCCCATGAAAAGCATTCAGTGTATGATCCCACGCTTAAAAGAATGAAGTGATCAGTCCAGGAAAAGCTCTAGCCTTTGACCATTGTAACTGTAAATTGGCCCTTTACCTGGCAGGCAGTGTGGTGTGGTGGTCAGAGCACTGGACTGGACAGCCAGAAGATGTGGGTTCTGGTCCCCACTCAGCCATGATACCCACTGGGTGACTTAAGCAAGTCACTGCTTCACAGCCTAACCTACCTCACAGGGTTGTTGCGAGGATAAAATGAGGAGGAGAACCTTGTAAGCCATTGTGGATTCTTTGCAAGAAGAAAGGCAATATATAAATACCGATGATGATGATGATGATGATGATGTACAAGTAATGTCAATACCCTTTTACATTTCACACAGGTTCGGTCTCATGGACATTTCCTAAACTGGGTTATGTCTGGAATATAACCCTAAGCCGGGTTTTATTCTCTCTTCTTACGGGTCTGTATCTTTTAAACTGGGGGAAGAACTCTATTTTGAGTGGACTTGGACTGGAGAGTCCTGTGTAAGGCGGGCACAGGGCCCCCTACATGAAGCAGATCTACCTGGGCATAAAATGAGCGGCTAAATCCCTGGGCTGTGCCGCTTCAGCCCTCAAACCAGGACCGGTGCCTGCTGTTTTAATGTAGTTCCCTCTCTTGGC